AACATAGACGGAGAGTTCAGATATCAGTGCATGGAGGAGAAAAGTATCTTTAAATGTATTTCATGTAATTATAACACAGTAAATGCATATCCTAAGAAATACATTCAACTAAATATATTGACTTTCAATTTTTAATCCAGGCATTTAAATCCTCCTTAGTGATTGTGATAATTAGAAAGAACCAACCAATGAATCTTTTTTTTAAGCACATCATGAAAGTTTTGTTGAACACGACAGTGCCTTTGTTTCTGTCTATTGCTTCTTTTAATCAGGAAATGAAACCAGCCGCAAAAAAAATAGACAAGTATATAAATTGCAGGCTGTTTTTGTGGGAGGGTTGAAGCTGTCATTCTGCAAATTCCTCTTTACTGACATTGTAAACAAATAAAAAAAGAGTTGATTTCCTGAATCACAGGTTTTGTTTTATGCAACTACTAAATGGAAAACAAGTTAAAGCTGCTTGGTGAACAGTCGCACCAACCTAAGTACATCAATTGTCAAACTGATTAGTTCTTGTAAAGAGAGGAACGACATCGTGGACTGGGAGGAGATCACGTGAAAGGAAGAAAGAAACAGGTGTGACGAGGTGAAAAAAATACTGACACGTAACGATTCAGGAAACACTTTCACACTCAGTCTTCTGCATTAAACCGTCGCTCTCCTGTCACTTCACCCTCAACAACATGGACGGTGAGTTCATTCCATTCACTCTTTTAAAACCTTTTCACTTAGATATTTCTATTGTTACGTTATTATCTCATGATAATGACTGTTTTCAAAGTAAAGTACAAACTGCTTTCCCTTTTCATTGAAACGTTTGACCAAAAACAATATTTATTGCTTTTTCTTGTGTATCGTAAATGACAACAACCAAAAGGCAAATGTACAATATAATTGATGGACATTATTCTCTTTCAGAGATGAGAATTTTAATATTAGGAAAAACAGGAGTAGGGAAAAGCAGTCTGGCTAACACCATATTTGGAGAGAAACTGTTCCAGATCGGCGACACTGGCAACTCTGAAACAAGTGAATGTCGATCAGAAACCAGATGTGTTGATGGAAGAGACGTCACCTTGATCGACACGCCTGGTTTGTTTGACACAGATCGATCTGAAGAGGAGCTGAAGGCTGAAATAGTGAAGTGCATCACAGAGTGCTCTCCTGGGCCTCATGCTTTTATCATAGTGTTTAAGGTGGAGAGATTCACTGGTCAGGAGCAGGAAGTGATCAATAAAATCAACCAATACTTCTCTGAAGAAGCTTTCAAGTATGCAACAGTCCTCTTTACTCATGGTGACCAGCTCAAGGAAGGACAGACCATTGAGCAATATATCCACAACAATCAGCCTGTGAGTGATCTGGTGAAGAAGTGTGGAGGCCGCTGCCACGTCGTTGATAACAAACACTGGAAGAACAACCAGCTGGATGATTACAGGAGCAACCAGTTCCAAGTGAAGCAGCTGATGAAGACCATCAATGACATGATTGAGGAAAACAAGGGAAGCTGCTTCACCAACGAGGTGCTACAAGCTGTGGAGAAACTGAGACAAGAGGAGGAGGAAAAGATCAGACAGTCACCAGGAAACAAGACGGACAAGGAGATCAGAGAGGAGGCTGTGAACGGAATATCTGGGAGGCTTTTGATCAATTTGACGGGTATTGCAGCAGGGGGATTGCTAGGAGCTTTATTTGGTGGTGCAGTATCAGGAGGAAATAGTTCATCAATGAAACCCACAGCAAAAGGTTTTGTAGTGGGAGCGTTTTCAGGAGGTGTTACAGGATATTGTGCCGTTCAGGAAGCAGACACACTAGTGGAGGCAATAATTAGGGCAGTAAATGCTGTGAAGGCGGAAGCAAATTTACATTAATAAATAAATTGCATGAAAAATTGTACTCAAAAAAGACTAAACATATTCATCTCAATGGCTATTATTCATATTTAATAGGTTGTTCTTATGGTTGAGTTAATCCAGTTTTACCAGCTGAAGACCGACAAACAATCGAAACATATTTACATATTGAAATGCAATAATTAAATAAATAAACCAAAAAAAAATCAATCTATGTACATCATTTTGTTGAATACTTTTTGCTTTTTAATGTCACAAATAAAAACAGAATAAAGAATAAATTCAAACCAGTGGAACATTTTATTTGAGCAAATCGAGAATCTAAGTAGTGGTCAACCCCCTCCCCTCGCCGCCCCAAGACACACACACGCACGCACATACTCATAAGTAAAATTAAAGATTGCTTGCATCGAAAGGGCAATAAAGTCTATGATAAACAAATAAACACACCAACAACTTCCACACTCAAAGACGTGACTCTCTAGGTCGTCTTCAATAAAAACACGTTACTCCACCTGTTGTTCTGGAGGTGAATCGCTCTCCAACACACGCAAGACTTTTTGAACCATGAATTGAAACAAGTGCGTCGACACAACAGTGCCTAAAGACGCAGACGCATGCGCCATCTGTAACCCCTAATCTATATTAGTAGGTCTGATATATGTAGTCAAATTTAGCCTTTATTCCACTTTTCCTCTGTACACATAGCTCCAAATCCAGGAGAAAACAGCAAATAACCGTAATTCATATTTTATAATCTTTCGTGAAATAAAGACGTACTCTGTCTTGAGGCCACAAATTAAACTCAAAGGCTTCATTGTTTTCACTCTACTTACTTACTGGTACAGTTCCATACAGACGCTGCCAATAACAACTCATTAATAAAATACCTTTAAACATGTTGTGTCACTGACCAAACACTCTACCCTAAAAGGTTTGAGAAGCTGCAGATTGATCCTCCCTTTGACACAACATATAGGAAGACTTGTTTCATTTATTATGCTTGATGGTCCTGATGCCTTCAACCAAACGCATAATGCTGCAGGATGCCATGGTTCCCACTACAGTATAAATGTAATATGAACTCATGCAACAGTTATTAATCATATTTAGTAGAGCTTTGGTGCAGTGAATGTAGTCCAGCTTGTGATCCACATCACGTAGCTGCACTTACCTTTTAACAATAGTTTATTTTACAATGGGCACAATTAATAGGCTGGATGCTGGAGCTGGCGAGGCAGGGAGAAGCACTGGTCAAGGAGGAGGGGCAGGACACAGAATAAAACTGGAGAAGAAGCAGACGGCTGGAAGTTAAATCCTGGACAGCAATACCAGCACTAATAGGTCAGCAACAAAATACCATTCAAAAGAACAGCAGACGGAAAGCAGATTACCACAAGAGTAACTGACGACTTGGCGATGACTGGAAGATCAGACCGGGCTTAAATACTGGAGGTGAGTAGAGGCAATCAAGAAGATCAGCAGCAGGTGGCAGGAATTGCTAGAAGATCCCAACTCGACCAGCTGACAACCAGTAAGGGGAGGGGGAAAAACTCAAAAGACAGACAGACCCAACATCTGGTTATGAAGCCTGTATTTACTCTCCAGCTGAATAGGATCGCTGCCAGAAATAAACCTACTAAGATAACTTTCTGTTCAAGCTGTACTTTCGACAGTCACCTTTGTTAAACATCTTGATGTTCCACTTCAACCTGCTCGTCTGGAAACTGTCATTAAAACATTCATGACCTTTAGTTTGACTTATGTAACGCACTGTTTACTGGCATGAAGAAAACATGTTGTCTCAGTCTGACATTCTAACTGGTTGTGGGAAACAACCTGTGAAATCTTTTGATAACTGGTTTTGTTTCTGAGCTGTCAAGCGGGTATAAAAGTTCAGCGAAAGTAAAGAAAGAGAACCGAAGGAGAATCATCCAGCAAGGACACCCAGAAGTGGAGTTAACAACTGTGATCTAATCTGCTGCAACATAGACGGAGAGTTCAGATATCAGTGCATGAAGGAGAAAAGTATCTTTAAATGTATTTCATGTAATTATAACACAGTAAATGCATATCCTAAGAAATACATTAAACTAAATATATTGACCTTCACTTTTTAATCCAGGCATTTAAATCCTCCTTAGTGATTGTGATAATTAGAAAAAATCAACCAATGAATCTTTTTTTTAAGCACATCATGAAAGTTTTGTTGAACACGACAGTGCCTTTGTTTCTGTCTATTGCTTCTTTTAATCAGGAAATGAAACCAGCCGCAAAAAAAATAGACAAGTATATAAATTGCAGGCTGTTTTTGTGGGAGGGTTGAAGCTGTCATTCTGCAAATTCCTCTTTACTGACATTGTAAACAAATAAAAAAAGAGTTGATTTCCTGAATCACAGGTTTTGTTTTATGCAACTACTAAATGGAAAACAAGTTAAAGCTGCTTGGTGAACAGTCGCACCAACCTAAGTACATCAATTGTCAAACTGATTAGTTCTTGTAAAGAGAGGAACAACATTGTGGACTGGGAGGAGATCACGTGAAAGGAAGAAAGAAACAGGTGTGACGAGGTGAAAAAACTACTGACACGAAACGATTCAGGAAACACTTTCACACTCAGGCTTCTGCATTAAACCGTCGCTCTCCTGTCACTTCACCCTCAACAACATGGACGGTGAGTTCATTCCATTCACTGTCTTTTTATTGTGATCGGTACTGTTACAACAGATTGGATATTTTTATACTTGTAGGTCTTTTTCGCATTACTCTCTCATCACAATAATTATTGTTTTCAAAGTAAAGTACAGACTGCTTTCAATATTCATTTGACCAAAAACAATATTTATTGTAATTAAGCTCATGTACATGAAAACAACCTAAAGGCACAATATAATTGATGGGCATTATTGTCTTTCAAAAACATGGATGGTAAGTTCATTTCTTCTTTTTAAACCTTTTAGATTAGATATTTCTATTGTTACATTATTTTGTTATAGTAACGACTTTTTTCAAAGTACAAACTGCTTTCCCTTTTCATTGAAACGTTTGACCAAAAACAATATTTATTGCTTTTTCTTGTATATCGTAAATGACAACAACCAAAAGGCAATTGTACAATATAATTGATGGACATTATTCTCTTTCAGAGATGAGAATTGTAATATTAGGAAAAACAGGAGTTGGTAAAAGCAGCCTGGCGAACACCATATTAGGAGAGAACGTGTTCCGGATCGGCGACACTGGCAACTCTGAAACAAGTGAATGTCGATCAGAAACCAGACGTGTCGATGGAAGAGACGTCACATTGATCGACACTCCTGGTTTGTTTGACACGGGTCGACCTGAAGAGGAGCTGAAGGCTGCAATAGTGAAGTGCATCACAGAGTGCTCTCCTGGGCCTCATGCTTTTCTCATAGTGTTTAAGGTGGAGAGATTCACTGGTCAGGAGCAGGAAGTGATCAATAAAATACATCAATACTTTTCTGAAGAAGCTTTCAAGTATGCAACAGTCCTCTTTACTCATGGTGACGACCTCAAGGAAGAACAGACCATTGAGGAATATTTCCACAACAATCAGCGTGTGAGTGATCTGATGAAGAAGTGTGGAGGCCGCTGCCACGTTGTTGATAACAAATACTGGAAGAACAACCAGCTGGATGATTACAGGAGCAACCAGTTCCAAGTGAAGCAGCTGATGAAGACCATCGATCACATGATTGAGGCAAACAAGGGAAGCTGCTACACCAACGAGATGCTACAAGCTGTGGAGAAACTGATACAAGAGGAGGAGGAAAAGATCAGACAGTCATCAGGAAACAAGACAGAGGAAGAGATCAGAGAGGAGGCTAAAAAGAGCGTATTTAAAATCCTTCGGATCAATTTTGCAGGTATTGCAACAGGTGCATTGTTAGGAGCTATTTTTAATGGCGACGTGGTGGTTGGAGTAGAGACATTTTTCCAGGAGATTATTTTGGGAAAAATAGTTCCAGCACTAGCAGAGTCAGTAGTAGGAGGAGCAACAGAAGGAGCTGGTAAAGTAGCAGGCTCACTGATGGCAGTAGGTGCAATGATCGGAAGAAGTTTTACAGGATACGATGCCGCTCAGGAAGCAGACACAGTCAGCGAAGCAATGGATAGGGCAGCAAAACCTGTCTTTAAGAAGTAAACTCTGTCTTTGAAGATCAGGAAGAACAAGCAGAGAACAAATTTGAATTAAAACCTTTAATCTGATTCTTAAAGATCTAAAATGTCCCACCTCCTTTTAAACAGGATTTTTAAAATTGGCAGGTTTGGCAGGTGCATTGTTAGAAGCTTTTCTTGGTGATGGAGTTCTAAACGTTTTTCCACAAAGCAAAAATGTTTTAGCATTAATAGTACAATGAGGAGCAACAGTAGGAGTTGGAGGAGGAGATGGAGTAGTGGCCGGAGCAGACACAGCTGGAACAACAGCAGGCTGGGTAATCGGTGCAGGTGTTTTAGCAGCAGCGATCAAAGGAGGTTTTACAGGATACGATGCCGCTGAGGAAGCAGGCACAGCAAGCGAAGCAGTAAAGAGGGCAGCAAAAGCTGTCTTTCATATAACCTCTATCTTTTAAGATCAGGGAAAAGCATATAACAAATCTGAATCAAAAGCTTTAATCTGATCCTTAAAGATGTAAAAATGTCCCACCTCCCTTTAAACAACATGGAATCTTTAACCATTGAGATGATGGTGTTCGTATGTAACAGGTCAAACTTCTTGCGTGAGCTTTCTTCTATTATCTGACTCTTATTTTAATGCAACAGCTGCAGGTTAAATTGTTTCCTGAATTAATTAAAGTACAATCTTTTCTTATTTGTAGCACAAAGTGCCCGATATGCTGTTTCCCATATGTATTATCAGCTGTGGCCACAAATAATGAATATAATGTTGTTTCAACATCTTGCATCAATAAGGTCTTTAGAAAATGTTCTAATCAAACTGGTGTGGTCTGTTGGATGTTGAATCATTGTTCTCTGTTACAAAGATTTGTGAGACAATCATTTTAGTTTTCAGTGGATCAAAATGTTACAGCAAGACAAATAAAAACTACGAATGAATTGAAGCCTTTGAATCATATTTTTACTTTGCAAACCCTCCCCCAACACACGCACACACACACACACACACACACACACACACACACGCGTACGTGCACATTAACCGCAAACGCAGTAAGTTAAAGTAAGACTTAGGTAAAGGGAGAAAAAAGAGACACACAGGATTAAAACTTGTTTGTCTTAATTTCTCTTAAGAAAGGATACCTAGTAGGGATCAGCAAAAATGGGGAGGAGTCAAATATAACTTTGCTTTCCATTTATTAAGTAAAGTAGTTCAAAACACGAAGCAAAGAACTCTTGGCTATAGTTTTACATGAAAACATAAATATTGTAGAAACCCCATTTAAAAAATGAAATGAATAAATCAAAATAAAATTTTACATAAACAAGCGAATGGTAGAGGAGATTTTATGACTGTCACACCGCGGTGAGGTCAAGTTGGGGTTTTGTCTTGTCTCCATGTTTTGTCTTGTCATTTCCCGTTTTATTTTGAAAGATTAACCCTCCTCTCATTTCAGGGGCCTCATTTACAAACGTTGCGTACGCGCAAAAGAAGGCGTACGCCGCTCTCTACGCAATAATTGGTATTTATAAAAAACAAACTTGACGTATAAATGTGCGGTCCTTCGCGCAAGCTCGGACCCGTGCGTACGCACAAAAACGGGGGAAATGAGAACCGTCGGCAAATGCAAGAAACACGCAAACGTGTGTGAAAGTGTGTAAAACTAGACTGTTGTGTAAATGAAATGCCAATACTGCCTCTCATAAATAACACCCGTTTGATCGATCTGCAGCGTAAAAGAAACAGAGATACAAATTAACACATTTTCAAAAAGAAAACTGAAATATGTTCTGCAATAATATTGGCATGTTATGCAATTCATCCTCAAAACACAGCTGTTATTTCTCAGATGCAAACAAATGGACGGTAATAAAATGCCATGATGCGTAATGACGCTGATGGCTGATCTTGCGCTCTTAGAAGATGTGGCAAATGGAAGGATTCGCGCTGTAGTGCAGCGCACCATCGGCCTGTTTAAGGGCAGATGACGCTGCCTCGACTGCACTGGAGGGAGGTTGTTGTTTACTCCTGAAAAGCTGTGCAAAATCGTGCTGTCACGTCTTCCAAACGTGCCTCGACCCCCCTGACGCCGATGTTGGCCCAGACCCTGTCCCCGATCCCCAATCTTTGCCGCCAGTCTCTCATCAAGAGGGCACAGCTCCGGTCTCCCCTTTCCCCACCCGGGTCAGACACACCTTGGCGATGGCGCGCTAAACGTTTTTTTGCATCCACTTTGATGTCAGACCATTTTTTCTTTTTTTCGGCCACGGTCCGAGGTTGTGAGGCTGCAGCGTTGCTGTGGTGCCTTTTTGGCATTAGTGATGCCCACACTGTGCCCTCCAAAAAGCATTTTACTTCTCCTTTCCACCTCGCCAATGATCATTTCGACACACTGAGTTAAGTTACGTTTCTTCGTTTTCCTCTCAGTGTTTGTCATGATTTCGCAATCGTTTGTGGGCGTTCCACAGACTATATATGGGCAACTATGGGCGTGACATGAAGGTTCATATCAAAGTGTGGTTCCTGGCACTCTGATGTCCAACCCCCCCCCCCCCGTTTCATTATGTGATCTTTCAGCTAGATATTTTGGCGCTGGAGAAGAAGACCTTTGAGTGGCCTTGATCCATGACTTTGTAGGTGTGTCACTTCTTTCTCCTGCTAGCAAGTACTATTTAATAAATGTCCTGTTTGGTTGATTTTACACCGTTGTCCAGTGCAGTACAGTACCGTTGTCCAGTTTTCTAACACTTTAGCCCGGTTGGATTCTGCCACAGACCGTTTCCTAAATGCTGCGAGGGTACCAGGTCACTTCACCCCCGTCACTGATCACCAGGATGGTGGAGATTCACACTACTGCTTTATATCTGTTTACTGACAGTTGTGATCCACATCACGTAGCTGCATTTACCTTTTAACAATAGTTTATTTTACAATGGCCACAATTAATGAGAGTCTTGTTATGAAGCCTGTATTTACTCTCCAGCTGAATATGATCGCTGCCAGAAATAAACCTACTAAGATAACATTCTTTTCAAGCTGTACTTTCCCACAGTCACCTTTTGTTAAACATCTTGATGTTCCACTTCAACCTGCTCGTCTGGAAACTGTCACAAAAACATTCATGACCTTTAGTTTGACTCATGTAACGCACTGTTTACTGGAATAAAGAAAACATGTTGTACCAGTACGAGGCTCCTCAAAAACATTGCTGAGCTGTATAAGTATCTGTATATGTATTTCTTGTAATTAAAACACAGTAAACGCATATAAAATGAATGAATTTAACTAAATACATTGCACTTTTCACTGATTTCTCTTCTACAAACAGTAAGTTAGTTACTTATGTGATGTCACAAGAGGCTGGGTCTTGGAAGGGAGATACGTTCGCCGTAGATGGCTGTAACTGCTATGGCTCCATCTGCCGGTGGAGTTAGGAACCCCACTCCGAGCATCCCCCTCACACCTGAAACCCATCAGGGTCTGACGACCTGAAGGCCTTCATAAGGGTGGGAGACACACCATTGAGGGGGTGAGAGAGACGAGCTGCAGGAGACCAGACCAATGCAGGAGGATGCCCGGAGACCGAAGGGACTGAGAAGATGGTGTATTCTCTTGAGGTAGGTGGATTCCCGATTCCTGATTAAAAGTCACACCTGACAATAAATTGCATGAAAACTTTTTCAGTATACATTTAACCATTGAGGTGAATGTTTATTCAAATGTCATATGTAATAAGTGTATCTTATGGTTTCAACTTAATCCTGTTTTACCAGCTAACCTCAGATAAAAGATAAATACAACAATAAACTGATTTACATATTTAAATGTAATCATTGATCAGAAAATGTCAAATCGATGTACATTATTTTGTTGAACAATAGTTGTGGTTCTTTGTGCATTTCAACGTCACAAATACATTGTAACCATTGAAAAATTTATTTGAGCAGATCAAGTTTTTTTTTTTTTAGAATTGACTACACAAACTAAGCAGAGTCCCTCCACAGCAGAAAAAATACGTCGTCTGTATTAACTTTTATTCTTCACTGACTTCTCTTCTACAAACATGGACTGTAAGTTAAAGTTACTACTTTGAGTGATTATTATTAACAATGCTCTCTGTCCACCACCTTACAACACGCAGGACACATTTTATTTATTTCTTTGAGACAGCAGGGGGCGCTAACAACCAAACAACGCACCTGTTGGTGCATCCTGTTGGACACTTGTAGTTTGTTAGTTTGTATTTAGCAAACGTGTTTAATTCAGAGTCCCCTTTTCTCTTCTAGTGTCGAACACTCCACCTTAAGGCGAAGCTGTGTCTCTTTGACACGAATATAAGAAGACTAATGCTACAGTGTATCACAGCTTTCACTACAGTGTAAATGTAACACGAACTCATGCAACACAGTCATTAATCATATTTAACAGTGAATCTAACTGGACCCGCCTCCCCCCCGAGGAGAAACGAAACTTAAACCTTTGCTTCCTGCTTCCTTTCCTCCGCCAACCTGAATCCTCACAAACACCAACATGTCCGGCGTCCCGCTGGACCAGAACCAGTTCTGCTGCTCGGTGTGTCTGGACCTGCTGAAGGAGCCGGTCACCGTCCCCTGTGGACACAGTTACTGCAGAAGCTGCATCGAGGACTGCTGGGACCAGGAGGACAAGAAGGGACAGTACAGCTGTCCTCAGTGCCGGGAGACGTTCAGCCCGAGGCCGGTTCTGAGGAGGAACACCATGCTGGCTGAGGTGACGGGGTCAGAAGCAAAGGTGGAGGTAGAAATAGTGGGGAATTAACTTTGAGGGCAGGAATAATAAACGTCTCATTAGTTCTACGAAGAAGGAAATGATTGTCACGCGCGGCGCGGGAATAACGCGGAAACCCGGAAATGACTCTTCTCCCTCTAATTCCCTTTTATTCGTCATTGTTTTTAAAAAATGGGTCAAAAAATGAGACGATAAAGAAGTCATTCAACAGCCCGACTTCCACAGCTTCGCAGTGCACTGCAGTGTGTGTGAAAGAGGAGTTATTGCTATTTATTTATTTATTTATGACACCTCGTGGCCGTATGCGCTCATCACATCTGGAATGATTTGTTTTTCACGGCTCACTCCTAATGAGCCACACCTGCTTCTATACAGCTTCCCCTTGACATGGAACCCAACTTCCACATGTTCATGCCGTGATATTCCTGTTATTGAATATATATATTCTGTAAATACTCATTATAATTGATATTTATGTGTACGTCCCTTTAGAGCTACAGCTGGTGCGAGTTTAGCTAATCCTACTGTATGTGGTGGAATATGTGAAATATGTGGAATATGTGATTTAAGGTTGTTGGTTATTGTTTGTATTATTCGTGAAGTGTAAGTATGAAGTAGAATAAAAAGGGGCGCCACAATACTGCATTGAAGTACAGTACTTGTGTAAATGTACTTTGTTTCCCGTATGTCCTAAATGCAGTGACATGACTCATTTAAATGTAGCGTCAGCCAATCACAGCCGCTGATCTTAACATGTGCACTCCTGATCTGTTCCCTCACTGACAACAACCAATGTAACCGTCTGCTCTTCTCTTGTCCTTCAATCCACAACCTCCAACAGTTGGTGGAGAAGCTGAAGCTGAGCGGCCCCCGGCAGCCCTCTGCTCCTCTGGCCCGCGCCGGCCCACAAGATGTGGCCCTGTGATTTCTGCAGCGGCGCCGGACCCAACAAAGCCGCCATGTCGTGCCTGACGTGCATGGCGTCCTACTGCCCGGCTCACCTGGAGCCTCACCGCAGCGTCCCCGTGTTGAAGAAGCACGAGCTGGTCTCCGTCAGCGTCCCGCTGCAGGAAAAGATGTGCGCGAAGCACAACAAGCTGATGGAGGTCTACTGTCGGACGGACGGGAAGTGCATCTGCTACCTGTGCGTTATTGATGAGCACAAGGGCCACAATACGTTGTCGTCTGCGTCAGAGAGGGCGGAGGAGCAGGTCGGTGCTTTAAACTGAGTTCTGCAGTTATCTGCTTGATTGAATGCATGAAATTGTTTTAATAACAGAACTATTCCCAATGAAACAAGGTAATCGCTTGTTGCCCAAACTATTTCTTTGCAGAATCAACTGCTCGCGAGTCAAAAGAGAGTCCAGCAGAGGTTCCAGGAGAGGGGGATGGAGCAGGAGGCGCTGCTAAAACTTCTGATGGATTTTAAGGTGAGGAAATTAAACTTCAGCCTTTAAACCTGAGTGCACACGGAGAGTCCAAGTGAGCGTTGCATTTTTCAAAACCACTGCAGAGTCGAGTGTTAAAACGTCAACAAAGGCTTCATTAACAGACATGAGTGAAAGATATCAGAACCTTTCCACGGAGAACGTATTTAAAAGACAGTAAAGTAAAAATCTTTTGTTTCAATGAACAGAGTTCTATCGAGCCCGCAGAGGAGACCTGTGACGAGATCTTCGATCAGATGATCCTCTCCGTCAACAAACGCCGCTGGGAGGCGAAGCAGCTGATCGGCGCCCAGCGGGAGGCGGTGGTCACTCGGGCCGAAAAGCTGCAGCTGCAGCTGGAGACGGAGATCAGTGACATGAAGAAGAGGGACAGCGACCTGGAGCAGCTGTCTCACACGGACGACCACATCCACTTCATTCAGGTACCACTTTGGTGCAGAGCGACTTTACCCACCTGGTCGTCCTGTCATGATGTGATGACCCGATAGTGACATCTGCTGGCCATGTTTGACGGTGCAACGTGTGAAGCTCCCGAAGCTAGCTATGAATTTCTGCTTTTCGTTTCGTTTGGCTTCATCTATTCTCCAACGTATTGATTTCCCTGCAGACCTTCCAGTCCCTCTCCGCCTTCTGCGAATCTGCAGACTTGCCACCTGTGTTGGTCTTCTGTCCTCAACACTCATTGTTGAAGCCTGTGACCGACTGCCTGTCTAAACTGAGGGATGACATGGAGAGCCTTCTGAAGGACGCGTGGCCCACAGTCAATGCCGCAGGTACCTTTCATGATTATATAGATTCAGATTCCTGCAGTAGTTCTCTCCAGGTCCAGAAGAATTCATGATTTATTTTTCTCTCAGTGTCTGCTATAGAAGTTGTGTCACCTGTGCCAAAGACCAGAGAGGACTTTCTACGCTGTGAGTCAAACATTTAAAACTCTTTGCAGTTCCAAGATGTAGCACATTAACGATGAAATAAATATTTAAAGGCAGGTATCTGCTTTGTTCTTCCTTCAGATTGCTGTCCTTTGACCCTGGACAGGAACGCCATATCCCAATATTTGACCATTTCACAAGACAACAGACGGGCGACGAGTACTTATGTTGATCGTTATCAGTATGATGGTCTTGGTCTTTATAGTGGCAGTTATTGTAATCAACAGCTAATACACCCCATTCAACACCCAGTTCCGATCATGCAGGTGTCGTGCAGTGAGGGCTTGTCAGAGCGGTGCTACTGGGAGGTCAGTTGGAGTGGTTATTCTTGGTCTGTGGGAGTGTGCTACAAAGACCGCAGGTCAAAGAACCTGGTGTTCGGAACAGATACCCAGTCCTGGAGTTTAACTTGTTCCCGAAATTCGTTCTCTTTCCAACACAACAACAAAAGAATTGCGTTGGTACGTTGTTCCACCTCCAGCGTCGGCGTGTACCTGGATTATCAACTAGGTGCTCTCTCTTTTTATGACCTCTCCAAACCGATGACTCTGCTCCACGAAGAACACATTAAGTTCACTGAGCCGGTCCATCCTTGCTTTGAGCTGAAGAGCAGTGCATCTCAGACCAATCTTACAGGACATTTTATAGAAGTGGGTAAGTTATGGTGATAACATTTACATTGGGGATGTAAATGTTCCCCTGCTGATCGGGCATTAGTCGGCTGCCTAGTAAACACCATATAGTTAATGAGAGGATGATATTACAAGAACAAAGACCTTTGAATCAACTCTTAAATCCCGCCTTGTCCCTCTTAAAGGTCCTGCCGCTTTTCAAAAGGCAAAGTAAGTTTGTTTCTACAGTGATTCCGTGGTTTTCATGGAAACAGAAGAGGCACCAGAATGGAGCTTTGGGGAACTCTGGGTGTTTTTCTCGGCTTGCATGATGCTGTTTAGTCACACCCAGTTTTCAACTCTGCCTCGAGATCTAATAATAGTGAGAAAGGAATGCTGCCCCGTCATTGTTTAAGGGGATTTAATTGAAGACAAGAGCAGTACTTCGATGACGAATCAAGTTCTAATTTTGAGCTCCTGTTTTCTCTGTAGCTTTTCAGCGCCGGCAGGAAATTTGGCCAGAAATACTGGCAGGTTCATGGCCATTTATTTAGATTTTGAAGCATTTATGTGATGAAGAATATGTTTTGGATCCATTCGTTAATAAATGCATATGCAGCACCCTTTGTTTCTGATTGTCATTTGTCTCCTGACAGGATAAACGGCCATAAGTCTCATATCACATTTAATCAATCAATTTCCTTTTTAGCTTAGTGTTGTGCTGTGTGGAGATGGTTTTCTGCGCCTGACGATATTAAATCGTTCACACTGTTGTGCGTAGAAAACTATATCGATGTGATTTACTCAATCTAAGGGTAAAAAATTAATTCAAATCATTTATAGTTTATAGTAAAATAGTTATATTATGTGTCTGAAAGCTCTGTGACGTGTGTGTGTGTGTGTGTGTTAGCTTCTCTCTATCAATAGTAGAATTGGATATGAGTTGAAGCCAAGTAGCAAGGACACACCTATAACACAGTCACAACTCAAATAGCTGCAGGATATTTGAAAATAATGATACAAAAATGCATGGAACGAAACTTTCACTACTTTAGCACAATTTCAGAGATTTAATGAAATTTATTTAGAATGACTCAGTCCATTCAAAGAAAATGAAGTCAAGTTGTAGGCTTGAAAGGATTTTTGTACATTGAATTCAAGGACCAAGTTATTTTCCTTGGGGAAAAAATATTTAATTCTCTGCAGGGCTGTGCCATAATTAATTGTAATATTGTATAGTATATTAACTGTTCTTTGCCATAAGTATTTTTTATTAAAGTTATTGTCCTACTCTATTGCCCCCTTGGAGATTAGCTGCTGGCAAAAATAGAGAGAAATAATAGACACAAGCAAAGAAAACAAATATATATTATAACGTAAGTTATAAGTTTCATTAACATCAATTAATCTTATCCATTGGCATACGTGATCATGCAGATAGTTTGAACTCTAACACCATTTGTACCCTGATGACAGGAGCTACTTTACACAGAGCAACCGGTTGATCAGTAACCAACAGTCACGTGACCCGCAGTGACCAACCACATATTTCTTTACGCTTTTATTTCAAGTTTTAAACGAGACAGGTGGCATTCCAGAACAAGTGAGTTTGGTGTCAGCAAAGTGCACTGAGGCTTCATTCTGGTCAACTTAAAGAGCCGACGAGCCAATCAGCAACAGATTCTTTTATGTACCTGGAGGCCACGCCCTCTGTCCAACGTCACGTAACCAGCAACAGGTTCATTTGTATTTTATGAACAGCTCCACAAAACACATAGCTTACAAAACATATGCCTCTAAAAAAAGTTCTATTAAAAGCCCCAGGGCCAAAGCAGTCATGAAGTCAAAATAAAATAAGAAAAAAGGTTCTCGAATAATATAATAACAATAACACTAATTAGTATCTATTATATATTATATAATAAATAATATAATATAGTATTTTTCTCTCTCATCTTAGGACATTTGGGGTTATGAATCACCTCCCCGCAGTAAAAAGGTCAGGTGACCACATCTGTCATGTGACTCCGCCCTGTTGACACTAGGAGGCGCAGCAGTCAGAGGGGCTGCTTCACCCTTCTTCCTGCCCTCCTCGGGAGCTGAACACCATGGGTGACATTTACCAGCACCCTGTGTTCTTTGAGTGCCACGGCCCCCTGGGGGAGCGGGCCGGGACCATACAAAGATACTTCAACGTGCGCCGCAAGTCGGGCGGAGGAGACTGCGGGCCGCTGGAGAGACGGAACGAGCGCACCTACAGCGTTGCGTTCAAAGACCAAAGAGGTAGGCGAGGCCTTTAGGCGCTGTTTGTGTACTATTGTTTGGAATTCTAGTGATACTACAATCAGATGTTGGTAAATCACACCGTGGGGGAGTTTGTGAGATTGGATCCAAGACGGAAACCCTCATCATTCTTCTCCCCCGAAAGTGAAACCTAAAATAGGAAGACCTGAAATGAGGTCTAGAAATTATCAAACTTGTCGAGTCTTTTTTTTTTTTTTAAACTTCCAACTAAATGTCTTTTTTCTTTCTTAGATCAGCAGGAGGTCCTGAGGAGATCCGAGCATGTCGTGGACGGTTTGGTGTTGTTCGTCCGAGGCAGCCTGGAGCCTCTCACCCCCTCTCCGAGACATCAAACACAGGTCGGGACACATCTGTGCGCATGTGCATTGGCCCCGTGCGTGCAACTCCTACAGGCGTATATGACAGACTACACACGGATAATTTGATTTATTGAGAATAAAACCTTTTATACTTTAGCTGATAGTGGCTTACGGGACTATGGTTTTGAATGCAATACTTTTGTCTTTTTAGTGGAATATTTGAACACATTTAACAGTATTTGACTGTCAGTGATTTCAGTTTGAGAAATCACTTGAAAAACAATTAATATATATATATATATATATATATATATATATATATATATATATATATATATATATATATTCCTAATCTTGCCTTCAGATATGGTTTATAATAGTGTATAATGGTGTAATAAAATAAATAAATATATATATAGATATAGATATATGATAGATATACATATATTATTATAGATAATATAGACAATATTTACCGGAAATATAGTGTTCAGTGACAGTTTGGAAGCCACCAAATTCTGCTCAAATAAGCAGATATCTGCAGTGCAAAGTGATGTTTAAGCACTCGCTTGGCTGTTTGAATTGCACATGCAGGACCTCTAGACATGGATTGCAATTTTGCTTGCAGCCATTGATTTGCCATCACATATTTAAGTTAAGCCATAAAAGTTGTATTTTTTGTAATGTCCCCGCATAGTAATGGATTTTTTTTCACACAGCAATAAGGGGTTGTTATCATTATTTTTATTTTTCCTTTGAACACAGATCCCACAATGCAATCCTGCTTCAACCCCTTCGCCAAGTGAAGAGAAATATGAACTGCGACTTGATCCTCACCTGCTACGTTATCTGACCGAGTGCCCCCCTGCTATGAAAGAACTAGAAAAGGCACTGGCCTCTGTGGCCTGCACGGCCCAGCTGTACCCAGAGGAGGACCGGGTTCTAGTTAGCCGGTTAGCTCAAGCTGGTGCTCCAGTCAGTAATTGGAAAGCCGAGGTAGACAAACTCTTTGATGGCTACCTGTGCCACTATGAGGTGGACCCTCACAAGGTTAAAGCTTTACTTCAGCCCGGCGCCTCTCGTCAGGCCACAGGTGAGGTGAAGGTGTACAGTGAGGTTGGGATGGTCGTTGTGGTTGGGGAGCGTTCTCAAGTGAACGCCAGGTTGATGGACATCGATGACTCGCATGTTAAACAACGGCCAGGTCACATGAAGCAAAAGAGCACCCGTCGACTGGGTGAGGCCAAACTCCGCCTCCTCTGGAAAGACATTGAGCAAAGATTGAGACAAGATTTTCCCGAAGTGAAGGTCACGGAGGGAGCTGCAGGTCAAATAGTTTTGGAAGGTTCTGTTGACGAGATTCTTAAGGCTGGAGATTGTATCTCTCAGCACGAGAACCGCGTTCTAGAAAGAACTGTTTCTGACATAAGCCCACGTCTTTTGGCCTTCCTAAGAAAGGCATACAGCGGCCCAGGTGGGCTAGGGGACTTTTTAGGGGTTGGTGGCAATGTGGAAATAGAATTACGAGACACAGAGGTACGTTTCTTTTCTCTATGCACTGATGATCTTGATGAATCTGTAAAGGCACTGCAAGCTGAGATCAAGGAAGTAAAGCTTGATGTCCCTAACTGCTCCTCCGTGCCACCTGATCTTCTTGAAAAGCTAAAGTCCATGACATTTGATATGGACAAGGGCCAGCACAGGGCTCAGGTAGTGTTTGGCCCAGGGAGCACAGTGTGGCTACTGGGCCACACCAAAGAGGTCGATGAGCTAAGGAAAGGTGTCATACATTCTTTGGACGAGTCAAGTAATGAAAGCATTATCCATCTGCCTTTCCCAGAGTTAGCACAACAGTTGCCAGAACTGCTGCAGGCGTATGGTGTTGACTATACAGGGGTTACCTTTATTCCCAGAACATCTTCCTCTGAATCCACGGTGGTGCTGCGAGGTCCATCCAGCAAAGTGACCGAGATCACAAACTGGCTAGGACTATTTCTGGACTCACATCTTGAAGACCTTGTGCTTCGAAGTTTAAGTGAAGTAAACACAACAGTTGCTAGCTACAGCCTTCGCGATGGGTTCCAGGTGCTGGTGTGTCAGGGTGACATCACCAAACAGGAAGCTGATGTCCTGGTGAACGCTGCCAACGAAGATCTGGAGCACACCGGAGGGGTCGCTGCTGCTTTAAGTAAAGCAGGTGGCCCTGAGGTGCAGAAGGAGTGCAGAGCTTTAGTGAAGCAGTGGGGAAAAGTTCCTACAGGTCGTGTAGTATCCACCACAGGGGGGAACTTAAATTGCAAAAGTCTGCTGCATGCTGTTGGGCCTGTGGGAGGAAAATCAGGTGGCAGAGAGAGGATCTTACTGGAAGCAGTTATCCAGTCTGCTCTGAATTCAGCAGAGTCGATGGGGTCCAGGTCAATAGCCATCCCGTGCATCAGCTCGGGTGTGTTTGGTGTACCTGTCGCACTGTGCTCTGACGCTATTGTAACTGCTGTTAAGAAGTTTGCCGGTCAGGGAGGGCAAAGCCTGGGTAGAATCATTCTGATTGATACCAGAGTAGAGGTGGTCAGGGCTATGCGGGAAGCATGTGACCGCCATCTCCACGGAATGAGTAGCGGAAGCGAGGTACCCAGAGATCCGGGGTTTCAAATGGGAGCCACTGCTGGAGCTCCTGAAGATGGCGTCCTTGTGGAGATCGTTCAGGGATCTGTGGAGACCCAGCAGGTGAGAAAAGTATTCAACATGCTTATTGGATGGTAAGAAAACACACTTTTAGTGTAAGTGCTTGAAAACTTTGTCCAGTGTGTGTCACCAGGTTTATAGTATAGTACAGTAAGCAAACACCATCTCTTGCTCTCCTTCTAGGCGGATGCCTTGGTTTCACCCATGGTTGGCCATGAACCTCTTTCCACCCATGTTGGAAACACTTTGTTTAAAATGGTTGGTCCCCAGTTGACTGCACCGTTTCGAAAGGAAGCAGAAGAAGAAACTGTGCCTGGTGACGTAGTCCTGGTGGAGGGCTTGCCTGCGCTTCCGTCTAATGCAGTGTTCTTCGTCAACCTCGCTCCCTGGGACGAAGACCAAGATGGAACTGCAGTTCAGGTGCAATAGTGTGGAGGATTGTTTTCTGTGCTTCGCACCTTAATACAGATTTAATTTAGCCTCTCCTTAAAAACAATTGGACTCTGACATTTTCCAGGTTCTGAAACTGGCTATCAGCAACATCCTCACGTCCTGTGACAACAGAGGGTTTGGATCAGTTGCTTTCCCGGTACTCGGTGCTGGGATCGCCCTGCAGTTTCCCGGCAGATTGGTCGCCATGGTGCTACTGGAGGAAGTTCTTGAGTTTAAAAAGAACCGAGCCAGCAGAACACCCTTCGTGGTCCGCGTCGTCATCCCCCCCGATGATAAAGCATCCATGGAGGTACAATGGAAATGCATTGTAGCAAAAACACAGACAATCCATGATGGGTTAAAGTTGTCTGGAATATAGTAAGGGTATACTTTACTTACTTTAATTTTCTTTTCCAATTTCCAAGGTCATTAGAGGTTAAAAAACATGGCTTATATTGAGTGCAATAAATATTTTGTCAAAAATAACCCTATTGCAGCAATAATTGCACATTTATTTATACAAAAATAATAAATCCCCAAAACAGATATCTGCATATGAATGCGGAGTGGGCTTTTGTTGAGATGGAAATTTGGGCGTGAATTAAAAATGTAAAATCTCAAAAACCCAAAACATGGCTTCTGGTAAAACAATCCAGTCCAGACTACAGTTGATCATTGAAGTAACAAACCAGCATAAACAATAGTGTTTTTAAACCTGTGAGTTATAGTTAACATTTTAACAGACCTGATATGTGTATATATTTGTTCTACTTTTACTCTACAGGCATTCACTTCTGTCCAGGAAGCTTTACAACTCAAGAGATTGGCAAAAGATGTTCCTCAACCCGACCAAGGTGGGCATCGATATGATATCGTAGCAAAGAACTGGAATACAGATCTGTGGCACTCATCTTCCTGTTTTTTCTTTGATGTAACTAGATTAAGCATTATTGTAAGGAAAGTAGAGACGTTTTCAAAAGAACTCCATTACCTATTTATACTCAGATGTATTTGATATGAAATAAGGTACATATTGTCAGCCTCCAAATGTAATTGTCTCTTCCAGTGTCAAATACAAGGAGGATCGTCCTGCTGGGGAAAACTGGATACGGGAAAAGCCACCTAGCTAACACCATATTTGGAGACATTCTTTTCAAAACAGACAATTCTCCCAACTCGGGAACAATTGAATGTCATTCAGAAACCCAATCTGTCAACGGTAGAAGGACCACCTTGATCGACACTCCTGGTTTCTTCGACACAGTGAAGCCCGAGGAGACGCTGAAGGCTGAGATAGTGAAGTGCATCACGGAGTGCGCTCCCGGGCCCCACGCCTTTCTCATCGTGCTGAAAGTGGAAAAATTCACAGAGCACGAGCTGGCCGTCACCGAGAAAATACGGCAATACTTCACCGAAGAGGTTTTGAAATATGCCGTGATTGTCTTCACGCATGGCGAGGACCTCCCCAAAGGGACGAAGATCGAGCAGTTCGTCTGTCAGAATGAGAGTTTGAGAGATCTGGTGGAGAAGTGTGGCGGCCGGTGCCACGTCGTCGACAATAAACACTGGACGAACAAACAGCCGAACAACTACAGGAGCAACCAGGCCCGGGTGGAGGATCTGCTCAACACAATAGACGAGATGGTGACGCAAAACAATGGAGGCCACTACACCAACGAGATGTTTCAGGTGGTGGAGAAAGCGATACAGGTAGAGGAACACCGCATACAACAAAACCTGTCGTCGGGAAACATGCCGTGGGAAGAGATCAGGGAGCAGGCAAAAGCCAGAGTGAACGAGAGGCTCCTGATCCAGCTGGCGGGCACAGCAACAGGAGCCGTGGTGGGAGCTTTTTTTGGATTGGCAGCAATGGTCGGATTGGTTGTCCTGGCTGTAAATAACTGTGCGCATCTGGTGAAACTTTTAAAAACGGTTCCAGCACTAAGTGGCATTGGAGCTCCAGCAGGTGCAGGAGTAGCAATGGCAGGCCAAGTGGTGTTGGGTGTCGCCATCGCGGGCATGGCGGCAGTAGGGGGAGTAATGGGTGGTGTTATCGGTAACAAGGCAGCGGAGGGAGCCAAAACACCATTGGAGGCAGCAGAAATGGCAGCAAATGCTGTCATAAACAAAGGGAAAGCTAATTTAAAGTTGCCTCGGTAGTTTCTTTCTGGCCCCCTGGCAAATGTTTATCCAAAATTCATTCCATTTATTTGTTTTTTTTGTCTAGACCAACTCTTGATCTCCGCGGGGAACTCCATGGTTGGGGGATGATTCTCTCCGGGTTTGACGCGACGAGCGGACAATTAATCCATTGTCAACACAACAAAAATATATCAGTGTAGCTTGAACTAAAGGGAAAAAGAATTGGGGAGAATCACAACAGTCAAACAAGGCAGAGATTCTGAAAAAGGTGGAGGGAAATTTTTATTCTAAAAAGTTGAACCTATTACTTCAAGAATTAGCCAAAAATAGTTGATATGCAAGACAATTGGGCTCATGTGTATATGTTGGTAATGTGTTGAGTAAAAGATTATATTAATCCAAGAATTATCAAACCGTGAGGGTTTGAATGGGGACCATAACTGAAGCAAGTGGGATTGTAATTCACTTTTTTCCACTGACCTGTTATTCATTTTTATTGTGCCATTATAATGTTTGATAGAAATCTTTATTTCACCAATAAAAGCACTGATTGGAAACACATTTTGTCATATGTCCATTTTAGTTTCCCTGTTTGACCCTGTGTGTGTAGCTCTGTTTGTAATGCACCTGCAGCCTCTGGTCCACAGGGAGCTTCCTACAGCGAAGACAAATGCTTCCTCCAATCAGTCACATCAGTCATTGCAAAGACGATGTGCAGCCAATATAATATCATAAAACATTTAAACATTTATCTGTCTGAAAAGCGTCACAATTTCACAGACCGGACAGACATTAACACACTTCCCCGCTGAGTGTGTTTCCTTATTTTGGAGCTTTTTATGGGCGCACAATCCCACAGGCCTTGTTTCAGGGTATTGCAGTCATACAAGTTAAACATATAGAAATTGTACAGATAAGATACTGTGAAGTTATTTGTAATTCATTACCAGGAACGACATGTAAATGTTTCAAGCGCATGCACAAAGACGAAGTTGCACTAACTTAAATCTAAACCAAAATAAAAATAGTTTCTCCAGGTTCGTCAATTTAAGGCAATTCAATTTCCTCAGGCTTTGATAGATGACTCTTCTTGGTGCTTGAGATTGCGGTCTGCCCCTTTGAAACACGTTGATTCATTCGGTGGACGTTGAGCCTTGAACCTCACACCCTGATCTGGAAAAGCCTCACCCCTTCTGGTTGGATCAGAGAGTCATCTCCGTCTTTTCCAACCAAATGAAACCAGCCCTGTAGCGTTGTCTTTTCACTAAATTGCTTTTTGTGAAAATGGCTGCCGAAAAACAAGAGGAGCGACAAGGGTTTGACCTGGACCAGAACCAGTTCTGCTGCTCGGTGTGTCTGGACCTGCTGAAGGAACCGGTCGCCATCCCCTGTGGACACAGTTACTGCAGGAGCTGCATCGAGGACTGCTGGGACCAGGAGGACAAGAAGGGACAGTACAGCTGTCCTCAGTGCCGGGAGACGTTCAGCCCGAGGCCGGTTCTGAGGAGGAACACCATGCTGACTGAGGTGAGGGCAGAGTTATGCAACAGGAAATCGTCTACAAAGCCTTTGTCTTCCTCGTATTAGTACTGGTGGTGGTAATATCACTGAGAGAAACAATTCTGTGGAGTTTTTGTCCTCCAAGAGCAGAATATGAATGTACGAACCTTTCTTGATCACTGATGAAGCTCTGTGTCACATCTGGGAATCGGGGGCCAACTTTGAAGGTTGACTTTACAAAAACTGATTGAGACTTATGAAAGATACCTTTCATCCCATACTGCATATGCTTTATGCATAATGTCAACATTATTACTCAGTTAGAAATGTTTCCACATTACACGGTTTGCTCAACAGGAAGCACTGATGAAATTACTCACGCCGGTTGTTAGTATAAAACATCAGAATATTTTCACTGTTCTAAGGGTTTCTTGGTCATCAGGGACTGACATTCCCAACCCCCCCCGTACAGGTGGTGGAGAAGCTGAAGCTGAGCGGCCCCCGGCAGCCCTCTGCTCCTCTGGCCCGCGCCGGCCCACAAGATGTGGCCTGTGATTTCTGCAGCGGCGGCGGACCCAACAAAGCCGCCATGTCGTGCCTGACGTGCATGGCGTCCTACTGCCCGGCTCACCTGGAGCCTCACCGCAGCGTCCCCGTGTTGAAGAAGCACGAGCTGGTCTCCGTCAGCGTCCCGCTGCAGGAAAAGATGTGCGCGAAGCACAACAAGCTGATGGAGGTCTACTGTCGGACGGACGGGAAGTGCATCTGCCACCTGTGCGTTATTGATGAGCACAAGGGCCACAAAACGTTGTCCGTTTCACGACAGAAAGCGGAGACGGAGGTAGACCGAAGGTCGATTTGTTGTTACGTAACCCATTCACTTATCTGTCCTCCCAAAGGGAATGTAGCCATTCATTAAGTCGTTTAATGGCCTCTGTTGAGCCCGTGACACGAAATGCTCACATGAATCAATGATCACGCCTCCTTTCCTTGCAGCAGCGACTGCTTTCCAGTCGACAGGAAGTGCAGGCGAAGGTGAAGCAGAGAGAGGCGGAGCTGCAGAGGCTGAGCAGAGCTGAGCACGACGTCACGGTTTGATCCATAGATCCTCATTTATTCTGAAACGTCACTGAGGGTGATGCGGCGACATGTTTCCTGTGGATATGTTTAAAAGTCATCACGGGAGTCACTTATACGAGCCTTTGAAGGCTTACAGTTGAGTGTTTTCTTCTCTTTATTCCAATAAATTCTGAATTTGGGTTCCTGGAACAGAGAATTCAGGCAATTTTGGCCTCCGTGGAGGTCAAAGGTCAACATCAGTGTAGAGACGGTGCCCTTTGAGTTAAGGTTCCCTCGTGTTCGTCCAACGTGTTTGAGCTAATTTAAAAAGTAAAACAATTCTCGTTTGCCGTCAGACGCGCGCCAAGGCCGCGATGGAGGACTGCGACCGGATCTTCGCGGAGATGATCACCTCCACGCAGGGCAGACGGGGGAAGGTGAAGCAGCTGATCGGAGATCAGGAGAAGAAGGTCGTCGCTCAGGCGGAGGAGCTGCGCCTTCAGCTCCAGGAGGACGTCAGCAAGCTGAGGGGCCGAGACGCTGAACTGGGTCGGCTGCTGCATGACGACGATCACGTCCATATGATTCAGGTACCGGGACTCTTTTCACTGGTGTTTGACTGAACGTGCATTCATATTTCGCTTAAATGCCCGGTTTTTTTCCGTCCCCTCAGAGTTTCCAGTCTCTTTCTACTTTGTGCGACTCTCCGAACTTCTCCTTCGACGCCGCCGCTCCCCTGCGCTCCTTCGGCGAGGTGGCCGAGCGCGTGTCGGAGCTGAGATGCAAGTCGGAGGCGGTTCTGAAGGACACGTGGCCCAGGATCTCTGCCACAGGTAACGCATGGAAATGCATAACTCCAGACTCAGGTAATGGCCCCTATTCACAACCGACTTCCTTTCACAGTCTCTTATGTCGACTTCTCACTACCGGCAGCACCAACAAGCATGGCGGGCTTATTGAGCTGTAAGAACTCTTTTTTTTTTAACTTCTGAATAAAACAATCCTTGGCAGAGTGCGAATGTCCTCACTCGGGTTTCCCCCGGCAGATCGACGTCGCCTCACTTTGGACGGCAACACCAACTACCCCTACCTCCACCTCATAAGGGACCACCTCAGGGTGAGGCCTTCGCCCGCCGCCTACCCCGCCCACCCGGGCCGGTTCGCCAATTGGCCCCAGGTGCTGTGCAGGGAGGCCCTGACGGAGCGGTGCTACTGGGAGGTGGAGGGGCACGCTCGCACTCTGTCGGCGGCGGTGGCGTACGAAGACGTGAGCCGCTCGTCTCGGTTCGGGCAGGACGACAAGTCGTGGAGCCTGGAGTGCGGAACGGGGGGGGAGCTGCTGTTCCGTCACGACAACGTGGAGACGAGGCTGTCGGGGCCTCGCTCCAAGAGGATCGGAGTGTTTCTGGATTATGAAGCCGGCACGCTGTGTTTTTATCAGGTGCCGCAGCCGGTCGCGCTGCTCCACAAAGTCCACACCACGTTCACCCGGCCGCTCTACGCGGGGATCGGGCTGGACTACCTGTGGTACGACGTCGGCGTCTTCGCACAGCTGGTCAAGTTATGGCAGTGAAAGCGTTGGTTCTGCAACGACGATTCCCTCTGCTGGAAAAGTTGTTTCCCTAAAAATGAAAGTGAACAATATTGCTTTTGCATTTTTATGGTTTGTGATTCAAAATGAAATTGCATTGCTTGTACAGAAGATTGCATCAGATTACAATAGTTATAATTAGCTAACAATTCTCCAACAGTCTGCTTTGGTTTTCTGATTTCAAGGTTGGTTGTTTTGTGGCGATGTGGGTTTGCACTTGTCAGTGAGGCGGGAGACTTAAAATCTAATAAAAAATAAGATACATTTATAAAAATAAAAATAAAAAAGGTACCAGCAATGCCACCTAGTTGCGGAGTCTAGGTCTCCATAAAAACAAGTTCTTTTTCACCGGAGGAAGAACAGCAGGGATCACAAGACTTAAAAGCGTGGTTTAAAAGGAGGATTTTATTATTAACCCATAAATAACTACAATTGTATTTAAAGTGCTAAAAAAGATTAAGAATTTGACCAGCCACTGCTGCTGATCCGTCCTGCCCTTTCTTGAGTGAGGTGTCCAGTCCGTCTCGTTCGTCTCCTCGTTTGCACCCCGCCTGCTCGTCCGCCGTCCTCTCGCTTGATTTCACTGTGGCGTCTCCTTCCAGGCCGTGCTTAGTGTCCTTTATAGCAGCTGTGTTAATTGGAGAGGGGAGGTCCTTTCATTGTGTAATGCGGTTGGCCAGGGCTCTCTGTAATTGATTAGTCCCTCCGGGTGCATGTAGTTTACTGAAAGATGGGTTAATACGTAAAAATGTAATAAAAAAAAACATGCTAAAATGCAAAACCAAACCATGCTAAAATATAACAAACCAATAATTTACAGAAACCACAATGTCCCCCTGGTGACACACTCTGCCTCTCGAACTGTAATGAAATGAATAAATGGCCTCACACAGGACTTGTGTGTGTGTGTGTGTGTGTTGTGCGCCGGTCTCTGTTATTCCCTAGTTGGGTGGAGTTGGAGATAATCAGCAGATTGAGAGACATTTTAGTCTTGGAATATCATTCAGTTTAAAATCACCCTCTCGTTTTGTGTTTGAAATACCACTAAATCCCCTTTGTATTGTTCCACACGGTAACAAGACAGTTTAACGGCACACAGGTATTGCCTATTCATGACATCCATGCGTCTTGCTGTGAATTCAACTGACTGTGGCTTCAATAACATCTTGTCATGAACGCATGCATGTTACAACATGCAATGACACAATTAGAAAGCGACACGGTGAGAACAGAAGTGCGTTTTGCAGCGATCGGCTTGGCGAGGTGCCACCAGGGGAAAAAACGGACTCACCCTTTGAGCTGACTCCCCACAGGAGGAATTCCTGTGAGGATTTTGACAGGCTGCCAGGGCAGCCGGTGGGACACACCTTTCCCTCTCACTTCTCTACGTGTCAGAGCAAGCATGACAAATCAATCACAGAGACTTCAGAAAGACACAGAGGGAGAGAGAGAGAGAGAGAGAGAGAGAGAGAGAGAGAGAGAGAGAGAGAGGTTTTGGGGGGAACACGGGCAGAGACGGGTTTAAAAGAAAAAGGAAGACCACTCATTTCGCTGCTCTTGGTGTCTTCTGTCTCCTGTCGGGATTTACAGTTGATGACTTGAGGTGAGTTCGTCTCACATTCCTCTCCGAGTTGGTTTCTGTCGACAAAAGCAGTGCGGTGACAACGGGCGACAAATCCCTGCGGTTAATTCTCCCGGCGGGGCCTTCTGTTTCCTTTCCGAGGATTTAAAGAAGTTTAAAGGGTTCAGCTGGTTGTTGTGATTTGTTAATATATACGAGCAATCTGAGTGTGTGTTTGGTCTCCGTGGGCAGAGGTGGGTGAGTTTCAGGAGGTGTGTGCATGAGTCGCACAATGCACACAAACACGCCTTGTGAGTCAGAAGGGTGATGTTGTCACACGGGGAGCTCCGTTTGCACACATTATAGGAAAAAGCAGAGAATGTCCGCAGGGTAAGACAACTAAAAGGACTCGATCCTCGATCGGACAGTGACGCCGAATCCAAAGGGTTCTTGTTTTGGAGCCATTGCGCAAGATGCCCCAGTTTCAGCGCCTTTGATTTGTCAATGTGGTCTGACCGGCTTTCTGCAAACACTGACAGCTGGTTGCATCTGTTCGTCTCTGTCGTCCTCTGAAAGGTGGAAAAATGCTTTCGTCTAAGGGCATTTCCTGTGCAAAACACTACAAACGATTACTTGTTCATTATTCACCATAAATTCTAGTGTTTCCCTTTGGAGAACCTTTTATTTTATTGCGGCGGGATTTGCTCCGCTTTGGTTCTCCCGTTCCTTTCCCTTGCCAGCGGGCCCACGATATCAGCAGTGAATCAGACGATTAGAAATACAGCGAGATCTTTATGCCGATGAAGGTCAGGCATCAGTACTCAGGTGAGACACAGTTTCACGGGCATTCATAAGTTCCTCACGCTGACATTTAAAAATGTTGTTCAGTGTAAAGAAGGAAACGAGAGCAAACCACCAATGTGCCAAATACATAAAAGCGTTTGTTTCTTCCTTCAACAAAAAACCCCGAAACGTTTTCTGAGCGAATAAAGAAAGTGACGAGGAGAACCCCCCTTTATTTGTGGTTAGAGTGAAAGCTCCATTGAATAAATGGTGTGGTTGTCAAGACGCAATCATTCCATCTCTGCTATCGTCTGTGATACAACCTGGTGCACCTTGGTCTACCAACTGCACGCTGATTTAATCTTTGATAATCCGTAATAACACAGAGAAACTTCAAAAGGTTTTGGTTTGCAGATGTGGGTGTAAATAAGTGGACGGGTACACAAACTGACTGATTGCGTAGTCAGGGAGTCATGCTGGGTGAAGGGGGCAGTGCTCTTGATATAAAGATCTGTCCAACAAGCGACGACATGTTGCATCTGAAACCCTTTATTCCAGTGACATGAAATGGCTCTCGTACACACACACAGAATGTTGCCTGGCAGGAGATCATCACTGAGACAAAAGCGTGTGTTGCACCAACATAATAAGGCACCTTTAGTGATTGCATTGGGCTATCAGTTATTCATTGTCATATTTCAAAGTGCTCCTGGTTAATCTCTTAAAGAATGAGATTATGGACGTATTCATTGCTGTTTCTGTTATTATCAAGTCCCACGGACCAGGGGTGCCCACACTTTTCAGGCTCGCAAACTACTTTTCAACTGAGTCTCCCCTAAGTACCCCGAAGTCGCGGTGACGAGCAACAGCACCGCCGTAAGCGCAAGACGAGTTGATATGAAGAAAACAAGGAGCCTCTCATCTGTCCGAAGGAGGAAACCCGTCACAAGCATCCCGCACGTTCTTGGTCATTACCTTACTTACCTTACCTTACCTTACTGGCAGCCCGGGCTGCTTTGGAATGAAATTAAATGCGTTATGAAGCAAGGGTCGCCAATTAGCATTAGCATTAGTTTCGGTCAGACCGCACATGCGTGACGTCATTTTTCTTTTTTAATCGATGGCACGCGATGGACTGGTACTGCCTTCGCGGTCGCAGTCGGCCTGCTGGGCCGTGGGCCAACCATGTACATCAACCCTCAACCATCGTCTCACATATAGGTGCTTTCATTTTCGAAATACTACCAAACTACACTGTAATTACCAGGAAAGTGTGTTAATGTGTTTGGGTTCTAGTTTGTAGTGCCGGTCAGAGTATTACGCAGTACGACCGTATTAGTGGTGAAATGCATTGTGGCCGTTTATCCAGAGGAAACGCGTTGGGTTTTTAACGGTGGAGCTTCTGTGGGACAGAGGATTTAAGATACTCCGGCGCCCGACACGCAGTCGATACTTGTTAGTAAGTGTTTTCGTGAGATTAAATGGGTCAACGACTTCCCTGTATTAGACACAAATGTGATGAAGTGTCCGTAACGGTGGTTTCTGTGCTCCTCATTGTGCTCCACTCACGTCTGGTCTTGTCTTTACAGGAATTAAGAAGCACTGTTACAACCTGTTACCGCCACTCTCCCACGTTTTCTTCAGAAATACGCAGCTCTGTCTTGTCAAACGGAGGCTCGTGCCAAATAAAACATGGTGTAGGAAGTGAGACATTTTATTACTCAATAAAAAGTACCAAAAAAACCGGAATACTTGTTTAGAAAACCGCCCTAGAAACACTATCTCACATTGGTGATGCTTTTCACAAAGCACCCATTGGTTTGCTTTGTTAGGAATCAGGAATCAGGAAACATTTATTGCCAAAATATGTTACACATACAAGGAAGTAAAATAAAATGCTAATACAATGGGTTAGTAGAATAAGGCTATGGGTTAGTATAAAACAAGAGAATAAAGTTGAAGTAAAAAAATGTAAAATATTTAAAAAGTAAAAAAAATATTAAGCATAAGGTGCACTAGCAAACAGGTATTAATGCAGTCAAAACAAAATATATGTCCCGAGGTAAATATTAACAAACCTTCACCAATATCTTCTCTCTGGCAGGTAACAAACATGTACTCGACTGTCTTCCCGACCAATTCCACCAATTCAACAAGCGAGAGCGTCGTGAACCGCGGAAGCGGCACTTTGGGCGCCCTCATCCTGAGCCTCGCCTTCCTCCTGGGCTTCCCGGGCAACATCTTCATCATCTGGAGCGTCCTGGCGCGCGCCCGGAGGCGTTCCGTCACCACCCTCCTCATCCTCCACCTGGCCATCGCCGACGGCTCCCTGATGGCCATCACGCCGTTCTTCATCGTCTACCTGGTTCTGAGGAACTGGTTGTTTGGGAACGTGATGTGCAAGCTCCTCTTCTACCTCTGTCTTCTCAACATGTACGCCTCCATCCAGCTCATCATGCTGATGAGCATCTACCGGCTGGTGGCGGTGGTGTGGCCGCAGCGCGTCAGCATCATCACCAGCCGCAAGACCGTGCTGCGGGTGCTGGCGGTGCTGTGGGTGCTGATGATGGTCGCCTCGATCCCCGTTATGATGTTCAGAATCGTGAAGATGGAGGGGACCGCAGAGGTGTGCGAACTCGACCACGACATGACCAACAACGTGAGTGAACCAGTGTCGAGCTGCCGCGTCTAAAGGAACCCGATTCCTAAACACTATCCCATCGTTGTCTTTTTGAGGCGTATGGCCGCCGTGTCATTCACCGCCATTTCATCTTGTTTTCCATGCACAGCTGATCCTCCAGTACGTGCTGGAGCTCGTGTTGGGTTTTTTAATTCCATACGGGGTGATCATAGCCAGCTACATCTGCATCTTACGGAAGATCCGACAGACCAAGTTCCGCCGCCGCATTCGTAGCGAGAAGCTCATCCTGGCGATCGTGTTGACCTTCTGCCTCTTTTGGTTGCCCTACCACGTCATCAACATGGTGCAAGTATGTCACACATCCGTCTGCGGTCTTTAAATGTGTGTGTCCAGGTTCAACAGCATCAACGTTTCACAGTTATTGACTGGTCGTTGTTTTCACTGTCCTCAGGTCACATGGGCTCTCTGCCCAAAGGGTGCGGTGAAAGACGTGTAAGTGATGACGCAACAACTCGTGCTCCTCTTATTTTGTAAAGCTGATGTTGCAATTTCAAACACACCAAACATCTGCGTAATCATGCGTTACACATTGTCCAGCTGGCAGTGGTTAATGCATCACTTTCACTGCAACGTTTTGGAACATTTGTTGTTTCTGATTTGAGCGTTGGACGTGATGATTGACACCACTCCTTGTCCCCCCCCCCCCCCCCCACATACTCCTCCCTTCTCACAGGCTGAATTCAATATGGCACAAGAGTCGAGCCGTCACCTCCTCCATGGCCTTCATCAGCAGCTGTGCCAATCCGGTGCTCTACTTTTTCGCCGGAAAGTCGTACATCCGGCGAGAAGGGCTGGCGTTCATGGCCCGCTTGTTCGAGGGCGCTGGGATGGACTCGGCCACGAGGAAGAGCCGGCAGAACAGCCAGAACAGCCGCGACAAAGACGCGGACGCCGTTGTGCTAAAGGAGAAAGATGGAGACTCTGCCACCAACTCAAACTCTAATTCCAAACCAGTGAACAATGGCAAGTAGAGGGCACGAGGTTCTGCAGGCTCGGAGCTAATGTTGTTCCACCAGGAGGTGAAACGATGCCACTGAGGTCTTCAGATTGGACTCCGGTTACATCTTGTTCAACGTGCACAGCGGTTTCCTGCCAATCAAGACAACATAGGCGGGAGGTCACCGGACGTACTGATCCTGGACCAGCTGGCAGCCTGAGGCACCCTGAGATGGCTTCAGACACGACTGTTTATATGATGAGATTTGAGCCTCGCTTCGCTCTGGACTATTTTTTACTGCGGACATGAGGAGTATTATTCAGGAACCAGGTAGTTCCTTATGAATATTTTTTACCAACATCTTTTTATGCCATTTTGTCAATGCAATGTATTATTTGAAAATTGAAAAGGGGAAAATGCGAAACCTCTGGGACAATCTCAAATTGAGAGCTTGGGTTTGGTGGAAGCGCTTGACTTTTGCACTGATATGTTTGCTTTGCTTACCTCTGTTGCTCTGTTGTAAAGCTGCATGAATCACATGCATGTCTTGTCAGACATGGAAAGTGGATCAAGCTGTAAAAAAGGACACACCATGGCCTCATAAAGTGGACATGGCGAACGTGTTGGTGACAAACTGCCTTCATTTGTCACATTTCTGGCCAGCTGATGAGTGCATGTCCTGGGACAATGAGAGTGTAAGGGAATCAGAACTATGAGCTGAAGGAACACAAATGTAGAGCTGATGGGAAGTGCACAGCTGGGTGACTCCTTTGCACGATACATTTCATTTTTTGTTGATGTTGCAAAAGATAAGAGATAGGATTCAACACCCGTGTATCAACAACAGGAACGTGCACAGACATTCTGGGGAGCAGGTGCTCAAACCAAACCAAAACAAAAATTTAAAAATAATTATAATTCTACAAAAAACACAGGATATTTTCAACTTACATATTTATTTTGTTAACAAATTAACTCAAATTGAATAAAAAAATGAATAACAGGCAAAAAAAGACAAAGCAAAGCCATATTGTACTTAAGCAATAAGGTACGAGAGGCTGTACACTCTAAAAAATGTCACTGTAAATTAACGGTATTTTACTGGCAATAAGGACGCCAGGAATTTACCGTTATTTTATGGTATAATACCGTAAATGTTTTTTACGCTATGTTAACATAAAATGGATTACTGTATGTTACCGTAAACTTGAACGAACTTTACTGTGAATTAACTGCAATTTACTGGCAGTCGACACTAGTAACTTACTGTTTTATTTACAGTGCCCTACTGTAATTTACGGTATGTTGTCGTATATTGCATTACAAATTAACCACAATCCGTTGTGTATCGCATTTCAGTAGCCTAGTGAAAATAGTCCCCGTACGTTTGGCTGTTGCTCTGCAACAGAGAAACTTCACGTTTGTTAGCCTATAAAGTTTGTTGATGATCAGCGAGGAGATAGACATTCATTTGTGCGTCGTCTGAAAACATCCCAGGTCTCCTTGCAAGATGTCGCACCATCTCATTCATTCACGTGACGTCCACCTGAATTGTCCTCTTTACCTAAAACGAGTCCTAAAGCGGTTGCAAAAGTTCGCATTCCCTGACATTGATCATTTGCGTCGTTTCTGGTCTTTTTTCGGCGATCGAGCTAAAAACTGAAATGAAAAACGGTCGCGCTGCTGCACGTCCCTGAGCTTCTTTAAATTTTGTAAATGAAATAAATAAATGTTGTGCATAATAATAAAGAGTGAGATAATCTATACGAAGCTGATAACACACATGTTGTTGTTTTTTACTGTTTATTGAGTTGAAGCATAAGCAACTAATAATTTACCACAATATACGTCACCAGACTGTCATGTAGCTCCTTAAGACCTACCTTTCATTTCAATAATAACAACACTAGTTAACGTGTCTGATTTGAGTCAAAACTGCCTGTCGGTCTGCATCCCTCTCTCTCTTCATTAAACATGACAAACGTCAGTAAACAGCTGGAAAAAGCTTTGAAATAACAGATTTTTTTTTTGTTTGTTATATTTTATTTTTTAAGGAAACGTCGAAACCAGTTGCGACGTGATGTTTTCAGCGGCGCAAATGTGGTTAATTCATCACTAAACAAAGTCGTTTTTTTTGTTGCAAAAACACCGTCATCACCTCCGTGTCCGATGCTGCAGCGGTTTGGCGCTCACGAGGAGGGGGCGGGCTTGATGACGAAGAGCGTCATTTTTCTTCCTTAATATTGATGCATGAGGAAAAGGCGGGTGCGTGAGGAGGATTAGGGGTCTACCTGTCCACGTGTGTGCTCACTTTTATTATTTATTTCTGCATTCCCGCTCTTTGCACCGCCAGCGTCTGTGTGGCTTTGCATCATATACACTATTTCCCCTCCCAAGTTGCGTCACACAATGTCTGCGGCAATAGGTTGCGGTCATGCGTATCAGTACCAGCATTATTACAGGGCGCCTCTTCATAGTATTTAGTGACCTCATCTGCAATATAAAACCATTTGTGTGTGTGGAATCACAGCAACGTTGCAAGCGAACAGCCTTCTTCCTGTCGTGCCCGGGTTTCCCCTCTTGCTCAATACACGCGCTGGTTTGTGTTGATGTCCACACCCCGTCCTCACAGCACAGAGGAGCACGGGAGCGAACCGGCCGGGGAATAGATGAGCAACGGTAACCTTTTCGGACTGGAGTTATTGTGGTGTCGTTAAAAGAAGTGGAGCAGTGAGCATCACATCAGCAGTGAGCAGTGGAAGGTCAGTGCGCCACTTCAATTCATCCAGATATCCTGAAAGCTACTTTTTGAGTTTGAGCAAAAACATTTGAATTGCAGCAGTGGGATCCCTGCATTTATATCAAATATAAATGTTATGAACAATGTTTGCTATGTTTGCAGCTTCGTGGTTAGAGATTAGTGAAGTTTGATAAAGCTGGGCCTTCTTGGACCAAAAGGTGGCAAAAGAAATAAGTAAGTAAAATTCATAAAAAGGTGTAAGCTGCATAAGAATAAGTTAAACAATGAATGTTTTCAGACATAGTTGGACGACTGGTAAATGTACTGAAGTGACAGGCTGGTTTAACAATGGAGGCGGACATTTCAGGAAGTTTTGATAGATATTTTGTGGCGTTGACACTATTCCTTCAATAACCTAAATAAGACATATCCTGTTTCCTACCCGCTTTGTCTGTTTAAAGGTTGTGTCAGGTTCACAGTTGTCGAAGCCCCGACATTCGTCAGACGCTCTCCCGATGGCGTCCAACACCAGCATCCCCGCTCCGCCGCCCCCCTCTTCCATGTCCGTCAGCGCCCAGGTGGGCATCGCCATCCTGACCCTGGCGTTGGTGCTGGGCCTCCCCGGCAACCTGTTTGTGGTGTGGTCCGTGTTCTGCCGGGTCAAGAAGCGCTCGGTGACCTGCCTGCTGGTTCTGAATCTGGCCGTGGCTGACTTCACCGTGCTGCTGGGCGCCCCCCTCTTCCTGCGCTACCTGGCTGGGGGCCGCGGCTGGCAGTTCGGCTTGGCGGCGTGCAAGCTGGTGCACTACCTGTCCAGCGTGAACATGTACGTGTCCATCTACCTGATCTGCCTGATGAGCATGGACCGCTGGCTGGCCGTGACGAAGCCCTTCCTGTCGAAGAGGATGAGGACCAAGCAGAGCCTGCTGGGTCTGCTGCTGGCGGTCTGGGTGCTGGCGTTCGTCCTGTCGCTGCCGATGCCGTTCTACCGCAACCTCACTTTGAGCTTGTGTATACCGTACCACTGGAACAGCGTGGCCCACCGGGTCTTCCAGTACCTGTTCGAGACCATCATGGGCTGCGTGGTGCCGTTCACCCTCATCAACACCTGCTACTTCTCCGTCTTCTGCCGCCTGCAAAGCGCCATGTTCCAGCGCAGAGCACAGAGCAGCCGCCTCATCCTGCTGATCATCGGTGCCTTCGCACTGTTCTGGCTGCCGTATCACGTTGTCAACATCATAGAGGTGATTGAAGTCAGGCTGTTTGTCGATGGACGTTTCACCCGGTATGCTCCAAAATAGGGATATTTGGGGGCCGCCTTTCTTCAAACCTCCTTAATTACTGTCATTTTCCTATTTTGCGAATATCATATTTTAAGACTCTGCTTACTGTCGATCTGTTCTAAATGCAAAATCACCTTAAAACACAAGCTTTTCCCCTTTCCTTACAGCTTTTGGTGGTGAAATACGCTGCAGGGAATGTGGACTCTCCATGTCTCAGTGTTTTTGTTCATTAGTTTGGGCTGTTTTTTGCCGTTGCCTCCCTCCTCCTGACCTCCCTCTCCATCCTCCAGGTGGCCGGCCTGTTGCAGGGCAGCCCTACGGTGATCGCCGCCGCCCTCAGAGGGCGCCCCAACGTCACGGCCTTCGCTTACTTCAGCAGCGCCGTCAACCCCATCCTCTACGTGTTCGCCGGCAGCTCCCACATCCGCCAGGCCGGCCTCGGCTTCATGGGCAAGCTCTTCGACGCCACCAACCCGGGAGAGCCGGAGCAGCTCCACCTTCAGCCCCAGCGTCCGGGTGAAGAAGCTAAATCTTAAGATTGTAAACCTGTCAGGCAAAAAAACAAGCAATGGGTTTAGAGTGAAGTCTTCATTCATTTCTTAATAGAAAGAGAATGCATGAAGAAAAAGGGGCCTTGCACACACGCTCACTTCTAACTGCAACGAACCCACAAAGCTGATGTGAACAATTAAATAGGACAAATCTATTGCGAAAGGCAGAGGGCTCGTTGTGGCTTGTGTGACCTCGTTGGGAATTGTTTCGGATTAATGTGGTTGAATAATGTGTAGGGGTTGGCAAGCAGTACACAGCAGTACAATAATAATAGTTTGCGTTCTCGGAATTTACACAAAGCTCGCTTCCGTTGTGTGACGTTGGGGTAACTGCTTTAACGCACAATGCGCGGTGTGTCCTGGTGTGTGACGTGCCCAGGTGAAGATCTCCCTTCGTACGCTACTGGGGCTTTGCAGAGGACCACATTTTGAAAGCTTTGACCATCATGAGAACAAGTACCACATCAGGTTTGGGTCAAGCGTCTCTTTGACATTTTAGTGGCAAAGTTACAACAGCTCTATTCTTTATTTTTGAATCATACTTGCCGCACACACACATTTTAACTTCAAATCACTTGACAATTTTATGAAATAAAAGATCTTCTGATTTGAAATGCTGGTATCAACGTACGTTTGCCATGGGGGTCATTCTTCTTTATTCCGCCAGGTGGAGCCAAAGTGAGATCTTTCATATCGTGCAGAAGGAGGAATGCTGTAGCAACAATATTAACTGCTCACCTGTTACAAAAGTTCCATTGGACAGCAAATAGCAACTTTCATTTAAAGTAGATATCAACCCTGACATCTTAAAAAAACAAAAAAATCACACTCCAAATCAAACTATTATTTACTATGTTAAAATCTCCATTAATGATTTAGGACGTTTCTCAAGCATGCATACAGGCACGTGATGGCCACGCTAGATGTTGAGAAGCATTTTGAGGTGAAGAAATTTAATATTGGTCAAATGGACTAGCCTGCCACAGTATTATTTCACTTTGATCTTGGGATTCTGTAGCCTGAAAATTTTATTTAAATAAATAGTGGTGGCATTCTGTTGTTCCTTGGACATTGCACTGTCCACATCAGAATATTCATCCATCATAATTTCTTTCACATTGAGATCTCATGTGTTTTGAAAGTGTCATTTTATTTATGTGTATTTCGGGTGACTCGGATTCTCTTCGGTTAGTCTTCCAAACTATAATTATTAAGACTAAAAGCGCTGACTCACGGACAGAAATTTAATAATATGACTTCACGCTCTCTGCACGCACACACTGCGGGACGCGGGTGTGTGTGTGTGTGCATGGTGATGGCGCCCAAGCTGCACTCAAATTGGACTCCTGCAGTGAGGAGGAGGACGCTGAATTGGAATGATTGGAACATGACTTTTAGTATTCCAATCATATGTTACCTTTTGTTCATTTTATTTCCCTCGATTTCAGAGGATCAAACATTCGTCCCAAAAACACAAGATGTCGTACCGTGTCAGTAGGGAGCAAAAGTTGGAAGGCGGACTTTTACTCAGAAAGGTTGCATCCATAATCATTGCGCCTATTTGCTTTGTCATCAGTCCCTCATACATCGCTCACTTGAACCCTACAGCGACCTAACCTGTAAACAGAACTGCAAACAATGTCACCATGAAGGACGCTCCCGAGTTCATGGAAGACACGGTCCAATCCGTCGACCTTTCTTTGGCAGTGCAAGAGAATGTTTCCGTTTTCCCTCTGTTGTGTAACCCCGAGTGTCGGCATGGCCTCCTCCTCCACAGGGGTAAATATACAAAGAGTTCTATCGGATTTTACAAATCAACTGATAACATGACGCACCAGCATCCCGCAGTAATTACTATAAGTGGAGTCTTCGCTCTTTGCAAAATGATTAATATCCCGAGACTCTGCATAGACGCCTGCTTCAGTGGTTCCTCTACCTGTGTGGGCGGAACAAGTGACTTTGACCAAGGCACAATGGCATTGTGAACATGGAGAGTATAGGTTTAATAATAGCTGGGGAACATGACAAATACACTGCAAGAAGTTTCTCACCTCAAATTAGTAAGTCAGTGTGGAGCCTTCAAGTGGGTCTTTCTTGGACCAAAGGGGAAACAGGTTGACATAACGCCCTTTTTTCAATGAAAAACCTCAAACGAAATGGCCTCTTTAATATAACTTACTTTATAAAGGTACACCAGATACTATTTTTTTTATTTTATAATTTTATGGCAGAATGTTTATATTATTCTTAGGTTTTTTTCTTTTTAAGTGTCAATATCTTCAACAACGCAAGCACTGTTGTTTTGTAACATTATCCTACATTGTTACATTGTTGTTGATACATTGTTCTGAGAACATACATATGGTGTAGTTCAACTGAAGTTGGAGAAGGTAAGAAATGCAGTATTCTTATAATACGTTATACTTCTTCAACCTCTAGTGAAGGGTTGAGTCATGATACAAACTCTTCCGCTCAGCTATCTCATTATTGTTTTTTAAAAACACTATCTTTGGAAGAAAATAGGAATAAAATGTAATGTACATATTCCCGTCCTCTAAAGTTAACTAGGAAACTATTTGTTTGTCTTTTCTGTGCCGATCAGAGGCAGTGTTTGTTATGGGCTCGGAGTTTACAGTAAATAGTACCGTCCGCTTAGCTGTAGTGTCTATCTTTAACCTCCCACTTGCTCTTCTGTTTACTACAAACTTTGCTAAAACACGTTCCCTGAGATTTGATCTTCTCAGAAAAGCTACCAGACACTCAATAACGAAAGCATCAAATGTATAAAGGTTACTCTTTGGCTGGAAAAAATAATGTAAACAACAACAAATGACCCTTCAACAAGTTTGTGTGACAAATAATTAGTTTCAAGTCAAACATATCTTGTTCCAAATAGAAGTGTTTCTGACACAAAGTGAGACGTTGTAATGCAAAGAAAAAACATCTTTAGGGATAATATTGTCACGAATTCTCTATCTCATTAGTTTTCATCTTGCCTGCTTGTTAAGGTAGAGGACTGCAATACCTGGTGGACTGGGAAGGTTATGGTCCCCAAGGAGCGTGAATGGGTTCCCAGTCGCAACATTTTCCGTTCACAGACTTCCACCAGGTTAATCCGGAGGGCGGTGGTGAGTCGGAATGTGAACTTTAAGATGCCCTCTTAGCTTTTGATTAGGGTCCAGCTGCTCTGCTCGGGGAATAATCACACTGTTAGTTTTCATTGACTCTGGTGCAGATGCAAACCTCATGGACATGACTCACATCTGAGGATCGGGCAGGTGGCCCTGGAGGAACCACTCCGCGCCACTGCTCAATGTTTGTGTTTTTGTGTTTCTGGATGACATTCTTGTTTTCTGCAGGAACATGTGTTGCATCTACGTCCTCCAAAAGCTTTTGAAGAACCACCTTTTAGTAAACGCAGGGAACTGCGAGTTCCACACTACGGCGGTATTGTTCCTGGATCCTTAAGGCTGGTAATATCCAGATGGAGTCTGCTAAGACCAGAGCAGTCGCTGACTGAACTTCAGCGCTTTCTTGGCTTTGCCAACTTCTACCGGTGGTTCATCTGTAACTACACTTCCGTGGCTGCCCCCCTCACAGCCCTCACCTCCCAATTTGTGCCCTTCCGGTGGTCCTCTGTGGCAGCAGAGGCCTTCAGTGAGTGAGTTAAAATCATGTTTACCTCTGCTCCCATCCTCATATTCCCAGATCTGGCCCGGCAGTTTATCTTAGAGGTGGACGCCTTGGAAACTGGTGTAGAAGCTGTCCTTTCTCAGCGGTTGGCTGAGGACCAAAGGGTTCACCCTTGTGCCTTCTTCTCCCGAAAGCTGTCCTCCGCAAAGAGGAATTGCTACATTGCAAACTGCAGTTAAACTCGTATTGCTCTCCTATAGACTTGGCTCCAAGAACATCAAATCCGCCGCCTTGCCCCGCCAATTCCAGCGTGGGAGCTCTCCTCCTCATCCTGAAGGTATCCTTCCTCCTGAGTGTATTATTGGTGAGTGTAATGGGAAAATGATATGTAACCATTTTAAATGCTTCATTTGTATAACCAGTTTATTAGTTGCAAGTGCTTAGATCACAAAGGCCCTGACATAAGAACTGACGTCTCCCACTTGGATTAGATGTTTCCAGCAGTCATAGCTGTAGAGATGGAACAAAGTGTTCGTTATGTCTATGACCACCTTTGTTTTAGCATGTTGGGAGAGCAAGGACACGGTCAAAGAACTGACGTGTCTTACATGGACAAGATGTTCCCAGTGCCCTGGCTGTAGAGACTCAACAAGATAGTCAAAGGTTTCTGTTGACGCCACCGATATCTAACCTTAGGTATAAGAACTGCCCCGATGTGTTGGGGGCAGAAGGAGGTTCTTGACAGTCTACTGACTACGTAGCTGTTGTGACCCTCTTTCCCTTGCAAGAAAATAAATGGAGAAAAGACATATTTGACTCAGAGCCTTTGTTTCTTACTTAACGATTGTCTGTGCAAAATCTTCCACAACATGAGTAACCTGGCAGGTGGAGGACAAGGTTAGACGCTTCCATGCCGAACACCCTGCCCCAGTGCTTGTCCAGTTAACTGGTTGTTTGTTCCTGCCAACTCTCGTCCGCAGGTTCTCCAGTGGGCCATCCAAGTGTCTGATGCATATTAGCAAGGCTCAGACACTGCTTTTGGTGGTCTTCCATGGAGGAGGAGAGTTTGTCGCTGCCTGCCTGGTCTGCTCCCAGCATAAGAGAACTCGTCAACCTCCGTCCGGACTTCTTCATCCTCTGCCTATTCGTAGTCGTCCTTGGTCCACCATCGCTTTGAATATTGTAACCGGCCTGCCCCCTTCTGACGGTAACACTCATCCTCACGGTCATTGATCAATTTTCAAAGTCTGCTATGCTAATACCACTAACAAAGTTACCCACAGCCAAGAAGAGAAGTGTTTTTGGAAAATGTTTTCCGGTTGCCTGGTATGCCCATTGATGTTTGCTATGACCGTAAACCACAATTCACCTCTCACTTTTGGTCAGAATTTTGTCGACTGCTGGGAGCCACGGCAAGTCTCTCTTCAGGGTGTCATCCGCAATCTAACGGGCGGGCTGAGCAGATGAACCAAGAGATGGAGACAACATTACGATGTCTCTCGTCTCGCAATCCCTCCTCCTTGTCGGAGCATCTCTGGTGGAGTATCCCCACAACATCCTACCCAGTTTGGCTACCGGGCTCCCACCGTTCCAGTGTGCCCCAGGGTATCGACCACCCCTGCTCCCGAAGCATGAATGGGAGGCCATCGATGGAGGACCCGTCTACTTGGTCCATCGTCTGCTCAGATCTCGGCGACGGGGCAAGGGGCTGCAATACCTGGTTGACTGGGAAGCTTATGGTCCAGAGGTGCATGAATGGGTTCCCGCTCCCAACATTTTCGATCTCTCCCTGATCACGGACTTTCACCAGGCTAATCCGAACCAGACCCGTGGGACGTCAAGAGTCGTCCCTACAGGGGAAGGGTTAGGGTTCTATCACGAATTCTCCATTTTTTCATCCTGCTTGTTCATTTAACTCTGGTCATTCCAGATCCTGTCATCAACACAAGATCATTTCTTATTCCCTTCACCTGGTCTTCATGCCCTTCCAACCTGCAGCACATTCTCCCTCACTATCACAGATTAGTCCCTCACTATCACTATCACCGCACACTTACACTTTCCCTCTGCCAGATTGTCTTGTCCCTGATCGTCCTGTTCCGACCCTGTTTGCCTGACTACTCAACCCAGGATTTTTGCGTGCCCCCTTTTCGGATTTGTTTGCCGGTTGGACTGATTTCCCGGTTTTGACCCTGCCTGAACACAAGCATAGAACTTTACTTTCACTGCTCAGGTGTGTGTGTGTGTGTGTGTGTGTGTGTGTGTGTGCGTGTGTGTGTGTGTTATGAAGGGAGGGTAGGAAGAGGTGGTGAGATGGGAGGGGAGGTCTCCTCTGTGATGGTATAAATATGAAGAGTCGCAGTGTGTGAAGATAAAAAAAGGAACATTTCATCCATTGACAACAGCTCATTCATCTGAAATAGAAGCAAAGTGAGTACAATAGACTTTAATTCTAAATGGTGATACTGATTAAATCATTGTCATATTTGGGTATCATTTAAAGGCTTAATGATATCTAAAATGTGTGATATGATTTGTTTCACTTTGGTTTTTGCTGTGGATTTCCTGTTTTTTACTGCTTGACTTCCCACTCATCCATGGTTATTATAATTAGATCAAAAGAAACAGCATGCCTACTCACATCATTAATTACTTATTGTACATCTACTGACAATCTTTAACAATGTATTTTTCTTCTCACTGAAAAGAAATAATCTATATTGGTAAATCTTCCCGAGATAACCAACGCAATTATTTTCAAGGGCAGTTGTCTCGTGGATAATAGAAGACTTGCACATCGTCTTTTTCTCATGCAGATGCCTCATAGATGAGCTCAGTAGCTCGAAGAAAAGACACCCACATCCTGCCGTGCATTCAAGACTTCTACTTAATCAGTAATTATACAGTTCTTTCACGGTGCACACGCCGGAATAAATACTATAACAAAATAATCAAACCATGACTTAATTGACAAGGAGCTGAGCAAAGTCTGACAAATTGCCTTAGCTGATGTCATTCGAGTCAGTGTTGGTCAAGAGACCGAAGAGTTTTGTAAAATAAAAAACAAACAAGTGTCTCACCCAGCAGAACGCTGTTCGTGTTCTGCCAGCTACATAACATAGTGACTTATTTTATCAAGCAAACTGCAATCTTTTCCCAAAGTTGTCATTTTTGTAGCAAAAAAACAACAACCTAAAAACAAAGTAAACATACAAAACAGTATGAAGTTTATTTTGGAAAAGTGAAGTGTAACGAGTGAAAACTCTCACATCATCCATGATGCAGCAAAACTTGTGGAAGGTAGGCTGAGGGCGGTAGTTTAAAGCGCAGTGCAAGTGACCCAGCAGCAGTATTGGACGAGGGGAGAATTTGTTTTGTTTTGTTTTTAAACAATCGATGCAGATAAAAGAAAAGCAGTGTAGTCAGTGTGAGACCATGTGACATAGAAACTGTTCCAGATCTGCTGGCGCAGGACAAAGGCGGTGTCTCTCAGACCATGATTTCAGTGAAAAAAGAATTCTCATATGGCTTATTGTTTTCTCATCCCCCTTTTACCCATTTGGTTGCATAGGAGTGAGACGTGCCAATGGGGCTGCTCACGTCTAAACTCGGCGGGTTGGTCCCTAGTGAAGCCAGAAATGGAAACTTCCAAGTTCCTCCAACGATTGTTGTCTCGGACACGGATTCAAGGTTTGTGGTGTTTGCTGCCGAGACCACTTTTCCCTTTTCAACATCTGATTTTATTTCCTCAAATACGGGTCCACTTGGTGGTCCAAACTGGTGTTTCCTTTGTTACACATTCAAGATACATTGGCTGAGTTCTTCATGACAATTGCAATTACTTAAATTTCCTGCAATATTTGCTGTTTATTTATTTTTAATTTTTAAATAACATCCCCTATCCAACAGTGCATCAGAGCACCAGGGCTCCAGGACGGAGCTGCGGAGGTCTTCCGTCTACAGCACGATCGACCTGGTGCCGCAGCTGGAGCATTATGACATTTCACTGCCAAACCGTCAAATGAGGAGCCGTCCATCCCTTGAGGTTCTCCGCAGCTCATACGGGGTCAGCGTTCCACCTCACACCTTGCACACAAGTCGTGCGCTTCTGACCAAGCAGGACCCTGCTGTGAATGCATTTCCGCTTCCCACTATCGACCATTTGAGAAGGCTTTTAAACGTGTAAAATGTATTTTCTTTTCAGCAGTCAGAGGGGGATGTAGAGGTCCCCGATAAAGAGTTGGGAGCTGTCAGTGCTCAAGACATCACACAGGAAGGCTCAGCAGTTAAGGAGAAAGAACCCATTAGGTTTGGCTGGGTGACGGGAGTCATGGTGAGCAAACTTGTGTTTGAGTGAAGGACACGCGGCATTTGACGGATGTTTTACTGAGGTGCTTTTATTGGACTTTTGTTACAGATTCGTTGCATGCTGAACATTTGGGGAGTCATCCTGTTCCTCCGTCTTTCTTGGATCACATCCCGGGCCGGCATTTGTGAGTTCCTACCCCCCCCTTTCAATACCCCTTCAATCACTCTGTGCAGTGGCTGAAACACTTCACGGCGTCACTCTCGCCCCCCTTGTATGACTTCAATTGATTTACCTTTAAGCACTATGTTGAATGAGAATAATGTGTGCACCTTCCTGGTTGGGTCTTGTCTTTGGCGTGGGGTAAAACCCTGAAGTCAAGGAGTCTCACTTCTATACTGGACAGGTGTTTTGATTCCATTGTCTCATAATTCGCCCATGCCATCAGAACGTGCAATCGATTGTGAAAGCCCACGTACTTACCGTCTAATGGCAAATTCATGTCTTGCGACATCTAAAGCTTATATAGTTGAGAAGATGCATGCATGTAAAGCATTTCTCGGGCGAAGATGGAGAAACATGCCGTTGAACCCCAAACGTCTCATCTCAGTGTTGACCTGGCTTATCGTTGCGATGTCCGTATTGGTGACCTCGATAACTGCCCTCTCCATCTCTGCTATCGCCACCAACGGGAAGGTGATCTCAGGTCAGTCACTTGCTGTGTCTCAAAGCTGTGCACATTTTACAACACAATAATTTGTTGCCATTCAATTTTTCCTTTTATTGGGGGAATTCAACATCCTTTTCAGGAGGGGCGTATTTCATGATTTCCCGTTCTTTGGGGCCTGAGATTGGTGGTCCGATCGGGGCGGTGTTTTCCTTTGCCAACGCCCTGGCCTGTGCGCTCAACACTGTGGGCTTTGCAGAGGTGGTCCGCGATTTGATGCAGGTAATTATTCCTCAAAAAATGTATGCAGGATGGTTCATTTTTCGTGACCCCCAAGGATAGAGAAACTTTGCGAGGTACCATTTCTAAGAGATATGCTAAAACCATGTTGTAGTTTATTTTGAGCAACTATTTAGATGTGGCCAGTGGGCTGCAGTCGGACTACTGGTCATAGTTTGGCCGCCATGAGGATTTGATGGTCCGAAATGAATAAAAGAGTATCGTAATATGACATTTAAGTGTGATGTGAAGAGCTTATGTTTGGTTTCTTACATGAATAATTTGCTCGTTTAAATGTAGGAGTTTGATGTCGTCATGGTCGACGCAATCAATGACGTCCGTATTGTAGGCGTGATCACGGTGACTGTTCTTCTGTTCGTTTCATTGGCTGGGATGGAGTGGGAGTCCAAGGTGGGCACATACCGACACATCGTACTGTATTCACTGTCTAGATTTTTAGTCATGTGGTTTTTTTTAATATTTTTTCCGTATCTCTTATGTATCTCTCTCTCTCTCTCTCTCTCTCTCAGGCCCAGTATTTATTCTTTATCACTCTCTTGGTTTCGTTTGCCAACTACTTGGTGGGCACAGTCATACCCCCCAAAGTAGAGAAACAAGCCCAGGGCATCTTTGGATACAGTGGTATGTTCAGGCTTATCGGGACTCACTGCCCTTTGATACATCATTAGTTTTAAAGAATATATACTTAACGTGTCTGTGACTTGTCACCAGGTGATATCTTTGTGGAAAACTTAACACCAGACTGGAGAGGAACTAACTTTTTCCAGATGTTTGCCATTTTCTTCCCTTCGGCCATCGGCATACTGTCTGGGGCCAACATCTCAGGAGACCTCAAAGTATGAAGGGAAACAATGCAGATCCTTTTTACATTGCGGCACCAACAAGGAATACACAAATGTTGAACCTGTGTATTATTTCCTTTTGCAGGACCCTGCTACCGCCATCCCCAAAGGCACCCTCATGGCCATTTTTGGGACTACAGTCAGCTACATAGTTATCCCTGTGACCGTCGGTAAGCTACTCATTCAGCAAGCTTTCGTTTGGAGTTGGTTTACTTCTCATTTGAAGTGATTTTCTGGGCTGGTGGGGATTATTCCAGGTGCGGGTGTAAATGGGCTTAAAAGCAAAGATATCACAGACTCAATGACAAAAATACTTCATCACACTGCACCTCAAACCTTTTCTTAACGCTCAATGCTGCCCATATAAAGTCATATGGCCAACGAGAAGCCAATAAAATCATCAAATGTTTCCTCTTGGTTTACCCACTAAAACTTCTGTTTGTATGTGTGAGCAGATGTAATCACTGGTTTTGCTAATAATGCAGTGGCAATAAACTATCCAGCCCTTTTTCTGTTAGTACATAGTCTACAAATAGTGATGCAAGATGTTAGAGAGCAACAAGTAATCCTTGGAGTTGTGAAATAAGGGCTTTGCTCTTTTTGGATGTCAAAGTTTCCAGAAACAAAACGTTAAAGGTGTCCAGTTTTCCGTCAGGACAGAAATGTTTACACCTTCATCCCCTTCCAGGAGCATGTGTCCTGCGGGACGCCTCTGGTAATATCAGTGACATGATGACGGGCAACAACACGGACGACTGTGTTGGTCTGGGGTGCGCCCACGGCTGGAACTTCACAAAGTGCATTCAGTTAGAAAACTGTGAATATGGTCTGAACACCAATACAAAGGTATCCTTCAATCCCAAATTACAGAATAGAAATATACACAGAGCTTACTTATTTTGTAAAATAGAACAGTTTTCATGATGTTAATACTGCGATGGTGACTTTTCCGACCAGGTACTGGGCCAACTTTCAGGGTTCTATTACCTCATCACTGCTGGTGTCTTTGCTGCCAGCCTGTCGTCCGCCCTCGGGTTCCTCGTCTCCGCCCCTAAAGTCTTTCAGGTGTGAACTCAAGCCCCTTTTTCTTAATTGTGCTTCTTCGTACAAAAATATACAATTCTGTGATTAAGATTAGCTTTCATAAGACTGCTAGTAGCATCGTACTGCTGATAGAAGCACTGTTTTTAATATATGTTTTAATGCAAAGTCCAATCTGTGGATGCATAGAGACATTAGAAAGTCATATTTATATAACTAAAAAGCTATTGTAAATACTTTTCCTTTTAATTGCTTCATAAAAAATCCTAACAAATGTTTACATGCAGACAAATGTAACCCAAAGCCAACATTAATGAGCTTCTGTTTTCTGCGTCTTTTGCCAGTGTCTTTGCAGAGACAACATCTACCCATACATTGGATTCTTTGCCAAAGGTTATGGCAAAAATGAGGAGCCACTGCGGGCTTATTTACTCTGCTACCTCATTGCTGTGGCCTTCATTCTCATTGGTGGGTGTGATCTAATGTCGTTGTTTTATTAATTCATTTGTCTGTATATCGTTATACAAAATGACACCGTTTCTCTCTCCTTCATGCTCACAGCTGAGCTGAACACCATCGCGGCCTTGATCTCCAACTTCTTTCTGTGCTCCTACAGCCTCATCAACTTCAGCTGCTTTTACGCCTCCACCACCAACTCCCCCGGTGGGTAATCCGCTGGTCACGGCCTCCTATGGCCAAACACACAGGGGTGTCCTACTGTATCTGGTCTCAATTAGTCTCAATACGCCCCCGTTAGGTTGGAGGCCGGCGTTTCACTACTACAGCAAATGGACGGCTTTGTTCGGAGCCGTGATCTCCGTGGTGCTGATGTTCCTGTTCACCTGGTGGGCGGCTCTCATCACCTTCACCATCATCTTCTTGCTCTTCGGCTACGTCAACTTCAAGAAGCCCAGTGAGTGCTGAACGGACTCGGCCGGTCCCGAAAGGCAACGCCCCGCCGCTGTTCCTCCCTGGACACACCTGATGTGTGTGTGTGTGTGTGTGTGTGTGTGTGTGTGTGTCCACAGCGGTGAACTGGGGATCGTCGGTGCAGGCGGGTACATATAACATGGCTCTGTCCTACTCCGTCTGGTTGTCTGGTGTCGAGGATCACGTCAAGAACTTTAGGTAGGTGACGTACCGCGCCTCCATGTTTCTTCCTATCACACGCCGGTATGGAGTCTTCTGTCTGTCTGTCCGTGTGTGTTTGTCTAAATCCACTTCTGAGCTGGAGTCCCATGTGTGTTGCATCAGACCACAGTGCCTCGTCATGACCGGGCCCCCGAACCAGCGACCGGCACTGGTGGACTTTGTGGGCTCCTTCACCAAACACATAAGCCTGATGATCTGTGGAGACATCATCATGGTCAGTTCTTCTCCACCTCAATGGTTTTAGTCCCCCCCCCAAAGAAAAAGAAAACGAGAGGAATGATACACGTCCGTTGTTGAATATCCGACTCCTGTAGGAGCAGGACAAGCACGCTCGGCCGCACGACGCCACGGACATGTTGGTGAAGTGGATGAACAAGAGGAAGGTGCGCTCCTTTTACAGCCCGTTCACTGCCGACAGCATCCGAGTGGGAGCTCGACACCTGCTGCAGGTAAAACATCTGCATGACTTTTAAATCTGTGGCATTTGACAATGCGACTGTAACCTCTGATCCAGATGTTGAGTTGCGTCACTTTCGCAGTCTTGTTTTTTCTCCTTTTTTTATTTGGACATGCCATCTATTGAGTGTAAAGTAGTATGAATCTCCCCCAAAAAGTGTTTTCAGTGTTTTTCATATTAATGGGTTTTTAAACATTATTTTTACTCTCATTTTCAAGGCTTCTGGTCTTGGCAAGCTGAAGCCCAACACTCTGGTTCTGGGCTTCAAGGCAAACTGGAGGGAGAGTTCACCTGAAAGCATTGATGATTATATTAACACCATATAGTAAGTGTGGAAGACAGATATTGACTTTCTCGGTTTCCCTGTCATTTTTAAAATAGCACACCCTCCACTTAGTGAGGAGAGCTGGTTTGAAAACGAATGGATGCTAAACTAAAATCCAGTGTCTCTGGGTAGAATACTTACTTAATTGCATCCGCGTATCTATTTCATAACTCCGGTTTCAACTTCCTCCTTTATGCTCCAGCGATACCTTCGACGCCAACTACTGCTTGTGTATCCTGAGGATGATGGACGGGCTGGATGTCTCTGAGCAGCTGGATTCAGAAGGTTTCCAATCCAGTCCTTCTCAATACCTTTTTGTGTTAATTGTATCTTCATGCTTTCCCACACCTCAACGTATTGGAACAATGGTAAAATGGTTGAAGGTTTTTTCCCTCTCCTCCAGTGAACCAGGCCTTTGAGCTTGATGAATCTGCTGAAAATGAGCAACATAAATCTCCTGAGACGGAATCGGGTGAGCATATAGTATCACTACACATTACAGCTTTATTTTTTGCGCTGTACTACTGCTTACGCCTCGCTCCTTCTCCTCTGGCCGCTCCAGCCGACGACCTCTCCGATGGAGGCGACGACGCTCAGAACAAGACAGTGTTTCAAAACGACCAGGGCAAGAAGACCATTGACGTCTACTGGATAGCCGACGACGGAGGTCAGATCCGATCCCGCGTTGGCATGTGCGATCGCCAAAGAAGACTCCTCGGTTTTGAAGTTCTTCTCTTCTCGTTTGAAGGTCTGACTCTGCTGGTTCCCTACCTGCTCACGAGGAGGAAGCGCTGGCACCGCAGTAAGATCCGCGTCTTCATCCTGGGAGACGAACAGAACCAGGAGGAAGGCCGCAAAGAGTGGGTGTTTCATCGAGTCGGATTAATGAGAAATAACAATAAGTCACAGTGAAAATGTCTTGGTCCTGTCTGTGGGCTTTTTCCACTTTAAATCCAAGTAAACTGATAACAATAATAATTCACCTTTAGTAATGTAATCTGAGGGCGTTTGTAGAAAGGGATTCTGCCGAGGCTGTGATTGTTGTTTCTTTCCAGGATGATCGCTCTGCTGAAGAAGTTTCGCCTGGATTGCAGCAACGTCACGGTGATAACGGACAGCGAGAGGTCTCCCAACCCCAAAAAGTAGGTCCAGAAAAGCAGTGTTGCTTCTGCAGGGGACGCAAATTGCTCCCCTCACAAACAAACCTTCCGCCATCGTTTTGTAATTTCCACACATTTTTCATCCGTGACCTCTGACCTTCTGCTCCCCGCCGGCTCGTCAGCCTCTGCAGGTTCGTGGAAAGTGTCGCTCCCTTCAGGCTGCACAGCGAACCGCATGAAGGCGACTCGGTCAACGAGACGAAGCAAAGCGCCCCGTGGAAGATATCAGACAAAGAGTTCGAGGCCTTCCGATTAAAGGTGTGTGTGCGTTTCGGTCGCTGGTGCTTATTCTCGTTTGAATTTGGAAGCAATGAAGGGGAAATTTCTTATCTGCAACATATCCGCCCCCCCACACCCCATCCCTTCTCCCTCCCTTCATAGTCCGAGAGTAAGGTGAGGCTGAACGAAATCATCCGGAGGAATTCTCAACATGCTGCCCTCGTCCTCGTGTGAGTACACAGTCATAAGTCATACCAAAGAGCCTCCAAACAAATATGTTATATTTACTGCTATGAGGCAAGAACATTCACTGCTCAAATGATGAAATCGGTTCCCTGTTTTGAAATCTGTCCACAAGGTTGCAAATCGTTTACAAATAAAACACCCGTCGACGGGTATTTTCATGCCTGTGTGACTCACACGAGAAAGATGAGCACTGGTTTTAGGTCACTGCAAACCACAGCGTGCACTCATTTGCAACATTTTCCTCATACTCAGCCGTTTTGTCACCTTCATGTAAATGTGGTGTCATTTTTTTTTTTTTGTCTCCCAGGAGCCTTCCTGTGCCACACAGAGACTGCACCAGTGCTCTGTTCATGGCCTGGATGGATACTCTGACCTGCGGCCTGCACTGCCCGGTGGTGCTGATACGCGGAAACCAGCAGAACGTGCTCACCTTCTACTGCCAATGAGTCCGGAGTCTAAGGGATGGACACTAGATCGAGCCCCACTAATTTAATAAGTGAGAAGAAAATATGTATTACCAGGGAAGGGTTTAAAAGTTCTATATCTAATATATATGTGAAGACGACGCCAATGCAGACGCTCGCTGAAGATCATCTTCGGGATGTCCCCTCTTAGTCGGTCGCCCTCGGCGACGTCAGTCGCTAAAAGCTGACAGAGAGGAAGAGGGGAGGATCCCGTCGATGCCTACAGGCGGACAGAGATAAGAGAAGCAGCCGGACCCCAGGAGAAGGCCTCTGAACGCGGCCCTGAACTAGTCTGAGATCAGCTGCAGACTAACTGTGCAGTGTATCACTTCCCTGCGGGAATAGCTGCGTTTGGGATGCTTTTCTAACCCGGGTTTTTCCCTTAAATTGAGGCTTTTCTTAGTCCTTGTTTTGAGAGATGAGCTTCTCAAGAATTACTAAGACAATTTATTAACGAAGCAAAGAGATTAGTATGATTGCTATATGTATATAAACTTGTATTTGAAACTATTTAAATCTAGTGCACAGAAATGTCCCCACAATGAAAGGCATCCATGACGTCTGCACTTTAATGCATCAATGCAACGTGTCACATTTGATTCAATGCACAAGGAAATCTGTTGTTCATGATGCAAGATGATGACTCGCAAATGGCCCAAATTGTAATTGAAAGCAAACCAGTTAATGTCCTGTAAGGGAGTAGTGGCTAATCAAGTGTGTGATGATTTCAAAGATATTTTCTTTTTATTCCGTTTTGTTAATATACCCCGACTTTCCTTCCACGGTGTCAGTTTTCCTTCCTCCCCCCCCACAATTAAGCACATCAACGAGGGCCGGTGGAATTAAACTGAAGAATATAAACTGTCCCGTTATCTTATCGTATGTGTGTGAATATATCAAAGACCGTGTACAACATTTATTGCATTTTAACTGTGAGTGATGTAACAAAAATGTAACTTGGGTGATGGTAACTATGAATATAACTTCATCAATATACTTACTCAGCCAGATCAACACTTTATATGCTACTGAGGAAATATCTTTTGGATTAAACTTATTCTGTAGCCAACAATATATTTGTGTCCTTAAATAAAAAAAACTTGTGAAAGTTGAGTGCAGGTTGATTTCATTTTTTAATTTGACCATTATTTAACCAGGTAAAATCAATTGAGAAACAATTCTTATTTTCAATGATGACCTGGCCAAGAGGCAGTAGCACAGTCCGCACAAGTGACACAAACAGCACAGATACAATTTTTTGTAAAAATGGAAGAGAGAGAGAAGTGAGGACTGATCAGACTGATATGCAACTATGGCTCGTTGCAGCTTTTGTTTGAACATGTTGAGAGACGTCTGGGCTGTTAGTTTGAGAGTGTTTCGTGCTGAGTTGCAATCATATGCAGCGGGAAAATGAAAGTAGCTATGACCAAACACAGCACGGACTTTTGAAGTCACTGGATCTTAAATTGCTGGATCTCGGAAATGTGCAGAAGAGTTGAGAGGTAGCGAGGGGTCGTTCCCAAAATGACTTTGTGGACCACGAGCAGCCGGTGTTGTAGCCGCCTGGTTTGAAGGGAGGGCCAATCCACCAAGCGGCTGATTTTAAAAAACACGGGCTCGAGCCCATCAAATCCAGCTGAGTTCTTTGAATCTAACTTCATAAGTCCACCCAGGACGTGTGAAAACCTTAACAGGTTGAAGGGAGACGCAGCAGTTAAGTCAAGTGCAGCTGCAGCAAAGAAATTCGATGGTTTTAGGAAATGTTGGTTGAAATGTGTGGCTGTGCGTTATCAGTAACAACAATGTCATCAAAAATCAAAGAGGTGGGTAGATGCGGTAAAGCAAGTTTGTTGGCCATGGATTTGACTGTTTTCCAAAATTTCTTGGTGGTGAATTCTTCTTTGAAAGGAGCTTTCCTGCTCGCCAGAGTTGTTTTGTTCCTGCATTGTCTGAAGGCCAGCCAGTCGGCAGCAGCCTGAGAAAACAGACAGTGACCAACTACCCCTCAAACAAACGTAACACAACTGGTGAACACGCATCAGTCTCTGACAACACAATAGAGGAGATGGTAAAAACAATGGAGGCCACTACACCAACGAGATGTTTCAGGTGGTGGAGAAAGAGATACAGGTAGCGGGACAGCCCAAGCGAAGTGTCGCCGTCGCGGGCATGGAGGCAGCAGGGGGCGTAATGGGTGGTGTTATCGGTAACAAGGCAGCAGAGGGAGCCAAAACACCATTGGAGGCAACAGAAATGGCAGCAAATGCTGTCATGAACAAAGCCAACGCTACTTTAAAGAGGCCGCAAGTCCATTCCACGTAGTTGGAGGTGTGTTTCTGGCCCCACGGGAAATGTTTATCCAAAATTCATTCCATCTATTTTTATTTTTTTTGTGTAGACCAACTTCTGAAAAAGCTGGAGGAAAATTTTTATTCTAAAAAGTTCAACCTCTTTAATTACTACTTTAAGAATTAGCCACAAATAGGCACTGGCTTCACTGGCTACCGGTTGCTGCCCGCATCCAGTTCTAAACATTGGTGCTCACCTACCATGCTGTGAATGGATCGGGTCCAGCTTACATCCAGGACCTGGTCCAACCTCCCGACCCGCACTCTCCGCTCTGCATCTGCAAAACTACTCGTCCCTCCCTCACTGAGAGCAAATCACTCGACTAGATCACGACTCTTTGCTGTCCTGCTCCTAAATGGTGGAACGAGCTCTCTGAAGACACCAGGACCGCAGAGAGCCTTCACATCTTCCGCCGCAAACTAAAGACACACCTCTTCAGACTCTGCCTCGGCCAAAAGACTAACAATTTGTAGCACTTCAGGGTGAAGCGAACTGTGTTTTGAGGTGATCGGCTTGTTGAGTTGCCACGGGGGAAAAACTGGACTCACCCTTTTGAGCTGTCGCTCCGCAGGCCAGATGTGACACACCTTTCCCTCTCACTTCTCTACGTGTTAGAGCAAGTATGTACATGAGATGTGTTCGGTTTTTTAAGTCCATACGGGGCGATCATAGTCAGCTAAATCTGCATCTTACGAAATATGCGACAGACCAGGTTCCGCCGCCGCATTCGTATAGCGAGAAGCTCATCCTGGCGATCGTTTTGACCTTCTGCCTCTTTTGGTTTCCCTACCGCGTCATCGACATGGTGCAAGTATGTCACACATCCTTCTCGGGCCTTTTAATGTGCCTGTCCAGGTTAGACAGCATTTTTCACAGTTATTGATTGATCGTTATTTTCACTGTCCTCAGGTCACATGGGCTCTCTGCTCAGAGGGTGCGGTGAAAGCCACATAAGTGATGACGCAACAACTCGTGTGCCTCTTATGTTGTAGAGCTAATGTTGAAATTCAAACCCAAACCACATCTGCGTAATCATGCGTTGCAGGGTGTACAGCCGGCAGTGGTTAATGCATCACTTGCATTGCAACATTTTGAACCCCCCCACCCCTCACAGGCGGAATTCATTATGACACAATAGCGGAGCTGTCACCTCCGCCGTGGCCTTCACCAGCAGCTCTGCCACCCCGGTGCTCTACTTTCTCGCCATCCGCCCAAAAGGGCTGGCCTTCGTGGCCTTCGTGGCCCGCTTGTTCGAGGCCACGGGGCCGGGCTCGGTGTTGGGCCCCCACCACAGCAATGGAACCAAGGCTGACTAATGCATTTCTGCTGCAGGACATGAAAACCCCCGCAAGAATATGGTCCTCGCACTTAGGTGTGAATTCTCTCTCTTGGTGAAACAGCCCTGCGATGTGATTGGTTAAGCCAAACTGCCTGACGGAAGCGCTGAAATGAAAAAGGGAAAATTGCGAAACCTCTGGGACGATCTCAAAGTGAGAGCTCGGGTTCGATGGAGGCTCTTGATTTTGTTTTTAGATCATTTGCACTGATATGTAATAATAATGTAGAGCTGATGGGGAGTGCACAGCTGGGTGATGAGGGGACTCATTGCACGGTACACCCATTAAATTTGTTGTCGATGTTGCGAAAGTAAGTCGTACAGCTTTAAAGAGAACTGGAATGTTTTTACTGTTAGCATGTTTAGTAAAACGTGAAATATACAGAAGTAGCGATCCAGAGAAAAGAGATTCAACACTCGTGTATCAACAAGATCCTGATACTTATTCACCCTTATTATTCATTTCTGCCTTCCTTCCTCTTCCTAAAATGACACCATCAGTGTCTGTGTTGCTCTATATGACATCCACTATTTCCTCTTCCTTAATTCATCAGTGGATGTCTGAAGCTGTAGTTTTGGTACAGTGTCAGCATTTTTCCAGCAAATCCCCTCGTACTATTTAGTGAACTCATCTGCAATAAAAAAGAATCACAACGACGTCGCAAGCGAACAGCCTTCTTCCTCTCGTGACCGGGCTTCCCCTCTTGCTCAATGCTGGTTTGTGTTGATGTCCACACCCCGTCCTCAAAGCACAGAGGAGCACGGGAGCGAACCGGCCGGGGAATAGATGAGCAACGGTAACCTTTTCGGACTGGAGTGTCGTTAAAAAAAAGAGATCAGCAGTGAGCAGTGGAAGGTCAGTGCGCCACTTCAATTCATCCAGATATGCTAAAAGTGAATTTCATCAAAAACATTTGAATTGCAGCAGTGGGATCCCTGCATTTATATAAAATATAAATGTTATGAACAAGATTGTTTGCAGCTTCGTGGTTAGAGATTAGTGAAGTTTGATAAAGCTGTTCTAAACGTGGGTTCTTTAGTCTTCAGTTCCTCTTCCACTATTACTACTATTATACGTTTTAGTAAGTAAAGGGATTCCTTCAATGTGTATTGTGGACCTTCATAAGATCATAAAATTCTCTGGTTCATTTAAAGAGCAAGAATGAAGTGATGGCCGGTTCAAGAAACATGAGATCTTTTTGTTTTATCATTTTATCAACGTCTGATAAAAACTCAGAACTTGAATAAAATGAATGAATAAATGAATAAAATGCACTGCTTTGCCCTTCTTCTTGGACTTCTTGGGCCAAAAGGTGGCAAAATAAATACAGTAAGTAAAATACATAAAAAGGTGTAAGGTGCGTAAGAATAAGTCTAACAATGTATGTTTTCAGACATAGTTGGACGACTGGTAAATGTACTGAAGTGACGGCTGGTTTAAAAATAGAGGCGGACATTTCAGAAAGTTTTGACGAGAGTCTAGAACTTAAAAAAGGGAAGAAAATAAAGAAAAGGGAAATAAAGTCATGCACATTCAAGCCCTAGTTAACTACAAAGAGCCATCTCATGACTCCTTTATGTTTCAAAAAACATTTATGGTAATAATGCAGAGAAACACACAGGGAACAAAATATGTTGGCCAATATTTCGTGACGTTGACACTATTTCCTCAATAAGCTAAATACAACATATCCTGTTTCCTGTCTGTTGAAAGGTTGTGTCAGGTTCACAGTTGTCGAAGCCCCGACATTCGTCAGACGCTCTCCCGATGGCGTCCAACACCAGCATCCCCGCTCCGCCGCCACCCTCTTCCATGTCCGTCAGCGCCCAGGTGGGCATCGCCATCCTGACCCTGGCGTTGGTGCTGGGCCTCCCGGGCAACCTGTTTGTGGTGTGGTCCGTGTTCTGCCGGGTCAAGAAGCGCTCGGTGACCTGCCTGCTGGTTCTGAATCTCGCCGTGGCTGACTTCACCGTGCTGCTGGGCGCCCCCCTCTTCCTGCGCTACCTGGCCGGGGGCCGCGGCTGGGAGTTCGGCTCGGCGGCGTGCAAGCTGGTGCACTACCTGTCCAGCGTGAACATGTACGTGTCCATCTACCTGATCTGCCTGATGAGCATGGACCGCTGGCTGGCCGTGACGAAGCCCTTCCTGTCGCAGAGGATGAGGACCAAGCAGAGCCTGCTGGGTCTGCTGCTGGTGGTCTGGGTGCTGGCGTTCGTCCTGTCGCTGCCGATGCCGTTCTACCGCAGGTGAGGCCAAAGCGTTACGGCTGCTGCAAGAGGGAGGGCAACTCAAGTCTAGTAAAGTTAACTGTATATCTGTCGGTCTGTCAAAATCTTTTAAAGTTATTTGCTGAAAATTCAGATCTTCAGGCTCATAGATGATCAGATATTATAAGATATTTGCACTGCTCCCATGTGACCTGAGGACTAACCCTATCCCAGGAAAAGAGGACAGGGAAACAAAAGGGAAAAATTCATCGAATTTGACTAAAAACTAAAACTAAGACTAAAAACAGACCATAATACAAAACGTCCAAAAATAATGGAAGACAACAAATTCAGATTTCCTCCTTGGGAATGGGAATAGACACATTTTCGTGCACAGAGGGAGAATATAAGTGAATTCCAAAATGAATGTAAGAACAGTGTTTTTGGGAGGTTACATCAATGATTGGTTTTAATGCTGCTCAATGGTTTTGTCACTCACAAACACCCATGGATAAAGCTGGAAATTGACTGTTGGACTAATTTGGAAGATCTGCCTCTCCATTGTCACGGATTTTAGAAAAGAAACCAGAAAACTACCTGTAGGTAATTCTGTCTCAGCACATCTGCCGTCCCATTGACTTTCTATCTGTGTTTCTTCCTCCTGCGCCGAAGCAACCTGAGCAAGACGTTCCCAAACAACCTCACGTTGAGCTTTTGTATACCGTACCACTGGAACAGCGTGGCCCACCGGGTCTTCCAGTACCTGTTCGAGACCATCATGGGCTGCGTGGTGCCGTTCACCCTCATCAACACCTGCTACTCCTCCGTCATCTGCCGCCTGCAAAGCGCCATGTTCCAGCGCAGAGCACAGAGCAGCCGCCTCATCCTGCTGATCATCGGTGCCTTCGCACTGTTCTGGCTGCCGTATCACGTTGTCAACATCATAGAGGTGATTGAAGTCAGGCTGTTTGTCGATGGACTTTTCACCCAACGTGTTTTTGTTCATTAGTTTGGGCTGTTTTTTGCCGTTGCCTCCTTCCTCCTGACCTCCCTCTCCATCCTCCAGGTGGCCGGCCTGTTGCAGGGCAGCCCTACGGTGATCGCCGCCGCCCTCAGAGGGCGCCCCAACGTCACAGCCTTCGCTTACTTCAGCAGCGCCGTCAACCCCATCCTCTACGTGTTCGCCGGCAGCTCCCACATCCGCCAGGCCGGCCTCGGCTTCATGGGCAAGCTCTTCGATGGCACCAACTCAGAGAGCCGCAGCAACTCCACCTTCAGCCGCAGCGGCCGCAGCGCCTCCACGGTGGACGAGGGCAGCATGCTGCAGGCGCTGTCGACCAAACTGGGGAAGTCGTTCAAGGGCAAGGACAGGAGCAGCAGCGTGGCGGGCAAAGAGGACCACGAGTTTGAGGAGAAGATCCTGAACAGCGTCATGCAGAAAGAGTAGCGCTTGTAAGAGCCAATCACGAAGCCCTCTTCCATGGATGACTTTTGCTTGATAAGCCACGGCCCCCAGAGGATGAATCACGATGGCTTCGGTGGGCCTCACCGTCGGCGCCACGGCCAGGTCGCCAATTGTGGTTTTCGAGTCAAATAGCTCCACAACTATCAGATTGATTGGCATGACATTTGGTAAACACGCGAAGGCACATTTGGCTGCCTGACAGAGCTGCTTTGTGTGGCTTTGTAAATGAAGGTTAAACCTTCACCCAGATGATGGTTTATCTAATTAAAGCAGTGTTAGTTGAGAAATGTATATAATCGTTTGTTTTTATATTTTTATAGTTGTGCTCTTTTTTGCCGAAAAAAATATGCTAATGATTTACATTCATACTGATGTGCACTTGGATATGTTAATCGTAAATGATATGTGTGTGAATGGCTTTTATTTTTGACATTTGAACAAACAAACACAGCAATTGTTAACTTAATAAAGCTTTTTTAACATTGAATTTCCGCTGCAGTGTATTTCTTACAACGTGCACAAGATGTACTGTGCCTTAGGGACGAATTGTCCTTTGCATTTTTTCGCAATTTCCAGCCGAGCGACAACAGATCGTTGCACGTGAAACATTTCACAAAAGCCTCCTTCCCTGCGCTCGGAACATCTCAGACCACAATTGCACAACATCGGACTCAAACGGCCAAGCTGCTGGAAGCTTTCTTCCATCCAATCCGTTAGTACCTGCACCTGAACCTGCCTATCCAACACACACACACACACACACACGCACGCTCAGTTCTAACTGTAGTGTACACACATCGCTGACGACAAGAAGCTGTTTGTGAACAAATAAATAGGACAAAACCACTGCGAAAGGCAGAGGGCTCGTTGTGGCTCTTGTGACCTCGTTGAGCCTCCTTTTGGGGTAAAAAAAAGCGGCAAAAAAAATATTTCTCAGTTCTCGGAATTTACACAAGATCGGTTCCGTTGTGTGACGCCAGCGGCTGCTTTGACGCACACAGTACGGTGTGTCCAGGGGAAGATCTCCCTTTGTACACATTATGAGAAAAGTATGCACCAAAAGTACCATATCAGGAGTATTTCTGTATAGAGAGACAAAGTGGCAAAGTTACAACATCAAATTAGAATTTGGCGCCAAACATCTTAACTACAAACAGCTATATTCTTTACTTCTGAATCACACCTCCCATTTTAACTTAACACTTAGCACTTAACTTAACACTTTAACTTGTCACTTATATCTTGACACATTTATGAAATGAAAGGAGGTCCTCTTATTTCAAATGCAGGAATCAACATGTATTTGCCACGCGAGTCATTCTTCTTTATACCGCCAGGTGGAGCCCAAGTGAAATATTTTCATATTATATGCAGAGAGAGGAATGCTGTAGCAACAACATTAACTGTTCACCTGTAACAAAAGCTCCATTGGACTGCTTCCATAGGAGCTTTTATTTAAAGTAGATATCAGCTCTCAAATCATCACAAAAAAATCACACTCAATATTAAACTATTATTCCATTAATAATTCCATATAGATGAAGAGAAACAAAACACACCGTTTTCTGTTGAGGGTGTACACTGCTGAAAAAGGAACAATTTTTTTGGAGGATTTGGTATGATTTCAATTGCTCTTTTCTGATAATGATGTGGTCAGGTCAGTAGCACATGAATCACTTTCAGCTGCATTGGTGTTGATGGAATTAACAACAGGTGCACTAGAGGAGCAACAATGAGACGACCCCCAATATTTTTGGCAAACTACTCTGAAAATGTGAAATGTGATTCACGACAATTCAGTAGCACTGGTACTTTTTTTGTTTTAGTGGGTTATGTTTAAACCCTCGTTCAAAGGGTTCAACTCTTGTTGTGCATGTTATGATGATGTACGTGTTTGTATAGATTGTATAATGAATAATTTTACTTAGTCTAAATGTCATTTTTGGTCTATTTTAAAAGTAATATTTTGACATATATTTAACGAAAATTTTAGATTTTTCAAAGTTATATTGACGTGAAAAAATGGTCTTCAAAATCAATAATATTTTTATTTTTTTTATTTTTTTGTATGAATGTAATTTATTTACTTTATATTTATTCAAAACTAAAAAATATAATTTGAGAAACTAATACATTTACTTCTAAAAGTGCAGTGTACGGCGAATGAATGCAACTTGAGGACTCCTATTATATGTCACCTTTTTTTTAATCTTATTTCACTCAATTTCAGAGGGAGATAGGGAAGTATACGTTTCAGTCCACAGCAGATGAAACATCTGTTCCAAAGACATATCAGTAGGGAGTAAAAGTGGGATGGAGGACTTCTCAGAAAGGTCACATCCATAATAATTGCACCTATTTGCTTTGTCATCAGGCCCTCATAGATTGCCCTATTGAACCCTGAAGTGACCTCACTTACAAAATGAACTGCAAACAATATCACAGTGAAGGACACTCCCAAGTTCATGGAAGACACGGTCCAATCCGTTAACCTTTCTTTATAAACCTGAATAAGTTACCAGAACTCAAAAAATTTAGATTTTTAATTAACTTAAAACTCCAAATTTTCCAGAGCTTAAAAGGTTGGATGTACTTTCTTTTTATGTTGTCCTTGTTATAAGTACAAATTAGTCAAATATGTTGAGTTTGTTTACTTAAAAATAAGTGACTCAAAACGTTTTGAGGCAATTCATTGCCTCCGCTTGAGTTTAACTAACTCAATATATCTCAAAGTCATGAACGTCTGCTACAGTATTTTCTTGCTCACCACCTTTTAGCACACTGCAATATTAAAATTAAACAGAAAAATAAATAATAAACATTTATGAATTAAAATAAATAGAACAAAAGTATTTTTTTTAAATATACTTCTATACTAAATCAATTGTAGAGCTTGAATAAATTGTAATCAGAAAAATGAATAAATAATACCAAAATGAAATTATTCTTCATTACAGCTATAAAATAAAAAGCACTGTGCTTTTGGCTTCCTACTCGGCTACTTCTCAGTAAGGCAACACGGCAGAAATTTGGATGAAATTGCAAAAAATCTATAGACTGTTTAAGAACATTTTGGTTTACAAATTTGAGCTTTTCAAAAAGCCTTTCAATTCAATTAATTTTATGTTGTATAGCCCAAAATTGGCAATTACAAATTTGCCTACAAAGGGCTTTTTTTCTGTACACATGCAACATCCTCTGTCCTGAAACCCTCACATCGGCCCAGGAAAAAAAAAAAAAGAGAAACGCTTCCATGGGAAAAAAGGGAAGAAACCCGGAGTCAGTCCAAGTACAAAACCTTGTGGGACTCGTGACCAACATTGGCGGTCATCGAGGATTTATAAACACAAACTGGGTTCAATCCGATAAATAGCCTACAACTTAAACCAGCTGAGTGATGTTCCTTAAATACCAATAATGTTCTAGTCTCTGCAAAACGATACAATGATCAATGGCGTCACAACGCGGCAATAAAGTCCAGGAAGACAAGAAAAGAAATGAGTCCTTGCTCTGCTGCTAATAGAGATGATTCGTAATTCACCAGTGCTGTGATGGACTCAAAATCCTGACTAGAAATCCTCAAACAAACCGGTGTTTTGTAGAAACTCCCATAAATGATTTGCGACGGATTTCTCAAAGATCTTAGAGTCGTGTCACTGATGACAGTAAGGAGGCCCTGTCATGTTGTGGGTGTGTTTCCTGTTTTATTTTGTAGTGTGTCCCTGGTTTAGCTTCACTTCCTGCCCTGTCGCGTCATCCCCTTGTCTGTCGTGTCCCTGATTGTTTGATCCTGCTGATCATCGGTGTCTTCGCACTGTTCTGGCTGCCGTATCACGTTGTCAACATCATAGAGGTGATTGAAGTCAGGGTGTTTGTCAATGGACGTTTCACCCAACGCGTTTTTGTTCATTAGTTTGGGCTGTTTTTCCGTTGCCTCCCTCCTCCTGACCTCACTCTCCATCCTCCAGGTGGCCGGCCCATTTTTGGTCTATTTTAAAAGTAATATTTTGATATATATTTAATGAAAATTTTAGATTTTTCAAAGTTATATTGACGTGAAAAAATGGTCTTCACAATCAATAATATTTTTATTTTTTTGTATGAATGTAATTTATTTACTTTATATTTATTCAAAACTAAAAAATATAATTTGAGAAACTAATACATTTACTTGTAAAAGTGCAGTGTACGGCGAATGAATGCAACTTGAGGACTCCTATTATATGTCACCTTTTTTTTAATCTTATTTCACTCAATTTCAGAGGGAGATAGGGAAGTATACGTTTCAGTCCACAGCAGATGAAACATCTTTTCCAAAGACATATCAGTAGGGAGTAAAAGTGGGATGGAGGACTTCTCAGAAAGGTCACATCCATAATAATTGCACCTATTTGCTTTGTCATCAGGCCCTCATTGATCGCCCTATTGAACCCTGAAGTGACCTCACTTACAAAATGAACTGCAAACAATATCACAGTGAAGGACACTCCCAAGTTCATGGAAGACACGGTCCAATCCGTTAACCTTTCTTTATAAACCTGAATAAGTTACCAGAACTCAAAATTTTTTGATTTTTAATTAACTTAAAACTCCAAATTTTCCAGAGCCTAAAAGGTTGGATGTACTTTCTTTTTATGTTGTCCTTGTTATATGTACAAATTAGTCAAATATGTTGAGTTTGTTTACTTAAAAATAAGTGACTCAAAACGTTTTGAGGCAATTCATTGCCTCTGTTTGAGTTTAACTAACTCAATATATCTCAAAGTCATGAACGTCTGCTACAGTATTTTCTTGCTCACCACCTTTTAGCACACTGCAATATTAAAATTAAACAGAAAAATAAATAATAAACATTTATGAATTAAAATAAATAGAACAAAAGTATTTTTTTTAAATATACTTCTATACTAAATCAATTGTAGAGCTTGAATAAATTGTAATCAGAAAAATGAATAAATAATACCAAAATTAAATTATTCTTCATTACAGCTATAAAATAAAAAGCACTGTGCTTTTGGCTTCCTACTCGGCTACTTCTCAGTAAGGCAACAGGGCAGAAACTTGGATGAAATTGCAAAAAATCTATTGACTGTTTAAGAACATTTTCGTTTACAAACAACGTATTAGTCAGTTCTCAAACTCGACTCCTGTAGTTTTAGCTTCACTTCCTGCCCTGTCGCGTCATCCCCTTGTCTGCCGTGTCCCTGATAGTTTCCACCTGTGTCCATTGCATGCTTTCTGAGAGGACTGAAAGTGTCTGCATTAGAAAAGGGTTGCTTGCATAAAGGACATTTAATCAACACAGGCCCCTGAGTCTGCTCTGTACAACTGCTAGGTTGTGCTGTATGATAGCTAAACAAATGAGTACTAGAGATGTTCGGGTTAACAGTGCAGAGAAAGAGAATGTCTCCGTAACCCCGAGTGTCTTCATGGCCTCCTCCTCCACAGAGAAAAACACAAAAAGAGTTGTGTCACATTTAGCAAATGAGAAATTGAAACGGGACCCACCATCGGAGTCTACTACTGCGTAGACACCTCCTTCAGTGATGTGGGCGTAACGAGTGTCTTTGACCAGGGCACAATGGCATTGTGAACACGGAGAGTATAGGTTTAATAATAGCTGGGGAACACGAAGAATACACTGCAAGAAGTTTCTCACCTTAAATTAGTAAGCCAGCCTTAAAGTCAGCTTTTCTTGGACCAAAGCGGAAACAGGTTCACATAACGCTATTTTTCAATGAAAAACCTAGAACAAAAACCTAGAACAAAAGGGCCTACTTATTTTTATTTATTTCATAGAGGTATACCAGATACTTACTTTTTTACATTTTATGGTGCAATATTTGCGTTATGTTTAGTTATTTTTTAAGTGTCAATATCGACAACAACCTAGGGGCTGTTATTGTCGTGTACACCATATGTTTAAAATGAGAACATTAGATTTAGAATCTATACATTGTGAGAATGTCTTTAGAGCGACATTTGAACAATTAAAAATTAAAAGTCCACACTAAAGTGTTGGATGTGGTAAGAAATGTATTATCATAATACTGTATACTTCTGCAACACCTAGTGAAGGCTTGAGTCATGATACAAACTTGAGTCATTATTGTTTTAATTTGGAATAAAATGTCATTTCGATATCTTATTCTCGTGAAGTTAAACAGGCAACTATTTCTTTGGTGTTTTTGTGCTGATCGGAGGCCGTGTTTGTTATGGGCTTTGAGTTTACAGTAAACAGCACAGTCCGCTCAGCTGAGGTATCTATCTTTAACCGCCCACTTGCGCTTCTGTTTACTACAAAATTTGCCATCACTTGCTGCCAGAAAAAGAAAAACACATTCCGTGAGATTCAATCTTCTCAGAAAAGCCACACACTTGATAAGAAAAGCATGAAATACATACGGGTTACTCTTGGGTTGTAGAAAACTATGTGAACAAATTACAAATTAGTTAGGTACAAGTTTCTATGTATGTAGTTTCCGGTCCAACAGATCTAATCTTCATAAAATGAGTCAAGCTCCATTTCAACACTTCCTGGCACAAAGTGGGACATCGTAATACGAATAAAAAACAAATTTTGGGATATTTTACATTTTGTTTAGTGTACACACTGCTCAGGTATGTGTGTGATGAAGGGAGGGGAGGAAGCTGAGGTGAGATGGGAGGGGATGATGGTATAAAAGAGTCACAGTGTGTGAAGATAAAAAGAACCATTTCATCCATTGACAACATTCATCTGTAACCCATGTGAGTACTCTGAACTTTTTTTCTTCTAAATGGCATACTTATTAAATGTTGTTGTATTTTGGTGTTCATCTAAAGGCTTAATGATATCTAAAATGTGTATTATTATTTGTTAACCTTTAGGTTATTGCACTTTAGTTTATTTTTATTTTTTTTATTTTTGCTTGACTTCCCACTCGTCAATGTTTAATATATTTAGATCAAAAGAACACAATGCCTACTCACATCATTAATTATAGGTTATTTTAATATTATGTTAAACAGTCTTTAAAGAAGACGGCCACATACTGCAGTGTATTCAAGACTTCTGCTTAATCTGTAATTAGACAAACGACAGAGAGAAAAGAGTGACAACTCACACGCCGTCCAAAAAATTGTGGGTACGCACAGGAAAGTAGTTTAAACAATGGGTGAAGATGGAAGAAAGGCAGATTGGGACCTAAAATTGCGAACTAAAACCAGCTCGGTGTATTCCGTGTGAGACCATGGGACTTAAGAACTGCTCCAGATGTGCCGGCAGAACATCAAGGCGGCATCTCTCAGGACCATCATTTCTGTGAAAAAAAGATTTCTCATGTTGCTGATTGTCTTTTGGGCCCCTTTTTACCCCTTCTGTTGCACAGGACTTAGTGAGACGTGCCGATGGGGCTGCTCACGTCTAAACTCGGCGGGTTGGTCCCGAGTGAAGCCAGAAATGGAAACTTACAGGTTCCTCCAACCATTGTCGTCTCGGACACGGTTCCAAGGTTTGTGATGTTTGCAGCGGAGAAAGAAATTAGGGCCCGCCTTTGGAAAACTGGTGTTTCCTTTGTTACATATTTAAGACTCATCGTCTTGGGTTCTTAGGTAACGAGAATGTAACATTGTGAAAGCAAATAAAAGTGAAACGTTAATTCTTGGATGTTTAAGTGTTTACTGTCTCTGGAAAGTTTCCCTTAAAACATAAAAACAGTTCCAAGGACATTTTTTTGTCATATCACTATCTCAGTATCTAGCAGCATCTAGTGGCTGTTAAAGGTACTGCAGCTCATGCCTATTGCAAATAACATCCCCGATCCAACAGTGCATCAGAGCACCAGGGCTCCAAGACGCAGCTGCGGAGGTCTTCCGTCTACAGCACGATCGACCTGGTGCCGCAGCCGGAGCATTATGACATTTCACTGCCAAATCGTCAGATGAAGAGCCGTCCATCCCTTGAGGTTCTCCGCAGCTCATACGGGGTCAGCGTTCCACCTCACACCTTGCACACAAGTCGCGCCCTCTGACCGAGCAGGGCCCTACTCTGAATGCATTTCCCCTTCCCACTATCGACCATTTAAAAAGGCTTTTAATTGTGTAAAATGTCTTTTCTTTCACCAGTCGCAGGGGGGTGTAGAGGTCCCCGATAAAGAGTTGGGAGATGTCAATGCTGCAGACATCGAACAGGAAGGCTCACAAGCTAAGGGGAAACAACCCATTAGGTTTGGCTGGGTGTTGGGAGTCACGGTGAGCAGACTTGTGTTTGAGTGGAGGACACGCGGCATTTGACGGATGTTTTACTGAGGTGCTTTTATTGGACTTTTGTCACAGGTTCGTAGTATGCTGAACATTTGGGGAGTCATCCTGTTCGTCCGTCTCACGTGGATCACATCCCGGGCCGGCATTTGTGAGTTCATACCCCCCCCCCCCCAACCCTCCAATACATTAGTCCCCTTTAACTACTCTGTCCAGTGGCTAAAACACTTGATGGCGTCACTCTCGCCCCCCTTGTATGACTTCAATTGACTTACCTTTAAGCACTATGTTGAATGAGAATAATGTGTGCACCTTCCTGGTTGAGTCTTATCTCTGGCGTGGGGTAAAACCCTGAAGTCAAGGAGTCTCCCTTTTGTATTGGACAGGTGTTTTGTTTCCAATGTCTCATAATCCGCCCATGCCATCAGAAGGTGCAATCGATTATGAAATCCCATGTACTTACTGTCTAATGAAAAATTCATGCCATGTGACATCTAAAGCTTATATAGTTGAAAAGATGCATGCATGTAAAGCCTTTCCCGGGAAAAGATGGAGAAACATGCCGTTGAACCCCAAACGTCTCATCTCAGTGTTGACCTGGCTTATCCTCGCGATGTCCGTGTTGGTGACCTCGATAACTGCCCTCTCCATCTCTGCTATCGCCACCAACGGGAAGGTGATCTCAGGTCAGTCACTTGCTGTGTCTCAAAGCTGTGCACATTTTACAACACAGTAATTCGTCGCTTAGCTATTTTCCCTTTTTTGGGGGGGATTCCACTTCATTTCAGGAGGGACGTATTTCGTGATCTCCCGCTCTTTGGGCCCTGAGATTGGTGGTCCGATCGGGGCGGTGTTTGCCTTTGGCAACGCTGTGGCCTCTGCGCTCAATACCATGGGCTTCTCAGAGGTGGTCCGCGATCTGATGAGGGTAATTGTGGCTCAAAAGGTGTATGAGATACTTGACATGTTCTAGTTTATTTTGAATAGCCTTGCGTCGTGGCGCAAGGGTTAGAGAAGGTGTGCTGGGAAGCACAAGGTTGGTGGTTCGATTCCAGGCTTCCCCATGTTCCATGTCGAAGTGTCCCTGAGCACTGAGCAAGACACCTAACCCCTAATTGCTCCCCGGGCAAAAATGTGTAAAAGCCATGGGTTTAAAGTGTAATGTAAGTCGCTTTGGATAAAAGCGTCTGCTAAATGACCTGTAATGTAATGTAATGAATAACACAGCGGGTTGTCTAGATGTGGCCAGTGGGCTGCAGTGGGACCACTGGTCATAGTTTGGCCGCCGTGAGGATTTGATGGTCTGAAATAAATCCATTTGTATCGTTATATAAGCATGGACAAGTGTGATATGCAGATTTGCGTGAATAATTTGCGTTTCAATGTAGGACTTCGGTGTCGTCCTGGTCGATTCAGCCAACGACGCCCGTATTGTGGCCGTGATCACGGAGACTGTTCTTCTGTGCATTGCAATAGCTGGGATGGAGTGGGAGTCCAAGGTAGGCACATATCGACACATCGTACTGTATTCACTGTCTACCTATTTGGTCATGTGTTTATTTTCATGTTTTTCCGTGTCTCTTATGTTTCTCTCTCTCTCTCTCTCTCTCTCTCTCTCTCTCTCTCAGGCCCAGTATTTATTCTTTGTAGCTCTTATGCTTTCGTTTGCCAACTACTTGGTGGGCACAGTCATACCCCCCACAGTGGAGAAACAAGCCCAGGGCATCTTTGGATACAGTGGTATGTTCAGGCTTATCGGGACTCACTGCCCTTTGATACATCATTAGTTTTAAAGAATATATACTTAACGCTTCTGTGACTTTTCACCAGCTGATATCTTTGTGGCAAACCTAACACCAGACTGGAGAGGAACTAACTTTTTCCAGCTGTTTGCCATTTTCTTCCCTGCTTGCACTGGCATTCTGTCCGGGGTCAACATCTGCGGAGACCTCAAAGTATGAAGAGGAAGAATGCAGATGCTTTTTACTACCAAAAAGGAATACGCGAATGTTGAACCTGTGTATTATTTCCTTTTGCAGGACCCTGCTACCGCCATCCCCAAAGGCACCCTCATGGCCATTTTCTGGACAACACTCAGCTACATAGTTATCCCTGTGACCGCCGGTGAGCTACTCATTCAGCGAGCTTTCGTTTGGAGCTGTTTTTTTGTATTGAGGGCGTCCTCGTCAGTGTACTGCACGGTAGTGGGGGTGTAAATGGGCTTAAGAGCAAATATATTACAGACTTAATAACATCACACTGCACCCTGTAAACCTCACAACGCCGCCAATATAAAGTCAAATGGCCAAAAAAAGTGTCGTTTTTTAAAGGTTTAATCTTGGTTCGCCTTCATTCCCTCCCAGGAGCATGTATGCTGCGGGACGCTTCAGGTAATATCAGTGACATGATGACGGGCAACAACACGGGCGGCTGTGTGGGTCTGGGGTGCGCCCACGGCTGGAACTTCACATCGTGCACTCAGTTACAAAACTGTAAATATGGTCTGAGTCCCAGTGCAAAGGTATCATTCAATCCCAAGTTATAGAATATACACACAGCCAACTTATTTTGTGAAATAAGACAGTTTTCAGGCTCAGTTAGATGAAATATGATCACGTTATACTCATTCCGGTGGCGACTCTTCCGACCAGACAATGGGCCAACTTTCAGCATTCTATTACATCATCCATGCGGGAATCTACGCTGCCAGCCTGTCGTCCGCCCTCGGCTTCCTCGTCTCCGCCCCCAAAATCTTTCAGGTGTGAAATCCAAGCCCGTTTTTCTAAATTGTGCCTCTCAAAAATATACAATTCTATGATGAAAAGATTAGACGGTTAGTAGCCCTGTACTGCTGGTAGAAGTAATTTTTTTAATGCAAAGTCTAATCCGTGGATACGTAGAGACATTAGAGAGTCATATTTACTTTTGCTTCATGTTGCTTCATGTATGCTAACAAATGTTTCCATGTGGACAAATGTGGCCACATTAATGAGCTTCTTTTTTCCTTTGCCAGTGTCTTTGCAAAGACAACATCTACCCATACATTGGATTCTTTGCCAAAGGTTACGGCAAAAATCATGAGCCCCTGCGGGCTTATTTTCTCTCCTACGTCATTGCTATGATTTTCATTCTCATTGGTGGGTGTGATCTAGCATTGTTGTTTTAATTAGTCACACATTTGTCTGAATTCGCCAATGACGTGTACCCCTCCTCTTTCGTTATACAAAATGACACTGTTTAACTTTTTAATTTCTCTCTCCTTCGTGGCTACAGGTCAGCTGAACACCACGGCGGCCTTGCTCTCCAACTTCTTCCTGTGCTCCTACAGCCTCATCAACTTCAGCTGCTTTTACGCCTCCACCGTCAACTCCCCCGGTGGGTAATCCGCTCGTCATGGCTTCCTATGGCTAAACACACAGGGGTGTCCCACTTTACCTGGTCTCACTTAGTAGCAAAAGAAGCATGCACGCCTTTCCCACAGTTCTGACCCAAAGGGCGCAGGTGTTCACATGTATAATATACGGGCATGGGGGGGGGGGTCACAATTCAAGTTGCAACACTTCAAAGTCATGTTTTATATCGCCCCCGTTAGGTTGGAGGCCGTTGTTCCGCTACTACAGCAGATGGGCTTCTTTGTTCGGCGCCGTGATCTCCGTGGTCCTGATGTTCCTGTTCACCTGGTGGGCGGCTCTCGTCACCTTCACCCTCATCATCTTGCTGTTCGCCTACCTCAGCTCCAAAAAGCCCAGTGAGTTCCAAACGGACTCGGCCGGTCCTGAAAGTCAACGTCCAGCCTTTTCTTGCTGGCACCTGACTTGTGTGTGTGTGTGTGTGTGTCCACAGCGGTGAACTGGGGATCGTCGATGCAGGCGAGTACATACAACATGGCTCTGTCCAGCTCCGTCAGGTTGTCTGGTGTCGAGGATCACGTCAAGAACTTTAGGTAGGTGGCGTATCGCGCTTGCCATGTTTCCTCCTATCACACGCCGGCATGGAGTCTTCTGTCTGTCTGTCTGTCTGTCTGTGTGTGTTTGTCTAAATCCACTTCTGAGCTGGAGTCCCATGTGTGTTGCATCAGACCACAGTGCCTCGTCATGACTGGGCCCCCGAACCAGCGACCGGCACTGGTGGACTTCGTCGGCTCCTTCACCAAAACAATATGCCTGATGATTTGTGGAGACATCATCATGGTCAGTTCTTCTCCACCTAAATGGGTTTAGTTCCCCCCAAGCAAAAGAAAACGAGAGGAATGATACACGTCCGTTGTTGAATATCCGACTCCTGTAGGAGCAGGACAAGCACGCTCGGCCGCACGACTCCACGGACATGTCGTTGAAGTGGTTGAACAAGAGGAAGGTGCGCTCCTTTTACAGCTCGTTCCCTGCCGACAGCGTCCGAGTGGGAGCTCGACACCTGCTGCAGGTAAAACATCTGCATGACTTTTAAATCTGTGGCAAATGGCACATTTATCCGACTGTAACCTCTGATCCAGATGTTGAGTTTGTCCTGTTTTTTCCTTTTCCTTTGTTTATGAGGACACACTAATTATTCGATTATCTATTTGGTGCAAAGTATTATGAACATTTCCTAATCCTGGGAATACCTCCAGAAAACCTGTGTTTTTATTTGTATCTTTTTTCAAGGCTTCTGGTCTTGGCAAGCTGAAGCCCAACACTCTGGTTCTGGGCTTCAAGGCAAACTGGAGGGAGAGTTCACCTGAAAGCATCGATGATTATATTAACACCATATAGTAAGTGTGGAAGACAGATATTGACTTTCTCGGTTTCCCTGGCATTTCAAAATAGAATAGAGAGCTGGTTTGAAAACGAATGGATGCTAAACTAAAATCCAGTGTCTCTGGGTAGAATACTTACTTAATAGCATCCCTGTTTTTATTTCATAACTCCGGTTTCAACTTCCTCCTTTATGCTCTAGCGATACCTTCGACGCCAACTACTGCTTGTGTATCCTGAGGATGATGGACGGTCTGGATGTCTCTGAGCAGCTGGATTCTGAAGGTTTCCAATCCAGTCCTTCTCAATACCTTTTTGTGTTAATTGTATCTGCATGCTTTCCCACACCTCAACGTATTTGAACCGTGGTAAAATGGTTGAAGGTTTTTTCCCTCTCCTCCAGTGAACCAGGCCTTTGAGCTTGATGAATCTGTTGAAGATGAAGACCAGAAGCCTTCTGAGACGGAATCGGGTAAGGATATTATATTACTCTACACGTTGAACTACTGCCTAAGGCCGACCACGCCTCACACCTTCTCCTCTGGCCGCTCCAGCCGACGACCTCTCCGACGAAGGCCACGACACTCAGAACAAGACGGTGTTTCAGAACGACCAGGGCAAGAAGACCATTGACGTCTACTGGATAGCCGACGACGGAGGTCAGATCCGATCCCGAGTTGGCATGTGCGATCGCCGACGAGACGCCTCGGTTTTTCAAGTTCTTCTCTACTCGTTTGAAGGTCTGACTCTGCTGGTTCCCTACCTGCTCACGAGGAGGAAGCGCTGGCGCCGCAGTAAGATCCGCGTCTTCATCCTGGGAGACGAAGAGAACCAGGAGGAAGGCCGCAACAAGTAGGTGTTTCCCCTCATCGGTCGAATGAGAAATAACAAAAAGTCACAGCGAAAATGTCTTGGTCCTGCCTGTGGGCTTTTTCCACTTTAAATCCAAGTAAACTGATAACAATAGTAATTTACCTTTAGTAATGTAATCTGGGAGCGTTTGTAGAAAGGGATTCTGCCGAGGCTGTGATTGTCGTTTCTTTCCAGGATGATCGCTCTGCTGAAGAATTTTCGCCTGGATTGCAGCAACGTCACGGTGATAACGGACAGCGAGAGGTCTCCCAACCCCAAAAAGTAGGTCCAGAAAACCTCCGCTGAAATGCACTGATACAGGAAGTGCGTTTTAATTGTTTGGAAATCGGCATCAAAGAGCGTTGCTTCCGGGGGTGACCCTCACAAACAAATACTACAGTCACATAGAAAAAGATCTTTGGTGTAAAATAATAAAGAGACTTCTGCCGTCGTTTTGTAATTTTCCACACACTTTCCATGTGTGTCCTTCACCGCGCGTTGACCTCTGACCTTTGCTTCCCGCCGGCTCGTCAGCCTCAGCAGGTTCGTGGAAAGTGTCGCTCCCTTCAGGCTGCACAGCGAACCGCATGAAGGCGACTCGGTCAACGAGATGAAGCAAAGCGCCCCGTGGAAGATATCAGACAAAGAGTTCGAGGCCTTCAGATTTCAGGTGCGTGTGTGTGCGTGTGTGTGTGTGTGTGTGTGTGCGTTTAGGTTAACAAACATACGGTCTCTGGTCCTTTATTGCTTGGATTCTCTTCTTATCGGTCTCATGTCCTTATTCCCCCCCCCCCCCCAACAGTCCGAGACAAAGGTGAGGCTGAATGAAATCATCCGGAGGAATTCTCAACATGCTGCCCTCGTCCTCGTGTAAGTACACAGTGAACGAATACACACAAATGTATTAAAGTCACATGAAAGAGGCTCAAAACAAACCAGCCAATTAGATATGTTATATTTAGTGTTATAAGACAGAACATTCAGCGCTCAAATGGTACCTAATCCTGTTTTCTGTTTCGGTCAATTCATTTGTTTTATTTGATGTTTTCCCATCTTTTTTTATTTATTTATTTTTTAAGAACCGTGCGTTGTCTCAAAGGACGTTGCGAGGGTTCCTCATCTCATTTATCTCATTTGTCTATAACATCCAGCTTGGGGAAAACATCTACACAACATCAGGCGATGAATACACGCACGTCTGATGTCCACAAGGATGCAAATCATTTACAAAGTGCCACCCGACGACGGGTATTTTTACACCAGTGTGACTCACGCAGAAGAAAGACGAGCACTGGTTTTAGTTCCCTGCAAAGCGCAGCGTGCCGTTCTGTCACGGTCATGTTCATGTAAATGTTCTTTGTTTTGGTCTCCCAGGAGCCTTCCTGTGCCACACAGAGACTGCACCAGTGCTCTGTTCATGGCCTGGATGGATACTCTGACCTGTGGCCTTCACTGCCCGGTGGTGCTGATACGAGGAAACCAGGAGAACGTGTTCACCTTCTACTGCCAATGAGTCAAAGCGATGGACACTAGATCGAGCCCCACCAACTGAAGTGGGAAGAAAATATGTATTCGTGCAATAAGTACCAGGGAAGGGTTTAAAAGTTCTGTATCTAAAATATACGTGAAGACGACACTCGCTGAAGATCATCTCCGGAATGTCCCCTCTTAGACAAGAGAAGTAGGTTTTGTAAGATAACTTCTTTACAAAGCAAAGAGATTAGTATGAGTGCTTTAGTTGTGTAGTAAAATCATTATTGTTAATATGAAATGTTCCCACAACGAAAGGTATCCATGGCGTGTGCACTTTATTGCATCAATGCAACATTTGATTTAATGCACAAAGGAATCTGTTGTTCATGATGCAAGATGGGGACTCATAAATGCCCCAAAACGTAATTTGACCCCCAAAGGAAACAGGACAATAACACATTCAATTAAACACATTAACAAGAAGAATATAAATTGTCACATTATCTTATCCTATGTGTGTGAATATATCAAACAAAGACCGTGTACAACATTTATTGCATTTTAACTGTGAGTGAAATGTAACGTGATGCTAACTATAAATATAACTTCATCGATATACTTACTGAGCCAGATTTCAACCCTTTCTATGAAATATGAAATATGAGGTCGTCGAATACAAGAACTGGAACCCGACGACGGAGGTGGATGGTTGCGACATGTCCTCAGCCATGGAAACAGGAGGAGGTCATAAGTGGTTCAAAAAGAGTGCTCACAAGGAGTTCAATTTCATCTGCTTGAGGCGTTGAAGGCCGAACTTCTGGTGGCGGGACGTTTACTCTGGTAGTTTGCTGTGGTGTGACTTTGGTGTCCTTATCTGCTGGGTTCATGGGATGGCATTCTGGGAAATGTAAAGAGGTTCTTGGCTTTTTCTTATTGTTGACGAGACATTCCATGAATTTATATCGCAGACAAATCAAAAAACTCTCCCATGTTTCATCCTCAAAGGAGCTTAATAATAATTAATTACTTTGTTATTACTTTTGAATGCATGTTTTACTCAATTCAATATTGTAAATGAGTCATTTTATTGTAGAATCCACCTCCCCACTGCTCCCAGTCTGAACTGGTTTGAAGGTTTGAATGTGCTTCTCATGTCGTACTGGATTATTCCAGCAGAGAGCGGCAACAAGGGAACTCATAAAGTCTCATCTCCACTCAATCAATCAATAAATCAATGAACTATTAATGAAGTGATGAAACTGAGAATGTTGTCCTGGAATATATTCACTTTTCATTCTATTATCTAATAAAACATGTACAACCAATATTTGACTACTGCTACTTTAGAAATGGTTTTGAGGAGATCTATCAGCACATATGGAACATAATTAAGTTTTTGTTGAATTGAGCTGTGTGCAATCTGCAGCTTCACCACTAGAGGGCACGAGATCCCCACGATCCTTGAAGGACAATCTTTTTCTCTTCTTTGATTGTATATCTCTTCTAAAAAAATCTGTTTAAATTATCTGGATTTTACACAATAGTTTTGTAACGGATGCATTTAATTGTTTCAATCGGAAAAATAATCTTCACACTAAAGGCCCCAAACGTATTTGTGATCATATGAATATTTAATTCCATATCAGTGTGAGATTATGTGATTGGTTACATTAACTGTGAGCGTGTCTGATGAAATAGATAAACAACAAAATGCTTTGAATCTTGTTATCACACTAATCCTCAGAAACGTTTAGCTTTTTAGAAATTCAATTCTTGACGCTACAAAATGGTGTATTTTCAGCACAGTTAACATAAATAAAGTACCCTTCGTATTGGCAGTAAACAGGCAAGTGCGTCAGTCACGTTCTTCACAAGAATGGATCCTTTCTCCTCTGTGGAAGTCTCCAACTTCTGCATTTAAATATTCAAATGCAAGCATTGAGGAGGCTGTATATAGTGTTGTTGGTGACCACTAGTTATTCCACATAATATGAAGAAATGTGACCATATTATATTTGATCATTTATAACGACAGCACAACCTGAATTGTAACTTTGAATTGTATTATGTATTTCATAGCTTTTACAAATGGTGGACACAATAACAGGAACACGTGACCATACTATGCAACTATTCGAATAAATATTCAGAGAAATACTATGATTTGAGACATTTTCATGACCAAATGCATTGTTCCTCGTATCCTATGTATTGCTTGTACATTGGATAAAATGAACAGAACTCTTATAAAAGAAGAACATTCAAAGATTACAGAGAAACATTCATTTTAGTTTATCTTTACTTTATGTTGATAACCAACATGTTATAAACAAAACAAACAAGCATCGTGTTCTGCTTCGACCACGATTTGCATAATTTCCATCATTCTTCTTCCTCATTGGACTTTGCACGGAGAGACTGGTATTTATAGTTGGTTTTATTATAGAAGAAACAGATGGACTGAAGCTGTAATAATGATTGTTTCATTTCACACTGAGGCGTCAGTTTCATCCAACAGAGCAAACATGCAGAGCAGCCTGTTTGTGCTCATTCTGATGGGTAAGTGGATCATCTGCTCCTCTTACGACTTCATTCAAACAATTTTTTTGTGCAATTCTCACACGACTTAAGTGCACCCACAAGACCAAATTCAAATCGAGGGGCGGGATGCCGTTTGATAACAATATTCTTTGCTCTCTTCGTGGTCAGGCGAGTGTTCCTTCTGCCTGGATTGCCTCTACGAGTACCACTTTGTGGAGAAGAAGAAGACCTGGGATGAAGCCCAGAAGTATTGCAGGGAGAAGCACACCGACCTGGCCACGGTGTACGACATGGAGGATGTGAAGAGGCTCATGGAGAATATGGAGGAACTCTGTGACTCAGCAGAGAGTCAAAGCAAAGCCTGGATCGGGCTGCGGAAGCAAACCAGTGGCCCCATGACGTGGCACTGGTCTCTACCGGGGGAGAAGTTCAACGACAGTGAGACACAATGGAAAGAAGGGCAGCCAGACAATACCCAAGATCCTGAGAACTGTGTGGTGAATCAAAATGGCGAATGGTTGAACTTCCCTTGTACTGTGGAATGTGAATTCATCTGCTACGACGGTGAGATATGTGGCTTAGAGTGTAATCTGCCAACAGAACATCATTCTTTCTAACAGCAGTTTTCCATGTTCACATGAAAAAATGGTTTCCTCCTCTTTTTTATCCATTCCACAGACACAGAGCCAACACGTTTCCACTTGATTGAACAGAATAAAACTTGGCTTGTGGCTCAAAGCATCTGTAGAGAAAATTACACCGACCTGGTCAGTGGAAGTAAACAGCTATATGACTCAGAGTTCACAATACTGCCTAAAACGGACAAAGACCTGTGGATCGGCCTGTTCAGAGACACCTGGAAGTGGTCCGATAACAGTAGTTCTTCTTTCAGACACTGGGATCAAATATCAGAACAAGATGACAATAGTGATGAAGGCAGAGACGAAGACCAGAAATGTGCGACTGTGTCTGATGGGAAATTGAGCTCAGATGATTGTGATGGTGAACACCCCTTCGTCTGCTACGATGGTGAGCTCTCGTCTACATGAGCTCTGTCTGCCTTTTGTATTCGTCCTGTTCGTTTCGTAGACTCCTTCATGACGCTGTTAGCTGCAAAACAAAAGTGTGTTCCAGTGTGTCTGGAGTGTAAAACAAAGAGAAACCTCTAATTTCTTCCAATGGATCCCATTAAAGTTTCCTTGATAGTTGCAGAAGGCATTTAAAGGTCATCGCCACGACCACCACGAGCAGTGATTTAAATAGAGCGGAGCGCAGTGCTCCCAACAGTCAAGAGTTTGATCCCCCGTTTGTCTCCATTTCCTCCCCAACAGATGAAGTCATCCTGATCAGGGTGAACAAGACCTGGGAGGAGGCCCTGGATTACTGCAGGGAGCACCACCGGGAACTGGCCTCCGTCACCGACTGTCACCAGCAGGCGCAGGTCCAACAGAGGGCCAAGCGGGCCGACACTCCCTACGTCTGGATGGGGCTGCGCTACACCTGCACCCTGGGGTTCTGGTTCTGGCTCACTGACGAGGTTGTCGATTACAAGAACTGGAACTCGACGACGGAGGTGGATGGTTGCGACATGTCCGGAGCCATGGAAACAGGAGGAGGTCATAAGTGGTTCAAAAAGAGTGCTCGCAAGGAGTTTAATTTCATCTGCTTGAGGCGTTGAAGGACGAACTTCTGGTGGCGGGACGTTTACTCTGGTAGTTTGCTGTGGTGTGACTTTGGTGTCCTTATCTGCTGGGTTCATGGGATGGCATTCTGGGAAACGTAAAGAGGTTCTTGGCTTTTTCTTATTGTTGACGAGACATTCCATGAATTTATATCGCAGACAAATAAAAAAACTCTCCAATGTTTTGTCCTCAAAGGAGCTTAATAATAATGAATTACTTTGTTATTCTTTTTGAATGCATGTTTTACTCAATTCAATATTGTAAATGAGTCATTTTATTGTAGAATCCACCTCCCCACTGCTCCCAGTCTGAACTGGTTTGAAGGTTTGGATGTGCTTCTCATGCCGTACTGGATTATTCCAGCAGAGGGCGGCAAGAAGGGGCTACACCTGCACCCTGGGGTTCTGGTTCTGGCTCACTGACGAGATTCTCTGCTACAGCAACTGGGCCGATGGGAACAAGACGGAGGGGTGTAAGAGATAAGAGAGAAGATGCAGGCCTCCATTATGCGTGAAATGACTTGTTAAAGAACACCTACTTTTACCTTTTGATTTCAATAAAAATGGTGCTTCCTCTAAGTATCGTGGTGTTCAGTGTATTTATGATGGATGTTATTTTTTTCATCAAGTGGATAAAGAAGTGACTTGCTCTCTGCAAGGTAACAGGAACACAACGGTCCTCCATGATTATACCAGCAAAAATCACATGGATATTATATTAAAATGTCTGCTCCCTCTAGATGCAACACACTGTTCAACTTTACAATGTTTTCCACTTGTGAGACAGTTTGCGTCGAATATGAAGAGAAATATTCCTTTAAGAACAGCACTCGGGTACATTTACTTTCACTTTCGCTACTTTCGCGCTGTTAAAGAGGCTCTGCCACATTCCTGGTGGCTGTTCCAACGAAAGAGAACAGGTGATCACACCTGCGCGCTCCTTTTCTGCCGGCCGTCGCCATGGAGGACGTTCACCGGTACCCCGTCTTCTTTGACTGCCCCGGTCTGGACGGAGAGAGGCAGAAGAAAACCGAGAGGTACTTTCACGTAAGGCGCAAGTCCGGAGGTGGAGACTGCGGCTCCATAACCAACGTCCACGGTGACGTGTACAGCATCTCCTTCAACAAAAGAGAGGGTACGAAATACGCTCCACCCGTGCACTTCGTAATGTGTGTGTTTTTTTTAATGAAATGGACACATCCGAACTTTGCTTTAACTTTTGACAAAGATCGTCTATTCATCGTCTATTTTAGTTTCGCATCCGCTCTGACAAGCGCTCGTTAAAGGAAAGGCCCGATTCTCCCTCGGACCTGTACATTCCGATGCATGTGAAAAGACGACACACCTAGTACAGGCATGTGTGTACATGTGTGTACAGGAATCTGACACACCCGATGCGTGCAGCGGTTTGGGTTTCTCTTTGTGTGTCCTTTTGTGTCTCAGTGGACTTTTTGGGCTTTAACTTCCGCAATCGGAACAGCAGCTGGCCTGATGACGTCACTGCGTCAGCGTGTCTTGCTAATAAATTTTAATACAGTTCATGACTGTTACGTATTTAACTATGAAGGTTTTGTTTTTTCATTTAAAATAAATATGAAGATAAATATTCCCCTTAACCTTCAAGAACAGCACTCGGGTACATTTACTTTCACTTTCCACCACTATTAAATGCCGGTTTAGAGTCTTGATGACCCCCATGTCCTTTAATTAAAACATTGTTACTTTTAATGCACAATGATAGACAATAACAAGCCTGCACACTGTAGATAAACTTTCACTTTGAAGAGTACTCGGGTGCGACTGATGTTGTACGAGTCCACACAAGGACGCATGTTGAGAAAGGGCCAAAGATTGAAGATTATGGTTCACTGAGGGCCTCTAACCCAATGTGCCCCCGTGCCTGTGCCTGAAAGGAACCTTCAGTAATCTATTCAAATACCTACTACGTAACAAATCCTTGTTTGTCTCAGATCAGGAAAGAGTCCTACAGAAATCTGTACATGTGTTGGACTTCGGGGGGGTTCCTCTGGTGCTGACTGTGAGAAGCACCCCGGGACCTTCCACCGACCCTCCCATCACAAAATTGGACCCGACATCGTCACAGGTCAGAGTGGAAAGTCTTCTAAAATAATGTCTTGGAGAAACTGTTGCACAATACACTATGTGGGATGATTCATGTCCAACTGCTTCTAATAGCTCTGGTATTAGCGTCGTAACGTATTACACGCACTTAATCAGACCACATTGATTTGAATAATTACATTTTTTTTATTTTTTAGGGTGTGTGTCCAAATTATGGTTGAATAACATTAAGTATTAGAACTTAGCACTTGAAGTTAAGTGTCTGGAATGAACATCAATAAGTCAACATCAATAACTCTTTCCAAATGTTGTTATATACTGAAGTCCAAAGTCGATGTAACATATTTCCTTCCAACAGCAGACACAGCCGTCCAGTCTCACCTCAAGCCGGCTAACAAGTGACGAAGAATATGAACTGCGACTTGATCCTCACCTGCTACGTTATCTGACCGAGTGCCCCCCTGCTATGAAAGAACTAGAAAGGGGACTGGCCTCTGTGGCCTGCTCGGCCCAGCTGTACCCAGAGGAGGACCGGGTTCTAGTTAGCCGGTTAGCTCAAGCTGGTGCTCCAGTCAGTAATTGGAAAGCCGAGGTAGACAAACTCTTTGATGGCTACCTGTGCCACTATGAGGCGGACCCTCACAAGGTTAAAGCTTTACTTCAGCCCGGCACCTCTCGTCAGGCCACAGGTGAGGTGAAGGTGTACAGCGAGGTTGGGATGGTCGTTGTGGTTGGGGAGCGTTCTCAAGTGAACGCCAGGTTGATGGACATCGACTCGCATGTTAAACAACGGCCAGGTCACATGAAGCAAAAGAGCACCCGTCGACTGGGTGAGGCCAAGCTCCGCCTCCTCTGGAAAGAGATTGAGCAAAGATTGAGACAAGATTTTCCCGAAGTGAAGGTCACGCAGGGAGCTGCAGGTCAAATAGTTTTGGAAGGTTCTGTTGAGGAGATTCTTAAGGCTGGAGATTGTATCTCTCAGCACGAGAACCACGTTCTAGAAAGAACTGTTTCTGACATAAGCCCGCGTCTTTTGGCCTTCCTAAGAAAGGCATACAGCGGCCCAGGTGTGCAAGGGGACATTTTAGGGGTTGGTGGCAATGTGGAAATAGAATTACGAGACACAGAGGTACGTTTCTTTGCTGTCTCTGCTGATAAACTGGATGACTTGGAAAAAAGATTCCAAGAAATGTTCAAGGAAGTCAAGATTGATATCCCTATCTGCTCCTCTCTACCAGCTGATCTTTGTGAAAAGCTAAAGACAATTGAGATGAACCAGGGTCAACACAGGGCTGAGGTTGTGTTTGGCCCCGACAGCATGGTGTGTCTACTGGGCCACACCAAAGAAGTTCAAGAGCTGAATCAAGTTGTCATCCAGTTTATTTCGGACGAGTTTAGCATTGTCGATTGCCAAGTCAAGCTTCCTTACCCAGAGTTAGTCAAACTCTTACCACAATTAATGAAGTTGCATAATTTTGATATTTCAGGGGTCACAATCTATCCTTTAACATCTTCATCTCAGCCCACCGTAGTCCTGAAAGGTTCACCCGGAAAGGTGTCTGAGGTCAGTAACAGGCTTGGTCCATTTCTGCAAACCCTTGTGCAGGATAGAGTGACCATTGCTCTACCAGGGGCAGTAAGGTATTTCGAAAGTGCCTCTGGAAGAGATGCCATTATAAGTGTTGCTGATTCTCAGAAGTGTCTCATACAGCTTCAAGAACAACCTCACGCTACAAGACAGATTTTGGCATCCGGTGCAGGACTAAGTGAAGTAAACACAACAGTTGCTAGCTACAGCCTTCGTGATGGGTTCCAGGTGCTGGTGTGTCAGGGTGACATCACCAAACAGGAAGCTGATGTCCTGGTGAACGCTGCCAATGAAGATCTGGAGCACATTGGAGGGGTCGCTGCTGCTTTAAGTAAAGCAGGTGGCCCTGAGGTGCAGAAGGAATGCAGAGCTTTAGTGAAGAAGTGGGGGAAAGTTCCTACAGGTCGTGTAGTATCCACCACAGGGGGGAACTTAAATTGCAAAAGTCTGCTGCATGCTGTTGGGCCTGTGGGAGGAAAATCAGGTGGCAGAGAGAGGATCTTACTGGAAACAGTTATCCAGTTTGCTCTGAATTCAGCAGAGTCGATGGGGTCCAGGTCAATAGCCATCCCGTGCATCAGCTCGGGTGTGTTTGGTGTACCTGTCGCACTGTGCTCTGACGCTATTGTAACTGCTGTTAAGAAGTTTGGCAGTCAAGGAGGGCGAAGCCTGGGTAGAATCATTCTGATTGATACCAGAGTAGAGGTGGTCAGGGCTATGCAGGAAGCATGTGACCGCCATCTCCATGGGATGAGTAGTGGAAGCAAGGTACCCAGAGATCCGGGGTTTCAAATGGGAGCCACTGCTGGAGCTCCTGAAGATGGCGTCCTTGTGGAGATCGTTCAGGGATCCTTGGAGACCCAGCAGGTGAAACTAAGCTAAATTGTTGTAAATGTTGTAATTGATTAATGTTGTTTCACAAGCTAATCTGCTGCAGTGGCTGGGTACCAGGTCGAATCTACATTCTTGGTAAAACACTGGTGGTAAGGAACATTTAAGTGTTAACCGGAATTACATTGTTTTGTTGTAATCTCCTAGGTGGATTGCCTGGTAACCCCTATGGTTGGCCATAATCCCACCTCTTCTCGTGTTGGATCAATTTTGTCGCAAATGGCTGGACCTCAGCTGACTGCAGGGTTTCATAAGGAAGCAGGAGGGGCAACTTTGCCTGGTGACACGGTCCTGGTGGTGGGCTTGCCTAGCCTTCAATCTAAAGGAGTGTTCTTCCTCAACCTTCTTCCCTGGGATAACAATCCACATGGAGTTGCCATCCAGGTGAATTTGTGTGTTAAATATGTCCTTGTAGGTTTTTGTGCAATCAGGTTTGTCTTGACTGTGTCTGTGCATTTTTGTTTCTTTAGTAACCCTTTATAATCATTCAATCTTCCAGGCGCTGAGACGGGGCATCAGAAAGGTTTTAACTTCCTGTAACATCAAAGGCTTCAGTTCAGTTGCCTTCCCTGTCCTTGGGACTGGTGTTGCCCTGCGTTTTCCACACAGCCAGGCATCCAAGGTTTTACTCGAGGAGGTCCGTACATTTAAACAGGACCGGGTCGCCAGAACATTTCTCCTGGTTCGTTTTGTCATCCACCCCACCGACAAAGATTCTAGGAAGGTAAAGATAATGGAATAGCGGTGCCTTGTGACAAAAAGGGAGTGTAGTTTTTGTGAACTGGAATTGAATGCTTCACTTCACCACTACAGGCCTTCCAGTCTGCCCAGGAAACCCTGCGTGTCGGAGGATTCACTCAAGATGCTGATAAAGGTCAAAATCAAGCATGTCAAACATACGGCCCGCGGGCCAAATCCGGCCCGCCGGGTGACTTTGCTAGTGTGTAACTTACAGAAAGACATGAATTGCTTTTCTACAAAAGTAGTTGCTATTCTTAATCAGTCCACTGGGGGTGGCACTATATGAGTAAGAGCATGCCAGAGACTCGCTGAGACGGCCTGTCGGCTGTGAAAAACAATTATGCAAGTAGGAACAACCGTTACACAGCAAGATGATATTTTGTTAATATTAAAATATGAATGCAGATTTATTTGAAAATATCAAATCAAATCTGTACTTAATTTTTAAATTTTTCTTTATTTAGCGGCCTTTTACTGCTGTGTCTCCCAAACCAATAATGAGGTCACAGCCATGCTGGGCGGAGTCAAGCTTCAGATGGTCCGTGGTGACATCATTAATGAGAGCGTTGATGCCATTATCAACACAACTGACTTCTCCAAGAAATCTCTTTCTGGTATGATTTCAAATTGTTTTGATTGATTTTAAATGTACACGCAGAGAACTACAGCAACTCAGACCGGTGTCCTTTTTCTGTTATGTGTACATTATATAGATATTTGAGGGCCTGCATTCCACTGTGTGTTCACAAACTCCACAGGTGTGTCTAAGGCCATCGTGACTGCAGCAGGGCCCGATGTCCAAGCACAGCTGGCACAAAGTAAGCCTGGAGAGGGAAAGAAAAAGAAAAAAAGGAATTCATGGATATGCACATTACTCAGTAGTGGTTTAATGAGACGGTAAAAGATGGACACTCAAATTAATTAATCATTCATATTATATAATAATTTACTATTGCCTATTTTCTAGAGGTTTTAATTAAATTTGTTTTACATTTTCTTCCACCAGAATCTTATACACAAATAAATTCTGGGTTTTGTTCACGATGACATATGTTTTCATGTCTTTCGTCAGTGGGCATTCCACCAGACTGCATGTGCACCACGGGGCCCGGCCTGCTTGCCTGCAGGGAAATCATTCATGCAAGCTTCAAGTGTGACACTCAAGTTATCCGGAAGAAAAGCAAAAAGATACTGAAGCAGTGTGAGAGCAAAGGCTACAGCTCAGTGGCCTTCCCAGCCATCAATACTGGTTTGTACTGTGTGAATGTGTGTGTATATGTGTACTTGTTCATTAAGGGCCTCACCAGATTTGTCTTTACCACATTAATGTAGGTTGAGGTTTACATCCAAGCTTGATTAAAAGTCTCAGGTATAAATGGATACAATAACATGTGAAGCAAACCTATTCAGGTATATATTTGTAATGGATCCATACGTCTAAAAGGATAATCAGGAAACAGTGACTAAAAAGGCCATAAGAACAATGGCTTCATTATCTGATCCTTCGTTGCACGTCCCATCAGGTGAGGCTGGTATGAACTTTGAAGAAGCTTGTAACGCCATGCTGGATGGCATGACCTCAGCTATCAGCAAAATGAAACCACATTCCCTCACACTCATCCGCATTGTCATCCTCCAGCCATTGGTCTTTCGAGCTTTCAGGTCAGACATAAATGTCACTCATACAAAAAAGAGAAATGTTACTATTTTTTATCACGGGTTGCGTTGTTCCAAACTTCCCGTCCTGTAATGTCTTTTTGAAGGTCAGAGCTGGAGAAACGCTTTGGACGAGTTCGACCCCTCGGTCCTAAAGGTTTGTTTCCATGTATCAAGTTCAAAAATGTTGAACATTGTAGCTGCTTGATATCAGTTTAATTTTTAGCCAAGTTTGTGGGCTTAGTAACATTCAAACTTTTGTTAATTAGCACTAAACGCAAGTTTCAGCTGAGGCTGATTAGTCATCAGTTTTACTTTAAGTGGTTATTCTCAAATGAAAACTAGCTAATGTGAACTTCGTTAAATTAAATTACAGTTATTGATAAATTTCTGGCACATAATGTTTTCACCGACTTATTTGCCTCAGCTTAAATAACTGATGAAATGTTGTGTCTCCATTTTTTTTAGAAAAAGCTAAACAATTACTTAAGAGGTTGGCAAGAACCCCCAAAACTTCAACACCTCAAGGCCAAACCTTCATGTCCTCAAAGCCCCCGCCAGCTGTAATGAGCGTGATCAGTTGTGGCCGAGAGACCATCAGCACAGTCCAAAAAAACTTGGAGGGGATTCTGCAGAAGCAGCTGGTAGTGAGAGAGGTGGATGTAGATCATGTATCCAGGCTCGATGGGATGGAGCTGGAGGCGGTGCAGGCCAAGGTCAAAGTCTCGGGTATAAGCCTGGAGTGCAGGAGGCGTCTAATTCCCCCGGGTGAGAACAGCAACCGGGGAGGAAATGCTGCCAGAGGTGGAGCTGTCGATCCGTCGGGGTCAGGGGAAGAGGTGTACGTGCTGACGGGCCTCCCAGAGGAGGTGTCGGCCGTCGTTGAACTTGTAAACCGAGCAGCCCAAAAGGCCCTTTACAGAGAACTCCAACATAAAGAAGAAGCCATGTACGCTTTGGTCGTGCAGTGGTCGATTCGGGAGAAAAATGGAACCTGGCGGGAGCTCAGCCTGCGCGACAACTACCTGCTGGAGGACGCTCACCTGACGCAAAAGGTGTCCGTAGATGTGACGTCACAGGACGGCGGGGTGTTGAAAGTCAACCTGAGCGCACGAGAAGCCACCAATTGGCAAACGGGCACCGTGTACGAGGTGAAACGGATGGAGTCTGAATCGCGTACGTCACATTTTGTAGTTGTACTTAGATAGATAGATTCTACAACACTCTCTCTACTTTTTTTAATGTCTAACCATGTGACTTCTACTTCAGCTTTTGAGTTGCCAGCACAATGGGAGCCGATGCATGGAGACGTGTTCAAAAAGGTCACGCTGAACCAAAACTCAGCAGAGTACCAGGCTGTAGCCGGGGACTTCGTCAGAACGGCTCAACGCAACATCCAAAAAGTGACCACGATGACGCGCAAAAACATCTGAAAAGATCCGCAGTGCAGGACGAGTCATTGATCGCCTTCTGATTTCAGATCGAGCGGTTGCAGAACTACCACCTGTGGAATGCCTATTCTGTGTGTAAGCAGCGCATATCTAAAAAGAACGACCCGGCAGACCTCGGGGAGATGTCTCTCTACCACGGCACCTCGGCAGAGTCGTCTCACTGCATCGAGAGAAGCGGATTCAACAGGAGCTACGCAGGAGATAGGGGTAAGCAGCTTCGTCACATGCCAGCAGAGAGGAGACGAGTAGGAGTTCATCTTTAACCTACAAATATCCTCTTGCAATGAGCCTAGTTGGCCTGATCTTTACCACGGGATTATGGGATTACCACTGTATGCTTCCTTGTAACACTCCAGGAATTAAACAATTCTGTTTCTGTTTTATTTCCCCATGTTTTTATGAAGGAAATTACCAAATCGCTCTGTAATTACCAAGGAGGGCACATTCCCAAGGTGCTACTGAAGTTTAAATGAGGGTATCTACACTAATGCTAACTGCCCGTAAATGTAAAAAAAACTATAGAGACAAAGACAGGCAGAGCATTAAAAAAGAACCAAAATATGTATTCAGCTTCTTTTTTTTTTCTTCCACTAGTCTGACATATTTTTACATTGAGATTCTCCAATTGTCCCTTTTTTGTACTTCCATCTAGTCCTGTATGGGAAGGGAGTTTACTTTGCGGTCAATGCAGAGTATTCGGCATCGAGATACTGCCCAGCGGACGCGTCGGGTTTGAGGAGGCTCTACGTGGCTCGTGTCCTGACCGGCCGCTACACGCTCGGTGAACCTTCCATGAAGAAGACCCCTGCTCGAGGGGGCGACCCCACCGACTGCTTCGACAGCCTGGTGGACAACCAGCAGCAGCCCACCATGTTTGTGATCTTCCACGATGACCAGGCCTATCCGGAGTACCTCATCACCTTCACATGAGAGAAAATGAGGAGAGCCGCGGTTTGACCATGCGCTGGTTAATGGTATAAAGACAATTTCTGCTGTCAGTTAATGCTTTCTTTGGTTCCCCCTGGGTATTATTGCTCCTGTTAACTGGTGCTTAATCATTGCGATTTGGCAAACTTTGTTCTTGGAAAGTTATTGTGTAATCATATATTTTCTGTTGTTGGTTAATATATAATTGGGACAGAGGTATTCCTCTTTTTAATGATGTAATACAACTTGTTTGTTCTCTGCGTATTATTCATTGAATTGCAATTATTATTATTACATAAAATATAACAGCAGACATTTTAATAATTCATTAATTCAAAAACTGAATGAGCTTAACATTCTCAACATTTAACAAGCAGGGTTTAATCCATCTGTGCCACAGTAATAGGTTTATTACAAGAGGTCAAACAGTAGTTGTACTGCTTGGATAAAGAGCTGTGGTTCGAGTGAGTGCAAAGTAAATTGTAACAGAAGAATCCAAAGAAAATATATTTCAGAAATTATTTTCTGCGAATTGTGAAAGAATACAGGAGCGTGTTTTTATAACCACATCCATTGTTGAATCCATCATGAATAAAAGACATAATGACTTGAATATTAAAATATGATATATGTGGTACATTATGACAGAAATTAATGGTGGTGGAAAAAGTACTGAAAATTAAGATCTATACCAGAAAAAACAATATTTCAATAGTTTTTATTGAAATATAAAACGTTGAATTAAGTAACAGATACCAGTCTTATTGCTTTAAATGTTCTGTAACATGCATCTGTTAAGCTACAATAAAAATCACTTAAGTTTGAGCTGACAAACAGAACATGAATGCTATGAATCTTTTCACTATTGTTCAAATTCAATTGAAGAAAATTCTGTAATGTTTCCTACAGAAATATTTAAAAACTCAACATGATATAAGATACTCTTCAATAAAATCAGTATACTTGACTTATTGTTCAGAATTGTGTCATTGACATTTCACTTGAAATGAACACTAATTGCAGTCTATATTGACTCTACTTTCTTCCTCTGAGTGCCGAGGTCTGGTTGAAACTGAATCCGCCTGACCCAGCAGCTATGAATAGCTGCTGTTTATGCACTGACCGACATTAAGTCTATGAGAGAGTCAGGACAGTCAGAAAGATCTGTAAAGGCAGGAAGGAAAATATAAGAAAGACAAGATACTTCAAAATGTTGCTGGACGGCAACAGTACCTAAAAAATACCCGAGAAAGTAGTATTAGGGCCCAGCATGGAGCTTTCTAGGGATTTCCTTCCAAAAGAATGGGAGGAGAGATGGAGGAGAGAGAAGGAGAAGAGGAAACGGGTGATTGAAGAAGGTGGAGGAGAAGAAATTGAACAGGACAACCATGAACTTATGAGGATCGTGGCGTACAATGACTCCAGGATGGGGCTGATGGGTCTGAGGGGTAGGAGACAGGATTCGGAGTTCGGGGCAAATGGTGCTTATCTTGAAGGAAATGGACAGCACGTGAGAAAGACTGCATTTTGGGGTGAAGGACTTGGTGATAAAGTCCTTCCCTACCGCAGTGACACCCACCCCAAAGAGGTGTTCGTTGCCCTGAAGGAATTCTGGGATGCATCTCTCCTCACAGACTTGACTCTAACCACTGCCAGCGGGAACGGCTTCGACGTACACGCCACTATTCTTGCTGCCGTCAGCTCTTTCCTCCGTGAGAGGCTGAGGGATGAAAACAACGAGAATAACGCAGTAGTCCAGAGGCACTCACTGTCTCTGTCTCCTGGGGTCGATCATGTCGGGCTACAGGCAATTTTGGAGTTTGCCTACACTGGAGCTGTATCGTCTCTTAACAACGACAACCTGTCCTCCGTTGTGGCTGCTGCTCAAGCTCTGGGCGTGCCTAGAGTGCTGGATCTCTGCAACCAGGAGGAGGAGATGAAAGAAGACGGGAGTCCTGAGAAGGAAGAGAGAAACGTATCTGCCCTAGAACAGATGAAGATTACTCTTCAGTCCATTAAGCAGCTGTGGGCAGATGGTGTTGGATGTGATGTGATCTTGAAAGTGGACGATGCTTTATTCCATGGTTAGTGTACAGTCAAGTAATTTGTATCTGGTAGTTCGTTGTTTGATGTTGATGAGCTCTTGATGTTGACTGAGCTCTTCTTTGTCTGTCTCCTAGTCCACAGAGTCGTCCTGGCAGCAAGCAGTGACTACTTCCGAGGCATGTTCACCTGCGGGATGAGGGAATCCAATCAGACCTGTATTGCCCTTCCTTTCCTGTCACCTTCTGAGCTGGATGCTCTGATTAGCTGCTCCTACAGTGGGACCCTTTCACTTAGCTGGGGCTGTGTCTTCGAGATATCCTGCACTGCCCTCCAGCTTCAGTTCCAGCCTGCAATCTCGCTCTGCCTCAGATTCATGCGGCAGGAAATGGAGGCAAGCTCCTGCCTGGATGTGGCATCTTTTGCTGATGCCTACCAGATGTCAGAGTTGCTTGAGGAAGCCAATGACTTTGTGCTGAGGAACTTCTGGGAGGTGTCTGCCACGTCAAAGTTTCTGGATCTATCTGCGGAGAAGCTTCTGGAGATCCTTCTTTGCGATGGTCTGTGCGTGCCCTCAGAGCTGGCTGTGTTTCGGGCCGTAATCTCTTGGATCGAGGCTGATCCTGAGGAGAGGTTGGGCAAAGCTGGTGTACTGATGACCGGAGTCCGGTTCCCTCTCATGACCTTTCGAGAGTTCAGGGAGGTCAGGGCTGTTAACCTACGCATGGAGGGTAATGGAGACAATGAGATGGAACTCTATGGTCCAGCACTCAAGGAATTTGGTTTCAGCCTATCAGAAACCCAGGATCAGGGCCGGGTCCGACGTCCCAAAGAGACCCTGGTTGTGGTCGGGGGGGACCAGTTGAACCCAGATGTGGGACAGCGCCTTCCAAGTAGGAATCTGTGGTTTGCAAACTCCTTACGCAGCAGCACAGGGTTGGTGAAGGCGATCGAGTGGAGGAGGCTGAGTGAGATGCCAGACAGGCCAAAGTTCAGGCATGGAATAGCAGCAATGGTCGGTAAGTTGTACGTCTTTGGAGGATGTTACTCCTACTGCAAGGATGACATGATGAAATCTGCCTACAGGTAAGCAAACAGCTGATGGACAAATATCATCCCCTAGCTTTGAATAGACTAAATTGTCCCACCAATGCTCTGCTGGGGTCTGAACTTTTCGATCTTTTTCTTTCATTGCACACATGCTATAGTTATGACCCCGTGCAGGACAGCTGGAAAAGGCTAGCTGACATGCAGGAATTTAGAAGCAACTTCTCAGTGGTGGTACACGGCAAGCTTCTGTATGCCATTGGTGGAGACAAGGAGATCAACACCAACGTAGATAGCGTTGAGATGTATGACCCAGGCACTGACTCCTGGAGGTAAGTTGAGTCATGTTACGCTTGAAGTAGAATATGTTTCATGGAATCCTATTGCCTTGCTGCCTTGCTTTACCACGGCTTAAAATTTGATGTGAATCTCTCACAATATTAAGAAGCGGAGATGTTAGTTTCTATCTTTTACGTCATTCAAATCCAACAACAAATACTGGCCACTAGATGTCCCCATTGTGACTAAATCAGCATGTATATTGCATGTACATTTATGGTAGGAATTATGCTTTATATGTATATTTATGTGAAAATATATATTTTTACATTCTGCCCTCCCTGTCTGATGCCTCTTCTTCCGTGACGCCAGCTTTGTCCAGCCTCTGGACCGGGCTCTGAGCGGCCATGCTGTCACCGCCATGGATGAAGCGATATTCATCTCTGGCGGTTTCGACTGCAAGTACGTGTGTCTGGGTTTCCATGTTCCTGTACAACCCAAGAGAAGGCACCACCTCCCTGGCAGACATGACCCATGACCGGGCACAGCATTGCATGGAGACCCTGCAAGGCCGTCTCTACGTCGCCGGTGGCTTGTGTAACCTGGGGAAGTTTTACACCAACCAGCTACTCTGTGAGGCGTACGATCTTGTGGCCGACTCCTGGACTGCCTTCGCGTCTCTGACTCTGCCCCATGTGGGGGCGGCCTCAGCCATCCTGGAGGGGAAGATATACGTCCTGGGAGGGTACTGCCAGGAATATTGCAGTGAGTCTGGACTGGTCCACCGGTTCGAACCCAGCACGCAGCGATGGGAGAACATGGGCAAACTGCCCGAGGATATTTACAGACATACGAGCATGTATACTCCGACTGCCCGAGCATTTCAGACTTTATGACTGGTGAAGGATGATTAAAAAACCAACAGACATATTCTATTTTCTATTACCAAAGTTCTATACGTAAGCAAATGTGTTGCAGCGGGAAAAGAAAATAATTTATAGTTATTGTCAGATAGGTGGAATGAATAAACAATAGAATCAAAAGACCAGATTCTGTAAGAGACTGTTTTTTTAACCAATGTTTTCCCATATACAGTCAGTGAAATGAAAACACCTGAAGGCTGCAAAACATAGTCTGAAATTGAACTATGAGATCAAGATTCACGTTTGTCATCTGGAGTTCTCTTCCTTGTGCAATGACCAATGTGTTCACTGACTTCACACTATAAGCATGTGAAGAGGGAGCAGCTCCATCCTGTGTCCGTAGTCGGTGTTTGCACAAAGGATTGTCGTACTGATATACATCTCATCCCAAACTGTTACAATAGTTCCATCACAGTGACAAACACCGCACAGTTTGTTCTAATACACAGCACCAAAAATGCACTTTTGCTATCTTACCGTATGCATGCCAAAAGGTTTACCTGATGTACTGTGTAATATAAATCAACCTTTATTCAGATGTGATACTAATGTATTTTTCAAATTGCAACGTAACATATGATCACATGTGTATGAGCCGAGTTTTACAAGCGGAGGTCGGGGGGCAAACACAGCACAGATGCTCGTATGTCGTTGTTGGGCCCGGGCATCTGGCCCATGTTCTCCCACCTCTGTGGGCCGGGATCATAGCGATGGACCGTCACGGTGTCCCTGTAGTCCACCTGGCTGTATCCCCCCAGCACGTAAAACTTCCCCTCCAAGACTGCACCCCCGGCTCCCACATGCGGCACGGGCAGAGACATGAAGGCGGTCCACGAGTCGGCCACCGGGTCGTACACCTCGCAAGCAAGGAGGTCGGCGATGCGCATGTTGTCGTCCATGGTCATCCCACCTGCTACGTAGAGACGTTGGCCCAGCGTCTCCATGCAGTGACGAGCTCGGGGGTGGGCCATGTTAGACAAATAGGTGCTTCCTGTGTCTGGTTGGTATGTGAACATGGACGAGAGGCATTGGTAGTCCCCGCTCAGCCCCCCTGAGACAAATATCCGCCCGTGTAGGACTTTTGCTACATGGCCAGCCAGAGGCAGATCCAAGGGCCACCTGAAGCTAAAGGAGAAGAGATTCATTTTTTAATCTTAAAACAATGCAGGCAAAAATACTTGTTGGTATATATTGAGATTTTGGGATATCTTTCAGACTAGTTGAAATAAAACATTCAAACTACGCACTTGGCTTTCTGCATCTTCAGGTTTCTTAATCGAACATCAGAATATTTGCAATTCAAAAGGTTAAGTTCCAAGGAGGTTTCTATTACAACACATTTTTACCCCATTTACACTAAAACAGAATATGCTTTGTTCAGTCCGGCGCATGCCACCTCCCAGGATCCATCATATACATCAAATGAGAAGATAACATTGTGCTGTATGCTTATGGTGCCTACAAAACATGCAGATGTATCGTAGTTGGTAGATGGTTGTTCAACGTACCTCCAGGAGTTTCCAGTAGAGCAGTATTGTTCCACACTCTCTGTATATTCAGAGTCCCGGTGTCCACCAATGGCGTATATACTTCCCTCCAGCACAGCCACAGAGAAAGAGCATCTCTTTTCCTGCATGTCAGCCAGTCTCTCCCAGATGTTTTCAAGGGGGTCAAACCTACACGTGTTTCAAATGGGATAAATTTGAGTAAAGAGTGATTGAGACGTGTCTTTTTAGAACTTTAATCATTCCCTCTCTCACCTGTAAACATTACTCAGGGTGTCGCGGATGCCGTAGTACTTCTTGCCTCCAAACACATACAATTGTCCTTTGAGGACAGCCACCTCATGATAGAACCTCTCTGGCTCTGGCATCTCTCCCAACTTTCTCCACTCCATGGCCTTTTTTATCCCAACATGGTTTCTCAAGGAATTCACAAACCAGAGATCTCTGCTGATGCTGCGTGTACCCAGGTCTTCAGAGATGCGGTCACCTCCAACCCAGGACCAGACTGTCTTTGGGGAGATATATCCGGCACTGACTGTCACTGGAGCAGAAATCCTTAAACACCGCATCGTAGAGCTTTGAAAGGCTGCGATCAGACCACATGTCCATCGATTGGACTTCTTTGAATTCCTTGAACGTCATCAAAGGAAAGTGGATGGTTTTCATTAGTTCTTTAGCAAGCTTTCGCCTTTTCCCGGGTCCCGCCAGGATCCACGCCGCCACTGCTTTGAACACATCGAGTTCGGATGAGACACAGAGCAAGCGGCTGTTCAAGAACATTAGGAGCTTTTTGGCGGGCAGGTCCTTGAACTTTGAGATACTCGCCACCTTTTGGAATTGCCGCATAGCAAAATCGTCCGCTACTTCCAGAAGCTGCATCATGCCGTAGGCCTCAGCAAAAGATGCCACGTCCAGGCAGGAGTGAGCATTCATTTCTTGATGCAGAAACTGAAGGGACAAGGAGAGGGCAGGCTGGTGCTGGAGCTGGAGAGCGATGATGGTGAGCTCAAAGACATGACTCCAGCTGATGGGGAGGACCCCGCTGTAGGAGCAGTCAATCAGAGCCTCCAGCTCCGATGCCAAAAGGAAGGGGAGGGTCACGCGAGGCTGACGGGACTCCTTCATACCCAACGTGAACATGCCGCGGAAGTAGTCGCTGCACACAGCCAGCATGACCCTGTGGACTGAAGGGAGGCCGATAATGAGAACAGAACGGACCCGCTGTGATTGCAACTGACACGTTTGGGACCTTCACCTGAAATGCACTTTAGTTTGGGAGACCAGGGAGAGACGAATCATGGCCTATAACGGAGCTGGTATTATTATTATGTTTTTTACAGCCATTGTCATAAAAATATACATGTTGGCAGGGAAAGTCGTGTTTTGCATTGGCCATTGAGACAACTATCAGTAGAAGCATAGGTACTTACATAAAGGGGTTGGCATGGATAGTAAACTCAGACCAGGACACTGAAGTGTCAGACTTCATGTCTTGGTTTATAAGAATGGATAATAAAGTTGGTAAGATCTAATGACTTGTCTGTTTCTCCATTCGATTTCCCCAAGTACATGTATATATTTGTGTTAATGCCCCTTACATAACTTGACAAGCTAAGTGTGCGCACTTGTGTCCATCATCGTTGTTCTACTCACCGTGAAGCGATCCTCTGAGAGCTTCCAGAACGACATCACAGCCCACTCTATCAGTCCTCAGCTGTCTGATGGACCGAAGACTGACCTTCATTTGTTCTGCAGCTGAGATCTTGTCCTCTTTCCCCTGCCCACCAGTTTTTGTGGACTTCTCTTCTTTTTTGCAGAGATCCAGCACCCTGGGGGCGCTCAGTGTTCGAGCCGCAGCCTTAATCTGGTGGCACGTGTTCTTGTTCAAACATGGTATGAGTCCAGTGTAGGCGAAGTCCACAACTGCCCTCAATCCAACCACATCCACCTTTGCACCCAGAGACACTGACCACTTGTGGACTCCAACACTTGCATCTATTCCCTCATTTACTCTCTCGTTATCTCCAAGACTTTTTCTAAGTCTTTCTCGGATACGTAGACTGACAGCAGCCAGGACCGGGGAGTGTACGTGGAAGCTCTCCCCCTCCTTTGTGCTCAGAGTGAGGTCAGTGAGAACAGAGGAGTCCCTGAACTCAGTCAAGTTGCGGAATAGGTCTGTAAGATAATCATCTTTGCAGTAAATCTTTATCGCATCTTCGTCGTTGCCCTCTGCCTCTTTGTCCGACGAGTGTTCCGCCTCGTCGTCGTCCGTGGACTCTTGCCTCTGAAGGTCACCGTGATCAACTTTAAACGCTTCTTCTCCTGTGGTCCGAGATTCTGCGACTGCTTTTCTCTCATCCTTGAACTCCACTTTCTTTATCACCCTCTCAAAATAGTTCTCTCTTTCTTGCTGCTCTACCTCCTTCTCCCGCCCTGCGCTCTCCTCCCCTTCCTCTGCCTCCTCGCCTGCCTCACCTTCTTCCTCTTCCCCTTCCCACACTTCTTCTTCCTCATCCTCCTCCTCGACTTTAATCCACAGACCCCCCCTCACCGTCTGTCTCTGTCTTCTCCACTCATCCAAGCCCTGGAGGCCTCGATTAGCCTCTACAGCCATTCTGTCCTCGATCACTGTAGTTTACTCTTGCAATCCCTAAAAACGATGCACACCTCTCGAAAACCGAAGGATTGCCGATAGCTTACTTCTTGAACGGTCAATCAGGGACAATGCGCTTGAGAAGATCCCTCAGGTCCCTTGGCGATCCGCTGTGGGGATGCTGCTGTTATTGTTGTGCTCCACTTTACCTCTTCACCCGTCTACGGACAGTTCTGTTGGGTGTTTGTTCTTCTCCCGCCTCTCCCTCCTCCTCCTGCATGTGTTGCATGATTGAGGAAGGCATGTGATCTCTATACGAATACTCATATGACCAAGGAGGTTGCTATATCCAGAGTAATTTATCACGAGGTTATCTAAATGCTTGACTTTATGGGATCCTGGGCTTAGACCCAACGGAGGTTTGTGACAGGTTGGGGCACTTCAATATATGTAGTGTGTATGTTACCTGTTAGATTGATTCTACTTTGCTGCCTATTTCTGCAGTGGGTATGAAGTTATACTTTAAAGATGTGACCCAAGCAAGTAATAAAAGACAATGATCTAGACCTCGAGGCACCTGGATTTCTTTCCATCCGACAACTAAAATGTCTTTGCTCTTTGGGGTCTTGGCATCTCAACCGTGGACCATATGTCCCCGAGATTAGTAGTGAATGCTCTGAGGTTCACCAGCGGGATCACATTGCTCCTCCACATCCAAGACCACAGGAATCTGGGTCAAGGATAAAGAGAGACGTGAGGGGAAAAAGGAGGCTCAAACAAAACAACTCCAATCACACCTGTTGCCCTTTGTGCTGACAGATCAAGCAAACAGCTGGGTCACAACGTCACCTTGAGTTGAAATATAGTCGCACGGTGCAATAGCCGCCATGGATCCTCACAAATATATTCTCACCTTTTATTGTACCACATTGCGTCAATGGCATCGAGTTGCATCACATCTAGACAATTGTGCGTTAAGTCCTTCCTGAATTCGTGTTGAATAGTGATGCCTTACTCTTCTCTATCTTTACACGGCGAATAGATATTTGCTGCTATATTAGAATCCTGGCTTCAAACCAGTGGCAACAGTAGTGTTGTGGAAACCTGGGAGATGAAAAAATTGAAGGTACAAATCTAAAGATCGTGTCTTCGGCCATCTAAATGCTTTGAAATAACGGCTCTTCCTTTTTATCAGCACCGAGTTTTTATTGAGATGCTTTGAAGTTGAAGCACTGTGAGTGGGTGAGTTGGAAAATGAAACTAGTGGGCAACACACTCCTACCTGAGGACGCAATGACTCTGGTCTTTTCACAGTCGTTCTAATGCGAGGCATCGCACACACACACACACAGGTTTTAAACAGGCAGTCAAATGAGTCAGGTTATTATTCAAGAGAGGCAGAAGGTGAATGTATTTAAGTAAATGTGCCACTGAGTTGAATATTTGGCATTTTGAGACATTCTGAAGTACCGCGTGTGATCCGGAGGAGAGCAGACTTCCATCAACAGCCTCGACGCGTCGCTGCAGATGTGCAGATGTTGTTATTCACATCGTCGCCCACAGTGAGCCCTTCGCTCCGGGCAGCAGCTCACGATCTACTTATGAAAAGTCTGCTTAAGTCTCCGATGGTTACCATGGCGACGACGAGAGGAGCGCTAACCTCCCCCTCCTCAGGCCTTCGTCTTCAAGAGCATCCCACGGCGCAGGTACGAGAAGAGGCCGATGCCTCTTCACGTTCTTCTTCTCAAAGGCAGCAGATGAAGCATGAAGGTCTATTGATTCTTTGTGAAGCTGTATGAAGACGTCTTTTACTCTAAAGGACGTCCTCATTCGTCTGTCTGTGCTTAGCATAACGACTGGAAAAAGGGGCAAAGGGCTGTTTGAAGGTAATAAAATCAGCTTAAAGTTGTGACCGTGTGTGTCAACTGCAAAAACAAAGCTTTTCTTCTTGTCAAAATACAATAGTTTTAATGAATCCCGTGAAACACCACAGTGAACACACAGACATTTAGGACAGGCACAAACAGGCTGTTAAGCACAGTTATAAACTCGATTGGGAATGAACATTTAGATGGATACGAGCAACTGTGGAACAAAAAAAATCACAACTTTGAAAAAACAGCATCATGTAAAACATACAGTCCAGAAAAAGCCAAAACTTTAATTACAACAGCTTGGAATGAGTGGTGTCAACTTATCTTCTTAAATAATAATTCATAAATACAGATATACCATAAATATTATCATTCAACATAAAAGTAAACAATTGAGAGAGGTGGTTTAAAGTGTTTAAATTGCTTCAACGAAATTAACTTTCACAAAATGTTTAACTGAAAACACACGAGTGCAGGAAGATGTGGGAGAAGAAGAAGGATCTGCAAGAAGAAAAAGCGCACACGTGCTGCGCTTAGTAAAGCAACAGATGTGCTGCCGGCTCATGAGCTGCATCGCACCTCCTGTGTTGTTGCCTTTGCAACTTGGTCATGCTCTATTTTAAAACCATGACTCCCTGTATTCCAAAGAGAAAAGGCGAGGGGGCCACCGGGTGACGACAGTGCCAAAAGAAATGGGAGACTTCTTTTGACAGCACTGAAGATGCTGCGCTGGGAGCAGAAGTATTGCATAGTTTTAGCGGCGTCACCATTTGCCCCACCGATGGCGTGTTTTTCCCTTTGGTCGGACGTACCGGTGAAGCCCTGAAACCTCCTGCAGATTCCCTCCCGCGGCTCATTAGAATAAGGAGTGAGACGAGTCGAGGGTCTATTTTTACAGGAGGAGGGGGTGAGAAAGCGAGACGGGAGGTGAGATTTTCGCGAGGCAGAAGCGAGCGCTGAGATTCTGAGTCTGTGCAGAGGAACGAATGCATCCGATCCCGTTCCTCTCTGGTTAGAACAAAGCCCCCAAAACATCAGCCAACATCTGTATTTTCTGAGACAAAACTCACCATAAAACGTGGATGGCTTCGTCTATTAAAACATATCTAACTCTCCTCTACGAAGCACCATATCTTTGTGCCGCACTGCATTGTGGGAGTGTGCAGAGCCTTTTTTTTTTCTTTTCGTAATGGCACCACCCTCCTGTAGCAGAAGTGTCGGCTCAAGCGCCGGCCCGCGGCCGGAGGAGGGACACGATAACGATGGCGGCGACGAGGGAGAGCGGCAGCAGCAGGAGGAGGAGGAGGGCGAGCGGGACGGAGGGGGGCGGCGGCCACAAAGACGCCGGGCGCCCGGAGCCTCGTGGGAGCTCCGCCGGCCCCTCGGCGCCGGGCCGCAGGATGACCAGCGGCCTGACCTGCGAGACGCTCTCCTGCGGGACGAAAGGGCGCACATTTGAATCCCGCGTCCGCGCCCGTCGGGGGGGGCCCGTCGGCCATGTTGGCAGCCTTTCATACCTCCGGGATGGTCCTGCTGTGCGCCCTGGCGGGGCTCAGCCTGAGGGTCCAGCGGTGCGTCCGGCAGCTCCGCCCGCCGTCGTCCTCGCTCTCGGTGGTGTCTTGCCGCGCGACGCGAGGACGCTTGCGTCTCCGCGAGCTGATTCGCTGGAGGGGACCCGGCTCCTGGAGTCTGAAACCAATCGGGGGCGAGGGAGGAGGGGGGGTGTGAGGGGGCAGGAGGTCAGAGAGCGAGAGAGAGAGAGAGAGAGAGAGTGGCGTGCGCGTACGCGAGTGTTCGACGAACCTGCAATCCGTGTCCTCTATATCGGCGTCCGCGTCGCTCTCCCCCTGAGGGTCGGACACCACGCACTCCTCCTGCGGAGCGATGGATTCAGAATGTGATCACGTGCGCACGCGTGGGCGGGTAAAAACTACAATATCAGAGATTTGGTTGAAGTTGTGACGTTGTTGCCAGAGAAAGGAATCAAAGCTTTTTATAAATACTGCCCCCACATAAGGGGGCTTTGATTTTAATGAGCGCCTGTGAATCATCTGCGACCTCCACTATTTGCAAACGCGACGCTTGGCATTTGTCTGCGCGCGTGTTCCCGTGCGTCACTCTTCACTCTCGCCGCTATTGTCGCGCGTGGATCCGCTGACACCTCTGACTAATGAGCTCGCGGACGCCTCATCCGCTGGCCGCTTCCGTCTCATTTCTTTTGATAGTAACAACAACAACAAAAAGAACAAATGAGGGAGGCCTGTACCTCAAAATGTTGCAATATTCCTTTAAAAAAACAAAGAAATGGGGTAATAACAAGGCTTCCGTGAACAATCTTCAGGCCTCCAAGGTTTGTTTGTGACAGGAATATAGATGATGTCATTCTTCTTGGCCTTGGCCAAGATGTAATGAACCATGTTGGTCGCTCGCTCTCCACGTGCGTCAATCTCGAGAAAGCGAAACGAAGGCTCCTGGGTTAAAGTTACCTCTGTGCCGTACCCCTCCGAGTACCGGGTCACCATCACCCTGTTTTTCCCGCAGCGTTCACACAGCAGCGGTGCATCCTGGGAAGAGAAAACAAGGAGGACTGAGCTGCCCGAAGGATCCTGCAGAGCTCACGGAGAGGACGCGCTTTAACGGGCGTGCTCTTCTCCCGCTCACCATCGAGGGCGCGTGGGCTTCCGAGTAAAGGGTGCAGGGGCCGGCCTCGCACGCGCACGCCGCATCCGCCTCCTCGCCACTCGCTTCCCCCTGAGACGCACAGACGAATGTTAGTCCCGCGTCCCTGTCGTGGTTGGGTCACTGATATTTAAGGTCTGTAAACATGATCGGTCTGCTTGTTTCGCCCTATGGGGATGCCCGGTTGTGCAGGTGACGGGTGCAAATGAATGACCTCACCCCACAGTCGTTGTCGGACGTCTCTCCGGAGGAAAAGAGGCCGCGGGGGTCAGGTTCCGTCCGCAGCATGACCTCCGACCCGGCTCACGCGCTCCACGTAGACCTGCTGCAGCGCACGAACAGCTCGGTAACAGGTCGACACGACGAGTCCAACTCGTTAAAGGCGAGAAAATGTACGATAATCATCTGTGCAGGCGATCCACTAGTGACACGTTGTTTTTTTAACAAACTAAATTCTGTTGTCTCATTTAGTGATTTGAAGCCAAATGAAGGAAGCTCTTGTAATTGGTTCCGTTTTGTAATAACAATAATATCTTGGTAATGACTTTACTTACACATGTTTTATCAATAATACAGGCCTTTTTTAATTTATTTTTTTCAATTAAATTGAATTTTATTCCATTTCTTATTCGGTGGTGAGACGATGCCTTCTTTGCGCAACATCAACAACTGTAACATCTGCTCAGCGGCGTCGGCACGCGCGTTACGTAACAGCCTGTACGACGCTCAATGTCAGAGCGGGGCAACTTTTCAAAAACGACACGGGGGGGGGGGGGTTACATTCAAACACATAAAATCATTATCATTAAACACATAATCATTATTATTAAAATAACTTATTTCCGAGCAATAACAAAATAAAACAGAGTAACCCATTTTATTTTGTTGTTGTTGTTTTTTTTACCTCATGCGCATCCCGTGGCGGAACATGGAGCAAACCGGTGAAAGTGATTATTCAGAGGATGAGCGCGCGGCGACGCTTCTCGTTGTGGCGGCTCGCGGGGGCCGGCGGCTCGCGCTGCTGTGCGATGTTTGACATTGTGGAAAATCCTCCCGCGTGATGTCCGCCCGAGCGATGACACGCAGCTCCGCGGTCCGGTGCGAAGCGCGCTCACCGGCATGCCGAGTGGACCCGAAGCAAACCGCGGGAGCGCGCAAAGCGGCGGCGGCGGCGACTTCCGTTCGGGGCTTTCGAAATAAAAGGGGGCGTTGAAGGACAGCAAACAGGTGGGGGCTGAAATATGCTGTATACTGTTTGTATACATGTACATGTACATATACATTGTATTTGTGTGTATATGTATGTGTATATATACACATACATGTATGTCGTTGTGGCGCAGGGGTTAGAGAAGGTGTCCTGGGAAACACAAGGTTTGTGGTTCGATTCCAGACTGCCCCATGTTCCATGTCAAAGTGTCCCTGAGCAAGACACCTAACCCCTAATTGCTCCCCGGGCAAAAATGTGAAAAAGCCATGGGTTTAAAGTGTAAGTCGCTTTGGATAAAAGCGTCTGCTAAATGACCTGTAATGTAATATATACATACATATTTATATAGATATAGATATGTATTTCTATTTATATAAATATATATATTTATAAATACATATTTATGTATATATATTTATATATATATATATATTTATTTATATTTATAATAATATAAATATATATTTATATTTATATATATAAATATATATTTATATATATAAATATATATGCAGTTTAACGTGGCTACAAGCAATATATGTGCATTTATTCAGGCATTTTTCACAGCACATCCATGTTCATATGTTAAGAGCTTGAATGTTGGATGTAACTGAAAGTCATTTGACCAATAGACAAAAACAGATCGCCATCGTACTAGCGGGGTCCTTTTAACATTTCTATGCCGTTGGGGCTCCAGTCAGGTCAGTGAAATTAAAATCACTTTAATTGAACAGGAGCAAAACCCGAGCTGTGGTTCCAGATGCTCACAACTGGGTGTGATTACGTGTCATTTTCCCCTGATCTTTATCACGTTTAACTACACCACACAGAGAAGCAGCCGTTTGTATACACAACCAGTACCACAAGCACAACAGAAAGTCCCAAGTCAGTTCTATCAAAGGAAATCACCCGGAAATGTCCGTCCCCGTGGGAAATCTCTCAGTTTAGGTTGCTGCGCCACATCCACACTGAAATACCGACCAGCTAAGAGAGTTGAGATGATGTCGCAGTGGATATTCAACCAAAGTGGATTATTATTGGCAAGTAGTCCAGAGAAAACAATGGAGAAAAGAGTAATTCACTCCTAAATCCTTGAAAGGGCTTAAAACCCCACTGGGTAAATAAATGCAATAGTTGAAGCTTTCCAAATAGAGCTCATTCTGGCTTAAATGTCCCAGGGGGCCCGTTCCCGCCTTCAGACAGCAGGGCCACCAGACGAGATAAAGCGTGATTAGGGGCGACCTAATGGTCCGAGGGAGGGGGTCCTCATTACGGCTGCATGTCGACCATTCAAATGACCCCTGTGAACATAACCGTGCACTATGGCACTCCAGACGCTTTCATTTCACCCAGTTAGGCTCTGATGTTTTTGCAATTGCTAAACATCTCCGCATTTATAAAAAGGTTTTTCTCGTGCATCAGTCTGTCTGCTGCACGGTGATCTCTTCAGTACCACGTGAGCATGCGAACACACTGAAATTGTGCGACTCCTGTCGTCGAGGCAGCTCCGATGTGGGACCCTGAGTCTGTGAGTCGTGCTCTGTTTTGCGTTCGAGGGGGAAGAAGTGGGGAGGCAGAGGAGGAGGGGAGGGGCAGATCCTAAGTGGCAGACAGGGGAGTTTGTGTATACACCCGCAGCAATACAAACAGGAGATGCAGGCTCGATAAGGAAATTAAGGGAAAGGGTGCAACTCAAATAAGCAGAGAGCGATGCGCCAACGGACCGATGCACCTCTCTCTCTCTCTCCCAGATTTTTGCTCTCTCAAACTCCTGCTCGCCGTCATTTACAGAAAGAAAATCAGAGAGAGAGAGAGAGGTGAAAGTCAAGGCATAGCTGCAGAAGCGTCACTTGGATATTCTGGAGTCGCCACCTAAGTTGCATTGGAGTTGATTGCATTTTTCCCCTTGGATCAAAGCATCAGCCTCGTCGTTCTAGCCTCAAAGAAGCAACAACGCTGGGCTATTGACGGGGGTGCGTGGTCACCCACGGGACGTACAGAAGATGGCGATTTGTTCCCAAGTGGTCGAAGAGTGAGGCCTCGAGCACCCACTGTCCCTGAGGAGACCAGACGGAAGAAAGAAAAGGGATCGAGTTCACCCGCCGTGTAGAACAGAAGGACGAGAGGAAATATGCCCTCAGTGTGACCGGATCCAACAGAAGCCCAAGTTCTTATCTACATGAGGGAGAAGGATGCTTCTTCAAGCACAAAGCATAGATTATAACCCGTTGAGTCAGGGCAACGGGGCCGAGTATCGAAAGAACTTCGGGGGCCGCTCTGCCGGTGCAATGACGGAGCCGGACGGAGCCGAGGACGCCCCCCCGACTTGGGCGTTCGACCGGTCGTTCCGGAAGCCGGCGGCGCGTCTCTGCCTCAACGCTTTGGATTTCTCAGACCTCTGGGACGAGGAGGACGGCGAAGAGGACGACGGCGCCGTCCCGACCAGCGAACCGCCGGCTCCTCCCGGAGCCCCTCCGGCGCCCCCTCCTCTTCCTCCGCCCACGACGCCCGCCCCACCTCTGCCCTCCGCCTCCCGGAGGGGCGAGGAGAGCATCAAATGCCACACCTTGAGGCTCCACTGGAGAGAGCTGCAGAGTTTGGCTCCCCTTCCCAGAATGACGCGCTTCGGGACTCGGACGATTTGGGAGACGCTCGAGCCCGTCCACCTGGACACTGACCGGCTGGAGCACCTGTTTAAATCTAAGGGCAGTAGCAGCAGTTTTAACGTGGCTTCTGGGAGGCAGGTAAGGCCCAATCCGTCTCGACCCCCATCCAGATGTGTGTTCCTTTACAAATCTGATGTTGTGCGATCTTCAGTCGGTCATTGCAACCGCGCCTCACGCCCTCCTCTTCATCCCGCTGCAGAAGCAGCCGTTGGTCTCGGTGCTGGGGATGAAGAGGAGTAACATCATCACCATCGCCCTGAGCAGCCTGCCCCCTCCCCGCCTCCTCCCCCCGGCTATCTACAGCATGGACAGCAGTGTGCTGGACAGAGAGGACGTTCAGGTACAGCAGAGGTCGTGAGATCATAAGCCTTGGCATTTACCTGGACTGCAAAGTTTTTTCAATCGAGGTTCATCTCTTTCCACATTTCCTTCCGAAAAACAGCGGCTCAAAGCGTTGGTCCCGACGGAGGAGGAGCTGAGGCTGATCGAGGAGGCCAAGGCCCAGGACCCCCACTCACCTCTGGCCCCCGCAGAGCTCTGCCTGCTCACCTTGGGGGGAATCCCACATCTGACCTCCAGGCTGCAGCTGTGGGCCTTCGCTCTGGACTACGATTCCCTGGAGCGGGTAAGTGAAAGTGTGCCATGGAGACTTTCACATTTTGATTCGGTTAAGACGGGCTGTCTGTTTTGTTACGATTTAGACTTGTTCGGGAGCCACAGGTGGATCGTAGAAGTTTTTATTCTGCAGTCCGCTTTTGAGCCACGTGAGAGAACCTGAACAATCATATTGTCAACTTAAAACATTACATAGGGTCGATTATCCACTCAAATTCCTTCTTCCTGCGAGGTGTAGAGAAGGACTATTGTGAAAATCATGGATTTCTGCTGCATTTCCATGAGAAAATAAAAACCCCAGGCAGTTACCTCCACAAGATTGATGCAGTACCACGATGACTCACGGCAAAACTTATCACCCAGTAAAAGTAGCGCATGGATTTGATGTCTCAACGCATCGTCCTTCCTGGCGACAGGAAATCGCCGAGCCCCTCTTCCATCTGAAGTTGGCCATGAAGCAGCTCGCGGCCAGCCAGACCTTCAGGTGTATCCTAGCGACCGTGTTGGCGATCGGCAACTTTCTCAATGGATGCAAGGTGAGGGATCCCGACCTTCAAGAGTGTTTCACTTCTACTTTTCTTCCCAACTAAACTCTCTCCCTTTGCAAACGGCCAGGCCCGGGGCTTTGAGCTGAGTTACCTGGGGAAGCTGTCCCAGGTGAGGGACACGCACACCCGCCAGCCGCTGCTGCTCCACGTCTGCGCGCTGCTGCTGCAGCTCTACCCGCAGTCCACCGACCTCCACTCCGACATCGCTGCCGTCGCAAAGGCCGGCAAGGTGCGTAGCGGACGAAACCAACCGTGAAGATCAGGTGTAAAGATCAAAGAAAGAGTCACACCGCCCCCTCTGTACCCTCTAGTTTGACTTCTCCCTGGTCCGGTCCAACCTCACCCAGCTGGAGGCCCTGTGCAAAGCATCATGGGAGCAGCTCAAGAGTTTGGACAAGGCAGAGGAGAAGAGGAGAGGGGGGAGGGTTGACAAGAGGAGAGGAGGAGGTGGACGAGATGCCACGGAGGGCTCGCTCCGTCAACGTCTGCCGCAGATTTTGAAAGAGTGCGAGGAGCGGCTGAAGGTCCTGAGAGCCGTCCATCGGCGCGTCATCAACAGGTGTGCACGGTCTATTTCCGGCTCCTTGATGTGGTGCTTCAAGTTCTTCTTATTGCCGTCATGCTTAAGCTTAACTGGGTCCTCCAGGTTCCACTCTTTCCTCCTGTTCCTCGGCTACTCCCGAGCTATGGTGAGGGACACCAAAGCAGAGGACTTCTGCAAAACCATCAGCGACTTTTCCCTGGAGTACAGGACCACGAGGCAGGCCTTCCTCCTGCAGCGGGATAGGGAGCGACGGAAGGGCGCAGCGGAGAGCCCGGGAGCCGAGGCGCCCGTCGGCCGGAGGAAACGCCAACAAACTCCAACACAGGTTGCTGCACCTTGAGATCGCGGGTGCCTTCGAAAGGTGGAGCGCCGCTCTGGAAAAAAACAAACAACAATCCGTTGTTTTTTGTTGTCGTTCCAGCAGGAGGACGGGGAGCAGCGCAGGCTGGAGGAGGTGCTGAGGACAGTCGAGTCCGACCCGAGGCTGGACGCCACGCTGCCCCGAGCTCGCAGGAGGATGGCCGACATCACAGGTGCTCCGCGCACCTGTTTCCTTTCTCTTTCTGTCCACGACGTGTCATGCTGAGTCCGCATTTACACTCATACGTTTGTTCCTCAGGTGCCTTCTCCCGGAAAATAAGACGGTGACCCTGCTGACAAAGGCCACTGGTGTGATAGAGTTTTCTTTGTTGTTGTTGTTATTTATGACAGATGTTGTTAAAAGAGACAAAAGAAAATGGACAGGTGCATGACATCTCTCGGTTTTTCATTTAAATCTACATGTAGTTGTTTTTATTAGCATATCAAAACTACTACATATGTATATGCCTTTCATTGTAAATTAAAGTGAAGGAAAATAAAAATGATATATAGCTTAAATACTTTATTTTGTATATAATTTTTGTGTGGTATTCCACATAATAAAATGTGTCACTTTGTAGCAAATTGACACATTTAGTGTGATCAGGTTGCATCATTATGTGTTTTACAGATAATAAAACAATGCAGACGGTGAATGCGTGGGCGGTCTTTAAGCTAACATGTTACTAGTTGGTGTCGGTTGACCCAATCGAGTGCAACAGTCTGGGTGTGTCGTCATCCGTGAGCGGGAGTGACGGGCGCCCCCGTCCAATCCGTGAAGAGCACAGCGACGCCGGCGGCCGTTGGATTGTCCAATCGGGCGCCGTGACGCGGCAGTGGGCGTCACCCTTCTTCCGCCGCGCGGGTGGGAGTCGACGCCATTTCGTGTCCACCGTTTCAAGGTGATACAATCCGCCTGCAGAGCCGTTAACGGATCTTTACCTGCGCAAGTAATAACAGCGTTGAATTTTACTCATTTTTAGTGTTAAGCTCCTGGTGAGTATTTTTAACCGAGAGATTTTTCCCCCCCCTATATTTTTTATTTTTATTTTTTTTTCGACTTTGAAACCTCTTTGGGACTCTTTTTGTTTTTGTTTTCATTTTTAATGCATTTTTTTCCCGGCTGGTATTCCCGAGACTGTGTGTGGCTTTAGTGGCGTACATTTTGTGTTTGCGTTATTCGAGCTGCGCAGATAGGGGTGTGAGAATCTCCCCCCCCCCCCCCCCCCCTCCCCCTCCTCCATCGGCCCCCCTCCCTCCGCAACATGATTTTTATAAGACATTTATTTAAACAAAGACCCCCCGTTTCCGCCCTCGTCGTGTGTCTGATTCGTGGTGGTGTTTTCGGGGGGGAGAAAGGTGGAAGGCGGTGCCCGTGTTTTCGGCCCTTTCCCCGGTGGACGTGTTTTTAAAAAGACGCTTTTCGGGTCTCGCGCGGCGCTTTCGCGGTCGTTTCAAATTGACTCCTAAAGACGTGCTTTTCCCCCTTTTGGGATTTGGGCAGAGCTCGTGTGTGTGTGTGTGCGTGCGTGTGTGGGTTTTTGTTTTTTTTTCTGCCGCGAATTTTTCAGGATTTTTTTTTTCTTCAATGACGGCTGGGGCGTTTTTATTCTCTTTTTCTTTTTTTAATGAACATTAACTCCAGGGAATGCTGTAGCATTGGGGTGACAGACTGGGGGCATTTGGTAATTCTGTTGTAATCATAAAAAGTCAATTAATTTGAGTGAGTGAGGGGCAATAATCTGTAGGCCTGCACCTTTTTAATTCCTCTTTTATAGCTGTAGATTAGCTGTTTACAAGCATGTGACGAGCAACAGAGTTGTATTGTGGGAAGTCAGGAAAGTTTTGCCCCGCCCTCCAGCTTTGCCCCGCCCCCAAGTGTGTCCTCTGTAAGCGTCCTTGAGCACTAGTCCCCCCGGCCTCTAGGGGCGCTGTCCCGTAGCCGTCCCTTTTAATCCTTTAACAATGTCCGTAGCAGTCTGGGCAGGTTATTGTTGCAGCAAACCGTCATTTTGTGGATTTTTATTTTTAAATCCATTCACTGTTTTCATGCATGACCTTTTTTAATTTATCTGCAGAAGTAGAAGTGTTTGAAGCCATTGAAAAAAAGTGTGGGAAAGATGAATTTTGGTTTTCATCAAATGATAACCAGGTATTTTATATCAATGTATATAATTTAAATAGAAAATTAGAAAGATTTTTCAGCGAAAATTTTAATATCCAGTTCACAATGACATGAAAAAGGTGTGAATATTATGAGTTTGATTTAGTTAATGGGTTTTGTTTAATCCTAAGCATTTTGTTTGAACAAATTCAAAGTGAAGATGTGTCATTAAGAGCATTATTATTGGACTTTTTAAAAAAAATAAATACTTATTTCCCTCCCAGTTTGTCTTCCATACTTGTGAAAACAAATAGTTCAAACTCATTTTTCTAATATTCCGTTTTTGTTTCCCCCTGTTTAGTTTTTGAAGCCACTTTTTTGAACGGCGGCAAATCGTAAGTTGGTCTCAACCTTTTTTTGAGTTTATTTTTCACCTCAACTTGCATCTTTTTTTTTTTTTTTTTTTCTTTTTTTTAATTCCACTTCTGTCTTCACCCCTCTGTGATTCAGCCCATTTCCCCCCTCTTGGATTTCCTAGAGCAAGTAGCATGTAGTGTTTTTACCCATTTTCTTTTTTTTTTTGTGCTGTTAAAAGTAGATCGACTGTGTGACACTGCAGCCCCTTTTTTTTTTTTTTTTCACATGAGCTTTTCCCCACATGTTCCCAGTTCCTGACAATCCAATGCATAATGTTAGCTGAGCCCCTCTGTAGCTGAATAACACTCAACTCCTCCCTGCGTCCAGTCCTGGGATTAAGTACTGGAGCCGCTAAAGGCAAAAATAACCGCTGCCGTTGCTTTGTAATTGTGTCTTCTTTGTCTTTTGAGTGCATGCCATTTGATGGAGTCAAATCTGGTCTATTACCCACACAGAAAAACAGATACCTGCTCTTGATAATAACAATTATGTCACCATTATCGCCGAAAGTAAGTCTGAACCCATTCAAATACGCATGCATACTGAGTACCATGAGTTACTAACGTCCTCTGTGATCACCAGTGATGATGTGTCTGATTTAAATGTGTTCAGTGGAAGCAGGACGTTTTCTTCCACTTAGCTCAAGCGAGATTTTTTCTTTTTTAGTTTTGAATCTATGAGCCACGTGCACACAAACCACACGCACGGCTCAGTGTAAAAAAAAAGTGCTTTCCATTCTGTCTTTTGTCTCTTGAGCATCGGAGCCGCGGTGGCGGCGTCCCTCCCAGTCAAAGCACAAACATTCACATAACTGATCCGCAGCCAGTCGACGCCACGCCGAAAAGCCCAAATGAGGCCCGCTAGAATAAAGCAATAAAGCACCGGCTGTGTTCTGTGGGTCATCAGGTTTGTGGCCTTTTGTTCTCTGGTCGGAGGTCAGATTCCCGCCGCCGAATTGATGGATCTAGATCTACGTAGACGGAGATCTATGGAAGCTGCCCACACGCAGGGGAAGTGTAGCATTGTGAGCTTCAGCACGGTGGTGTTCTCGCTGCAGGGGGGGGCATGGAGCGTTTTATCTTCTGCATCTTCTGTAGAATAAGGAAGTTGCCAGTTTTATACTTTCATATCCTGCTTTCTCGTAACAAACAACCATTTGTCCCACAGGTTTTTCTGTAATTAAAACAACCTCATATCCACCAGCCCTTCTTCCCTTTTAAGGTCCTCTCGGCTTTTGCCAAAAAACCACAAGAAAACCCATTGATTTTTTTGATTTTTTGGGGGGGGGGAGGTGTCGTAGACGTCCCGCAGTCGTCGTGTCTCATAGCTCCTCGACAACCCTCTTCTCTCCAACAGACTCAGGCAGGCAGGCAGACCTCCATCGACCTGAGCACAGACATGATGGAGTGAGTTGTGGCTGCTTCTATTACTGCTGTCCTCTCGTAGAGCCTCCTGCTTCCCTCTGCCGTAGCGCACACGCACACACACACGCACACACACACACGAGCTAGTGTGCGTGAGATGTAACCCTCCGTGGTGTTGGACGTACACGGTAGCACCTGCCATCTATTTCTATCAGTAAATGAGCTTATAATAAAGTGCTGAAGTAGAGATGGAGGAGATGAACAATGATTCACCTGCAGAAATGGGAGGAATTATTTTACAGTTTATTTGACTCATTCATCTAACAAATAAATTGAAGAAAATTGGTTATAATAATAACCTCTCACAGCCTGCCTCACATTGACCACGGCGCAGAGATCATCTACAAGCTCTAGTGGGAGGAAACAAAAAAAAACAATCTCATGTCTCCTTTCCTCTCTCCTTCCACCCCTCCTCCATGTCGTCCTCCTCCTCCTCCTCGCCCCCCTCCCCCCCTCGTTGTGGGGCAGCCCGATGGCCAGCAGCAACGTGACCAACAAGACGGACCCGCGCTCCCTCAACTCCCGCGTCTTCATCGGCAACCTCAACACCCTGCTGGTCACCAAGGCCGACGTGGAGGCCATCTTCGCCAAGTACGGCAAGATCGTGGGCTGCTCCGTCCACAAGGGCTACGCCTTCGTGCAGTTCGCCAACGAGAGGAACGCCCGCAACGCCGTGGTCAGCGAGGACGGCCGCATGATCGTGGGACAGGTGCTGGGTGAGAAGTCACATTTAATTAATGGCAGCTCGGTTTAATTTGAGCAGCTCAGCTCTCGGCTTCCTGCCGCCGCCGTCGGTGTTGTTAGTGACACCTGCGCCCAGACGAAATGTACAAAAGGCCGTATTTTCACGACAGCTCTCACGTCACTGTTTCTCTCGCCCGTCTGAGGCTAAAATGGGACTTGAAAAAATATCCCGGTGAGGCTCAAAGCCTGCGAGGGCCCTTCAAAATAAGAGCGCAAATGATCAATCCCCATCCGCGCCTCCTCCTCGACGCTTGTGCTTCTGCTTCCTTTAGACATCAACCTGGCAGGAGAGCCGAAGCCCCACCGATCGAAGACGGCGAAGCGCTCCGCGGGCGACATGTACAGGTGTGTGTGTGTGTGTGTGTGTGTGTCAGAGACGAGTGCTGTGGTTAATCGTCGTCTCGCCCCTACAGTCCGTCTGTGGATCTGGAGTATGACTTCCAGAGAGATTACTACGACAGGTGAGCGCCGTGGTTTTTTACACCCGCATTGATGTATCAAACCGGGTCTGAAGTTCTTCGATGACACCACTCATGCGACGGGGGACACGTCTTTCAGGATGTACTCCTACCAGTCCCGCGTGCCCCCTCCCCCTCCTCCCCCGCTGTCCCGCGCCGCCGTCCCCTCCAAGCGCCCGAGGGTCAGCGTGAGCGGGGGGGGCAGCCGACGGACCAAGCCCAGCTTTTCTTCGTCCTCCAAGAGGAGTCAGGGGACGTCCCGCTCCAGTAGGTGTCCCCGTGTTGTCTGTCCCGCGCCGCCGCCCCCTAAAATGACGCCGTTTCCCCCCCCCCCCCCCCCCCCCCTCACAGTGAAGGCGGGCGATCTGCAGACCATCAAGAGGGAGCTCACGCAGATCAAGCACAAGGTGGACTACCTGCTGGAGAGCCTGGAGCGCATGGACAAGGACCACGGCAAGAAGTCAGGTGGGGCCTCAACGGGTGGATGGAAACGGAGGGTTTACGCACCAGCGTGAGAGACGCAGAGTGAAGTAAAAAACAAACAGAAGATGCCGGCGGTCTCGTTGCGGAGCTTCATTCATCTCGATCTGCTTCCTCAGACATGAAGGGCTTGCAAACAGAACCAGGCGAGGTCTCCCCCCTCCACTCCTCCACTCCATCAAGAAGTGCGACGGCATGAAACGGGGCATGAACGACTCCGACGACGAGGGGGACTGCTGGACGATGACGACGAGGTGAGGAGGAGGAGGAGGCGGGTGGAGGAGGAGGCGGGTGGGTGGAGGAGGAGGCGGGTGAGTGG